AATAGGAAATAAATTCTAGCTTCTTTGGTTTTTGTTGTATTATCTTCTGCTCTAGAATATGACTCTTTTTAAATATTTCCGAATTTCAATTTTAATTTGATCGAAATCGGACGACTATATCATATAGCTGCCATAGGAACGATCGGAAAATTAATGGAAAAGTAATAGGAAATAAATTCTAGCTTCTTTGGTTTTTATTGTATTATCTTCTACTCTAGGATATGACTCTTTTTAAATATTTCCGAATTTCAATTTTAATTTAATCAAAATCGGACGACTATATCATATAGCTGCCATAGGAACGATCGGAAAATTAATGGAAAAGTAATAGGAAATAAATTCTAGCTTTTTGGTTTTTATTGTATTATCTTCTACTCTAGGATATGACTCTTTTTAAATAATTCCGAATTTCAATTTTAATTTGATCAAAATCGGACGACTATATCATATAGCTGTCATAGGAACCATCGGAAAATTAATGATAAATATTAGAAAATTGAACATTTTTGCGATTTGTTAATTAATAGGAATGATCTGCAAGGGTATATAAGCTTCGGCTGGCCGAAGCTAGCTTCCTTTCTTGTTTTTTGATCGTTTCTATGACAGCTATATGATATATTAGTTCGATCTTTTTAAAATTAAAATCAAAATTTGGAATTATTTAAAAATAGTCATATCCCAGAGTAGAAGAGAATGTAATAAAAATCATCAAAGATATAATTTTTTTCCTAATAATTTCCATTTAATTTTTCGACCGTTCCTATGGCAGCTATATGATAAAGTGATCCGATTTTTTAAATATTTAATTCGAAATTCAGAAATACATAAGAAATAATATTCCCAAGAGTAGAAGGTAATATTTGAGAAAACACCGAAGTTAGAATTTTTTCAACGTTTTTTTTTCCGATCGTTCCTATGGGAGCAATAAGATATAGTTGTCCGATCCGTTTGGTTCCGACATATATACTACCTGCAATAGAAAGAATACTTTTGGGAAAGTTTCATTCCTCGATTAACCTCTTGACGGTAGTTCGTCGCCTAATCTGTGCACTGGATTACTTGGATGCGGATTTCTTTGGGCCGGGGCATGGGTTATAGAGGGATACGACTTATCTATGATGGCGTTTACGCCCTGCCTGGGGCACTGCGTTGTTCCTTGTCGAAACGCTGGCGTTAAACTTGCTCGCTGGATATTGCTGTGTTTGCGCATGCGCCCAGTTCTCTTCAGTCGAATTCGCCCTCTCTCTTCTCGGTGGCCTTCGAACCCACAAGCGGTTGCCTATAAAAACCCCAAAAATTATTACCAACCGGCCTATCCCCTCGCTTTTCTTTTCCTCACCCTTTATTTACGGCTCGCTGCCGATTTAATTAGAATTCCTTTCCGCTGGCAATGTGTTTCAGCACTCGCGAGTACTTTTTTCGAATTTCTTTGTCACCAGTAAAAATTTGGACTTAACACTTCAGCTGCCACAGACGGAAAGACCGATCCCCACGCCGGAAAAGTGGCGGTAACTCCAGATCGAACCAGGGTGAAAGCGAAGATAGTTGACACTTGCCACTGTTGCTCTCTCGCGCTATCCTACCTATGCCTCCCACTCTCATCCTAGCTCTAGTGCAGCGGTCGGCAGCGTCCTATTAAATGAGCATAGGGTTTTGTTCTGCCCAGCCGCTGCTCGCTCACGTATACTGTAGGAAAGCGGTCTGTACACACACTCTGATAATCTGCCCAGTGCAATTTACTCCTACAAATATTAAACAAAATGTTATTGTATGTGTGTGCCGACCGCTGCTCTAGTGGCAACGGAGTACCCCTTTACGACTGACCAACAGATGGCGCTACAAATGTTTTTTCTGAGCAAGCGCTACACGGCAAAATGTCAGCTAAAAACATTTCGAAAAAGTTAACATTTGAAAAGTTGTACTGCTAACTTGATATCAACTTAGCAGAACACTATGTTTTTTTAAAAAATAAATCTTAAATTAAGAGCGACAAAATTTTTTCTTTCACGAATAATTTACGGATAAATAACTGCAAAATCCCATTTAAAAACATTTTGGAAAAGTTAACATTTAAGGAGTTGTACTGCTAACTTGATATCAAAAGCTTTGGAAAAATCCGTCAAAATAACATCAGTTTGCTGCTTATGAAGAAAGCCACGGTTTACTAATGAGGTAAATTCAAGCAAATTAGTGGTAGTAGATCGGCACCTGGTGAAGCCATGTTGACATGGCGAAATAAGCGACCGACATTGATGCTGCAATTGAGAAGTTATTAATTTGTCGAATAATTTAGGAATAGCACTGAGCATAGCAATCCCACGATATTTAGCAATTTCAGCCCTATTACCTTTTTTAAACAGCGGCACAATTAAAGATTCCTTCCAAGCTGACGGAAAATTACATTGATTTAACGACATCTTGAACAGGATTGTTAGAGGGCTGAAAAAAAAATTTGCACATTTTTTTAAAATGCAACTAGGGACCATATCAGGTCCTGCTGAAAAAGAGAGTTTTGATGCGATAAAGCCCTGGAGATCATCAGCTTCAAGTGTAGACCCAGGCCACGGAGACTCGCAAACAAAATTTCGGCGGCAACTCCCAGTCCCAAATTTAACTTAAGAGGACCCTGGCGGGACTAAAGTCTATCCCAGCCGAAGGAAAAGTCCTTACATGACAATGCCTTATAATAAGGTTGACATTTCACCCTGTTATTTTCCTCCAACTCTTTGTATGCCCCTTCTTAGTTCCAGCATCGACACTTGGATTGCGCACCTTACCCAAATATCTTTCTTTACAGATACAAGCGTTTCAGAATATAAGGCCAAGCCCGTATAAGTTATTGATTCAGTCGGTGCAATAACATGAGTGGTGTCAAAGCGGGAATCGTGGTTCTGGCCTTCCTATTAATTGGGACAAGCGAAGGATCGGCGTACTTGCTTGATGGGAATTGTGCAGTATCAAGGACTGATCCAGGAACTTTTAGGATTGCAGGAGGTACAGAAACAAGTACTTACCAGAATCCATGGATGGTGCTAGTTATCTCGCATAATAGGGTAAATCAATACAGGTGTAGCGGATCTCTTATCACTTCACGTATGTATTAAATTTGAATATAAATTATATAATTCCTAATAATGTCAAAATATTCTTTTAAAGGTTTCGTACTTACGGCCGCTCATTGCCTGATCTTTAGTTACACATATGTACTTTTGGGGGATCACCAAACCGAGGATCCACAAATAGGTTGCCCTTCGGAAAATTGCATTCCAAAGTCCTATTTAATAGATGTTGATAAAAAAATTATTCACCAAAACTACAACAAGAGACAGGAACTAAAATTCGACATAGCCCTGCTTCGAATGGCAAGCGAAGTGACATTTTCAGGTAACTTAATTGAACAATCAGCAAGGACCTCTTTAAATTAAAATCTATTTTTTAGACTATGTTAGGCCGATATGCCTACTCGTCGGTGAACAAATGGAAGACCTTTCAGTATTTAAGGTCACTGGGTGGGGTAAAACGGAAAATCAAGAATCCAGTCAGAGTCTTCTAACAACCACAGTATATAAAGGCGGTCGCTGGTTTTGTGAAATAAAGTATAGACTTCAAACTGATGAATCCCAGATATGTGCCGGCAGTCAGACCAGTCGAACATGTATAGGCGACTCGGGAGGCCCATTGAGCGCGGAACGATCCTATGGAGGAATTAAGCGGGTTTTCCAGTATGGTTTTGTTAGCTACGGATCTATGAATTGCACTGATATCGGTACATTTAGTGTGTACACAAAAGTATCATACTATATGAAATGGATCAAGGATCGAACCACAGTATCTGGAAGCCTGACCTCAGGTTAGTGTTGCCATTTTATCCTTTTTCACACAGATCTTGTCTTTATCGGGCTGTTACAGAAATCCCGTACAACCAAATATCTTTAATTCTTGTAAGTCTTTTTTCTACGATCAGTCGCATTGTTAATTTAGTAGTTTGTATTGTAAAAAGATACAAAACACCACACTTTACAACACCACAGCATATTTGTATCTCTGAGAAAACGGTTACCAAACTAATCTGCTCTGCAAAATCAAACTTTTTTAGCCAAAGATTTAAAAACTTAGCCTCTTCTGTCTAGGGACAGGTAAACAAAAGACATCACAGGAACTAGATGTTAACATAGATAAACTCAACACCCAGAAAAACAAGAAAGGAAGCTAGGTTCGGCAAGCCGAAGCTTATATACCCTTGCAGATCATTCTATTAATTTTCAAATCGCAAAAATGTTAAATTTTCTATTATTTCACATTAATTTTTTGATCGTTTCTATGACAGCTATATGATATATTAGTTCGATCTTTTTAAAATTTAAATCAAAATTTGGAATTATTTAAAAATAGTCATATCCCAGAGTAGAAGAGAATGTAATAAAAATCATCAAAGATATAATTTTTTTCCTAATAATTTCCATTTAATTTTTCGACCGTTCCTATGGCAGCTATATGATAAAGTGATCCGATTTTTTAAATATTTAATTCGAAATTCGGAAATACATAAGAAATAATATTCCCAAGAGTAGAAGGTAATATTTGAGAAAACACCGAAGTTAGAGTTTGTTCAACGTTTTTTTTTCCGATCCTTCCTAGGGGGGCTACCTAGGCTATATACTACCTGCAATAGAAAGAATACTTTTGGGAAAGTTTCATTCCGATAGCTCAAAAACTGAGAGACTAGTTTGCGTAGAAACAGACGGACAGACGGACAAGGCTAGATCGACTCGTCTAGTGATGCTGATCAAGAATATAATAATAATAATTTATGGGGTCGGAAACGCTTTCTTCTAGCTGTTAAATACTTTTGCACGAATACAATATACCCTTTTAATCTACGAGTAACGGGTATAAATATTTTTTTCACTAAATCCTAATACACGTGCTTACTTATTTTCCGAATAGTTCGCGTAAAAAAATAAATATTTATATTTTCTTTTGACTTCAAAGGTGTTGGCATGGTTCCCCTCTCTGAATCCTCACCATTGTGGCAGACCATTGGTAAGCTAGCACTTGAATACAGCTCAAATCTTCTTTGATCTTGACAGTCCTTCTCTTTCCACAGTAATGGTAATATCTTTGATATGTATGGCTTTTACGATCACAGTGAGTGCGTACCTGTACATCAAGCAGCTACACAGTTTGCATGGCAAGTGCTTTATGTGCTACATGGTCGCCCTTTTCATAAGTCACCTACTTTTGCTCCTCAACTTGTGGAACGTGTGGGAATTACCGTCGATCTCCTGCACTACATCAGGTTAAATTTGGCTATTAGGCTACGGGCAGCTATATAGTAACACCAATTTTTCCAATATCATATATAGGACTCTTGGGATACTTTTTCGTCATGGCCGCGTTCTTTTGGCTTTCCGTCATCAGTCTGGACCTCTGGAATACGTTCAGTGGGACCTCTCATTCATTGAACCGCTACCTGCCAGAGCATCGATTTCTGGCTTACAACGGATTCGCTTGGGGCATGGCTCTAGCCATGACATGTTTCACCATCGTAGCTGACCAAGTCGTTGATGAGGATTGGGCACCTCGTATGGGCACCAACCAATGTTGGATCTACAGTGAGTTTCGATATCAATTTGCAATTAAGTTGATGGGTCTTCATGCTCCATCTCTTCTCAACCACAGCTGGAGATAATGCTGCCTTGATATACTTCTTTGGACCGATGATACTGCTGATTGCATTCAACATAACCATGTTTATCCTGACGACTACTCGCATAATGAAAGTAAAGAAGGAGGTCAGGAACTTTGCCCAACAGAAACAATGGAACAAGAAACTTAGCTCGGATATGCGAACGTAATACTTATCATTATATATTTTAAAGGGTTAATTAACTTTTATAATCCCAAGACAGTTACACGTTCTTCTTGTGGCTCTTCATCATCATGAGTTTGATCTCGAGCTTGGAGATAGTATATTTTCTTGTTAGGAAGAACGAGTCCTGGCGTAGCGTTTTGAAGGTGGCTGACTATCTAAATTGGTCCCAGGGTACCATCATATTCGGGTTTTTTATTTTGAGGCCTAGCACTCTTAAACTCTTAAGGGAGCGGTAAGTAATCTGCGATTAAGCAAAAAGTTTAAGTAATGAGGTCCCAAAATTATTTCTGAATGAGCAGAATTAAGGGTGACAACAATGAAGACCCTGGCACCAAGGAACAGATCTCGCTTGAGAATAAAATTTGACACAAGTGTTCAGTAATAGGTAATCTAAAGATTTTTCTACTACTTACTCACAAGTTTTTGTTGCTTATAACCTTTCAATGTGCATGCTTTCTCCTTTGGTGTTTGTTTTAATATAATGTTGCATGATTTTATGTTTACTAAGCCATATTTTTGTGTCTTACTTATAATGCCTCTTACATCCTAGACGCCACCGAAAACAAATGTGGACTGCCATCACTACGAGATCAAAAGAAAGTGGAAGTACGACTGAGGATGTGTATTATAACAGAGCGTAAAACTAGTTGTCGTTATGGACGGCTCTCCATCTCTAAGTTACAAGGACAACCTCTTCGGCGCAGCACTCACACTTACTACCAATTTTAATTACCTCACATTGTACTCAGGAGCTAAACTACTTATTCCTATTACTAACTTACTGAAAAACCTTGACAATACCTTTATAAAATTAGATTATAAGATAGATAGAATTTATTGTGAAGTCCAGTCCAATCCTTTTATTTTTTTCACCGCGCTACTTAGATGAGCAGCAATGTTTATATATTTATTTATTTCGCCAACGGATATACCTTAACTGACTACTTATACAATCCAAAAAATTATATTACGTACTAACATTTACAAAATAATTAATTAACCTATGTTTAAAAATGGTTTTATTTGGGAAATAGTCTGATTGCATATCAGCTGGAAGTGCGTTAAACTCAGATGAAGCCCTATAGAGAGGCTCATTTTGGGAATAATTAGTCCGCCTCAGCTCAAGAAAAAAGGGATCAAAATTCCGCAGTTGCCTAGAAGGAGCATAAAACAAGAGAGAACGCTATAGTCGGGTGCCCAGACTATCAGATACCCGTTACTCAGCTAAAGGGAAGCGAAGGAGATGGAAATACTTTGATCTGCCGTAACTTTTTAACGAATGGTCCGATTAAAAAAATTTCTTCTACTTTTCGATAGGTATTGAGAAACACAATAAAACTGAATTTTTACTTTTCCAAAATATTTAAATTTTTAAAAGCGTATATAAGCGATTGTGGGCGTTAAAGGGGGCGTGGCACCCTTTTGAAACAAACTTGCGCTGCGTAGGAACTCCTAGAATCTGCATGCAAAATGTCAGTCTTCTAGCTTTTATAGTTTCCGAGATCTCAGCGTTCATACGGACAGGCAGACGGAACAAGAATATATATACTTTATAGGGTCGGATATGCTTCCTTCTAGCTGTTACATACTTTTGCACGAATGCAATATACCCTTTTACTCTACGAGTAACGGGTATAAAAACAAGAGAGGACGCTGTAGTCGGGTTGGTGTCCCGACTATTTAATACCTCGGCTAAAGAGAGTTCGAGGGAGGGTGATACATAACATTTTTTTGATTGCGTATAACTTTTTAATGAATGGTCCGATTTGAAAAATGTCTTCCACATTTCGATAGGTATAATGGCTATATCGACTCGGCTAGTGACTCTGATCAAGAATAAATATTCTTGACCCTATATACTTTATAGGATCGGAAACGCTTCCTTCTCCCTGTTACATACTTTTGCACGAATACAATAACGGGTATAAACAGCTCGGATGGAAAACGGTCACGAAAACCGGTTCGATTGGTTAGGTGCTTAAAATAATAGCGAATATTTTAATAGTTGGATAATGTTTCAATAAACAAATTTATAAAACATAACAGAAAAAAACAGAAAGCTGCAATTTCGGTAAGATGCGTTATCGCCAGAATTTGACATCAGTGCAAACGGTTCTTAGGCGAGCCAGTGGAAAAAGACTATCAGAGTGCGATTAAAATATACCGATGACCTATCGATAATCCCGTTCTGGGTTATCGCTCAGGGAAATGTTTTGGTGACCGGCTGCAGAAAAAACGCGGATTATTGTTTTAGTTCTCTGTTTTGTGTATTAAGTCGGTAGATTCGCAGCTGAATATTATCCAACAAGGCCAAAAACTGCGTAATGTGTAGGAAAATGAATTCTTGCATTGCTTTTGGTACCATCTAAAAGCGGCAGTGGCGCCTGAAAACGCGACCACGTGAAATCCAGCAACAACAAGTCGGCGGGACCATGGATTTGGCCGAGTTCTCGGACTTCAATATTGACCAGCTCCTGGGCTCCTCCACACCGCTCGAGGATGGCCTGGTGGCGCCGTACAAGCAGCTACCGCTGCCCAGGATCAACCAGGATGTGCGAAAGGCCAAGCGCAGCCGGCTGGCCGAGCGGATGGCCCAGAATGACGAACTAATCCGCCAGGTGAAACAGCTCCAGGTGCAGAACAAACAGCTGGCGGACCTGCAAAGCACCGCCCAGGAGGTGACGGATCTGTACCAGAAGGAGAAGCAGCAGCGGATCGAGCTGGAAAAGCGCTCCAAGCAGTTCAGCGAGCGATGCGACGAGCTGGAGAAGCAACTGGACGCCCAGGCTCAGAGCTGCGAGAATCTGCAGGACGAGCTGCAGGTGAGGGGACTGCCCGTGGATGCCAAAGATGTGCTGTCCATACTCCTGCAGCTGTCACAGCGACTGGGCGAAGATTCTGGGCTCCTGCGGCGGGATCAGAACATCCTGAAGAAGCTAAAGGAGCACGGCAAGACGCTGGACATAAGTCTGCCCACGCCGAAGAGTCCCAATCCGCGCAGCAAGCGGAAGAGCCATCAGCCAGGGGTCAACCAGTCCACACAAACCGACGGGGAACCCAAACCCCAACTTTGTTCAGTGGCTGTGCAGGTGGAGGGTCTGATAGAGACCCGCAACCAGGGCACGCAGCACAAGAACACCACCACCACGCGGGGCACCACAACGGCCTCGTTCATCCGGCAGCACGATGTGGGCACCTGCTTTCCCGAACCCAAGCCCCTGCCAAATGTGCGGCAGATTCTCGATGAAATGCTCTCGTGGCGGGATGATCTTGTCATTGAGCCCATGAGTCCACTGAGCGAGGAGGCTGAGCATCTGCCAGCCACCGCGAGTGTAGCCACCTGCACCACTCTGTGTGATATACACCGCGAGATTGACTTCTTGTCTGACCTGTCGTCGCAAATTAAGGTGTCCTCGTCACGGCCGCCCTCGCGAACCATGTTGGATAGCGTGAAGCAGGAGGAGGCCAGATCCTCCAGGGAGCTGGCCAAGGAGCTGCTCAACTTCCTACCTCAAAACCAAAGCTGCCTGGCCAATCTGCCGCCGCAGGCCTTCGAGGAGCTGTGGCAGGTCTTTGGCCAAATGGTTCTGGGCCTGCTGCAGCGGCGCTCCAATCCGAGCGTCAGTCAGGCGGATTTCACCAGCTGGCTGTATGAGCTCTATGAGGGCACCCAAAGCCAGACGGAGCAGACTTGCGCCAGTAAGAGAGGTAAAACAATCAAAAAAGCGTCACTGAGTGGATTAATTCAGACCACTTTCCTTTTAGATTTCGCCACCAGCACAGAATGCTTGGCTGTTGGAACGGATTCCTTAATTGAGTCGCCGAACATCAGCCACGGCGGAGATGTCACTCCCATTCGCCTGCCCTCCAAGCCCAAAGAACGAAAGCGAAAATCTAAGAAACGCAAAGCGGTTTCAGTACCGAGTCCCGAAATTCCCAAGCGAAACTGTCTGGAAATGGAGGCAGAATGTCTTAAGACAAATAATCAATCAGAAGAAGTAGAAGTGGAGCATGAACAAAAGCCAGAAACGGCAATCCAATTTTTAAGTAATTTGAAAACTTTTAACATGGCCAACTGTGATAATCTCGATTTGGAACTGGATGAGGAAGAACTATATCTGCTTCAGTTGACATCCAACGCGAAAAAACAAGAGAATGTGGAGATCATAAGGGACGAGGTCCCTGAAGACTTTGAAAGCCCTGCGGAAGACTCAGAGTTCCTACAGCCAGAAAATAGTAATACAAATTCTATAACTGCAGTCCAGAGAGCAAAGGATTCGTCTTTAAAAGATGATGACGGGAAACAAGCTGAAGTAAAGCTCATTAATACAACTGTTGATTCGGAAATTAATACTTTTAAAAAACCTGAAGTCCAGTCAGAGATAAAGAAGAAAATGAAGAGTCCAACAGAATTCTCTCCAATTGAAGATATTTCGTCGCTACCATCCTTTTGTGAAAGTGAATCTGATGTGACATCAAATGCGAGGAAAGAAATATTGACGGAGAAGAGGTCATATTCCGATTTGAATGCTTGTGAAAATCTACTGCCTACATCAACAAAAAGATCCGATTCGCCCTTACTCACAAGTGACTCAAATCTGGATAGGAGCAGAATAAAGAGTCCTGAAGATCCTGTTCCTCCCAAAGAGCCCGAGAGCTTATTAAACCAGGAGGATTGTGATGTTTTTCCAACAGCAACCACGACTCAATTCAGTACTTTCAGTGATTCCGATTTGGAATCCGAATTGAGTGATGATGAGATAAGTCCAGAGTTAAGTGAGTCGGAGGATGACAGTGAAAAGGAGCAAAAAGATACCAAAAAGCCTACAAATGCCTCCTTGTTTGGCAGTGATTCGGATTCGGATGGAAGCGAGGATGTGCATGAAAAGGATTCTACTGAAGCAGAAGGCGAGCCAGAAAGCAAGGAATTAGAGCACAAGGTTCCTAAAAATCAGACAGATTCCCTTGAATATGAGTTACATTCTAATGCTGCTGAAGAGCAACCTTTTGAGGATCCTGTTGATAAAAAAGAAGATGCAGTTTCCATAGCTAGTCTGCCTTTACCCACTGAAACCATAAAGCAACCTTTGCTCTTGGAAAACCCTAAACCTGTTTTAAAAGTAAAAGACAACACGCAGTCCGAAGAGCAAATAAGCTCTTATGACAGCCAAAACTCAAGTGATGATTCTGCCGACGAGCACAGTCTGGTTATCGATGAACCAGTCTCCACGAAGCCGCCGGAGGAACCACCTTCACCTCCTTTGGTACCCATGAAACGGAAAAGAACGCAAAGTGAAATGAAAACTCCTTCGCCACCGGGAGAAGTTCGTCTAACTCGTCAGAGAGCCAAACAATTGCTGGGCGAACAGAAATCGAGCTCTGATAAAGGTCTTTCACTCGTAGATCAAATAAGGAAGCAGCTAAAACAAGCATTTACTGATTCGGAGCCTTTAACAAATAACTCAAAGCTTGAATTAAAGCCCATTGAGCCAGAAGGGCAAAGGGCTAAGAAGGCACATGTTGAACAAGAGCCCATTAAGCAGGTTTATACCTTCAGCGAAGAGTCACCAGCCTCTCCAGTTTCCGAGCCAATCGAGGATCCTGTCATTCCACCGACCGAAATCCCACTGGAGCAATCTGCCATCACCCGGGAAGATGGGCAACCCAAATCGCTACTACAACATGTGATTGAAAGGGACAAAGGGATGGCCAAGTTCAAACAGGCGAAAAGGAAAACTTTGGGGAAATTGCAGCCTCAGCTTTGCGCCTCAATTGGCAAATATCTTGAGGAAACCATGCAACTGGAGTCCAGCTGCAGTGATTTGGCACTTGATATCTTTAAAGTGACCAAAGATGAGGCTGTGATTGTGAACGCCATGGTAACAGTCATCTGCAAAATTGGCACAGATGATAAACCAGTGGAACGTCTGCTAAATGCCTTGAAGTATTTCAATTTCTCGCAGAGATTCCTCGCCGAACTGGAGGAGCGTTTGTTTCGAAACACCAAGGAGCGGCCAGCTCCTGAGTTGGCTCTGAAATACGTAAAGCTCTATTTAAAAGCGGTGGGTCTACAGGCGACTATGTCGGTGAGATATGCGAATCCAGCGAGGCTTCTGCTGGCCAAAATTCTCTATCACTTCGACCAGCATATGGCGCCTCTAGTTTTGGAACTACTGCGTCAGTTTCCAACGGTTCTCCCTCACCGCGAACAGCGGAATTACGACAACTCTGATCCCCTGATCACCGTGATTAAGCACCTGCTGATGAGTCGGCAGTACGACATGCAGGATCCCGAGGGCCCCGAACGACTGCTGCTATCCAAGCTGCGCTTTGAGTATCACTACCAGCCCTTTGAGCCCAACAAACAGCAGGTTTTGGATAATCTGGTGGGCAAACTAAAGGCTGGCCGCGTGGAGCAGCTGGGCTACGCCTTTGCGCTCTTTTGTAAGCGCGCTGCGCATCTCAAAGTGGTGGACAGCGTGCTGGGTGAACACCTAATGCCGCTCGCCATCAGCTACTGCGATCTCGCTGCCCAGAATCATGCGTACGACACCCGGCTCATCCATCTGCTGCACTGCATCTCGCTGGTTTTGAAACCCCTGCCCCTGGAAACGGATATCTCCGCCTTTGTGGGATTCCTGAAGCGCCTGCTAGTGGCAGTGCCACGATCTGGAGTTCAACTGGCGGCAGTGCAGGCCTGTCTGCGCCTACAAAGATTCGGATTCAAGTACACGCTGGATGCCCTGAAGGACTACAGGCCCAACTATCAGATGGATCCGCTAACGCGGTCCATGATTCGATGCTTTGCCGAGCGGCGGAGGCACTTTCGCTACGTAGCGGCCAAGGGAAATGGGAAAGCTGCCACCGCAAAAGATTAGACATCCTCTTGTATGAATTGCAACTATTTATTTATGTACGTAATATTGTATAGATTTTGAATTAAACTAAATGCCAACTGCGCTGCGGATCTTTACAAATTTCAACTTATAACTAAAATACACAAAATGATTGCACTTAGGTTAGATGGTGGTTAAGTGGGGGATACTACAGATCGCAAGCAAATGAATGCCGGAAACAAAGGAAAGCTTAATCAAAATTTACAAAAGTGCTTAGCATGAGTTTTGGATAGAGTAGCTATAGTTAATTAGTGGACTGTACAATAACATTGACCTAAATATGGGGTTTACACACACATCAACTGCTTCTACAACTCGAAATGCCTGCAGAATCAGCCGGAAGAGGTATAAGGTACTTGTGATCTCGGGCCAATCATTCCGACTTCATTTGCGGTCTAGAAGCGTCGCCGGGCAGGGCTCCCAGTTCCAGTCTCCATCGTAGAGAGCCATCAGTTCATGCTAGATTAGTTTGTTCAGCTGTAATGGTGGATAATGAGTTAAATGGTGATATAAAAGGGCTTAGATATGATGGCTCCTACCAACGATCGCCTCTGGTGCTCCTTTTCCAGGGCAACTTGGGCCTGCTGCGGTGAGAATTTGAGCACAGCCGATATCACCTTGACCAGAGTCTCGTTATTCGTGTTGCCAGTCAGGTACTGAAAGATATTTAATATATTTAAATATTTATTTATATAAAGCAAGCTTAAAGTTAAAACTATAAGCTAACTAAGGCCTTCAGCTCGTCTGAGGAGTCAAATTAGATACATTATTATTTAAATAATTTGAATTTAGATTCGGAGCTTAATTTGGGCTATTTCAAAGTGTCGAATTAGTTACCTTTTTATTTACTATTTGAATTTAGATTTTGAATTTAATTTGGGCGATTGAACATATTTACTTCTTTAATTTAATATGGTTTGACCAGTTTTCTTACCTGGAACATTATATTCCGCAAGTACTCAAACTCTGTGTTTGCCGGAACAGCCTCGCTATGCTGCATGGATACCTAATAAAAAAAAAATCTTTCAGCAATGGAATCAATTAATAAACCCCTTACAAAATACCCACCAGTGTTTCATCCAATTGCCGCGAGAGCTTCGCATTCTGCAGCTTGAGTCGCTCATTGGACTGCTCGAGTATCAAGTAGTTCTCACACTTTTGCTCCAGGAACAGGTTCCGATTCGTCACATCCTGCACCTCGTTCATAATCTCCTTTAGCTTGGCCTCCAGTTCAGCCTTCTCGCCGGCGGCAGCTGCCTCCTGCACATTTTTAGGAGCCATGCTGGCCAGGATCTGCTGGGCCTGGATGCCCGCTCGCAGGGTTTCCAGCTCGTTGATGCGCTCGGCCATCTGCTGGTTGTTCGCCTGCAGCTCCTCGATCTCCTGCTGCATATTCGACTCGGCACCCGCGCTCTTGTGCTTCAGATCCTCCAGTTCCCGCTGCAGTCGCTCGTTGAGGCTGCGCAGGCTGTCGGTGTCCGGAGTGGACCAGTCCTTCAGACTGTTGACCTCTTCATTGAGGCTTTCCACCAGAGACTGCAGATTCTTCTGTTCTTCCTGGGCCTTTGCTAGTTCACCCTGTTTCTCCTGCAATTGCTGCTGTGCCAGGAGCAGATCCTTTTGGACAGCGTCACTCTGGTCGGTGACAAAGCTGGCGTGCTCCTTTTGACGGGTTAGCTCCACTGCCTGCTCCTCGATGGCCTTTTTCAGCTCGCAGACCTCTGCCGTGGCTGCCGCACTTTGAGTTTCCTTTTCGCTCATTTGGATGGCATGCTGTTCGGCCTTTTCCTGCAGGACATACAGCTCACATTGCAGAGATTTCAGTTTTTCCTTAAGATCCGCTCCTTCTGATAGCTCTTTTTCTAGTTGTTTCGTGTGCTTGTTCAAGTACTCGTTCTCGATGAGAATCTCATCGAATTTGGCCAGCTTTTCGGAGGCGTCTACCTTGTCTTTCAGCTGACTGTCCTTTAAAGCCATGGCTTCTTGGAGCTCTACCACCTGCCGATTTTTCTGGGCTATGGACTCCTTAACCTCCTCGCGTTCCTGGCTGTGCTTCACCTTCAACTGTTCCATCTCCAGCTGCAGGGCATCGTTGGCTTCGTGGAGCCGCTCCACATCCGAATTGGCGGCACTCCAGCGCGCTTCCAAGGTGGCGATTTGCGTGGCGTACGACGAGCTGGTGGCCTGGATTTTCTCTTGGATTCCTTGCTCCGACTGCTTATAACCATCTAGTTGCTCGCGAAGATTGCTAATTGTGGCCTGCAGTTGGGACTCACTTTCCGAGTTTTGCGCCTCCAATTCCGCGCATCTTTCAGCTTGATCTTTAAGCTGCTGCTCCTGTTCCATTTGACGTTCTCTCAACTCCAACAATTGCTGTTGCTGCTCCTCGAGATCCCTCTCTAAATTGGCCTTAGCCCGCTGCATTTCCTCACTGGCCTCCTGCAGGCAGTCCAACGTATCCTTGGTCAGCAGCTTGTCCTTTTCGTAGGCATCACACTTGTCCTGCAGCGTCCGGTGGTCGTGATCCATTAGCTCCTGGGCATTCTGCAGTTTCGAGTGCTCGTCGAGAACCTGTTGCATTTTCACCTGCACCTTGCTTATTTCGTCCTGTTTGGCTTGCAGCTGGGAGGCCAAATGATTGGCCTGCTCCTCCAGCAAACAGTTGCGTTCGGCTAGCTTGGTGTTTTCGCTCTGAATCTCCTCCAGCTTCGCGGAGGTGCGTTCATCCTGGGCACTGCTGTCCACCTGCTCCTTTTGCAGTGATTCAATGCGGGACTCCAGCTTGCGCTTCTCGCGTTCCAGTTCGCTGTGCGAGTCCTGCACCTGTTGCATTTGCGACTGCATGGTGCTGATTTCTTCTAGGATGCCAGTGACCCGTGTCTGCAGCTCCTCCTTTTCGCTCTCCGCCTGGCGGGAGTGGGCTAGTCGTTCTGCCAATTCGCTTTGCAGCGTTTCGAGGCGGGCATTTTGTTCGCTTGCTTTAGCCTGATGCTGCTCGTGTTGCTTCTTCAGCTTGTTCAACTTGTTTGAGTTGGCTTTAAGTTCCTTTTCCTTGGCCAGAAGACTCGCCTGACTGGTGGCCAACTCCTGGCTAATTGCCTCCAGTTGAAGTTTCAGAGCAGCCACAGTTTCGCTTTCCGAATTGGCGTGCTGATCCTGCAGAATTTGAATCTCGCGCTGCAGCTGTTCCAGCTTGAGACGATGCTGTTCTTCTAGAGAGGTTTTCTCGGAACTCAAGGCAGCCAGTGATTCTCGCTCCATTTCCAGGCTTTTTTCGAGTTCAAGAGCACGATGCTCCCGCTGCGATTGAATGGTTGCCAATTCTTCTCTGGCCTCAGCGAGCTGAGCTTCCCAGTCGTTTTGCTGATGACGCTGGACAATTTCGAGCAACTGATCGTTGCGCAAACGCAGATCCTGCAAACTGTGCTCGCTTTCGGTTTTGAGGGCACTCAGGTTCTCCTCCAAGGTTGCAGCTTGCTCTTCCTTGGCCGATAAAGCGGTTTGGAGGGCATTCAAACTAAGTTCGGTTGATAAAAGTTTAGCTTCGGCTTCATCTTTAGCTGCCTGAAGTTTAGTAAGCTTTTCCTGGGAATCTGTGCTTTGGGATTCGCTATGTTCGTTGACCTGGCGCAATTTTTCAGCGTTAATCTCGTTTTCTTCGGTTAGAGTTTTCAGTTTGCCTTCTAGCGCAGCCAACTGATCTTCCTTCGCTTGGTGTTCGTTTCTTAGGGAACTCAGTAGTTTTTCTGTGTTTAAGATCTTGGATTCGGCTTCCTCGAGGGCAGCTTGTAGTTTCCTTTGTTGAGACTCGCTAGCTTCTGTGTTTTGTCGCAGTTTATCTAGGTTTTTTTCATTTTCATTCTTCAGGCTAAGCAGCTGCTCCTCCAAATCCTTCAACAGCTTTTCCTTGGCTGTCTGTTCGCTTCTGAGAGACTCCAAAAGTTGATCCCTTTCTTTTAAGGCTATTTGCAGTTTCTCCAGCTGCTCGTTTGAATCGCTGCTATCTTCGTTCTGTTGTTGCAATTCCCTTAGCTTCTTTTCGTTGTCCGCTTTTATGGTCACCAGTTGACTTTCGAGGGCGGACACCTGTTGCTCCTTGGTGGCATAGTTGCCTTTTAAAGTGTTCAGCAGGTGCTCGGTGGCCATTAGTTTGGCATCGACCTCCTGTTTCGTGGCCTGCAGCTTCTTCAACTGTTCCTTGGCCTCGTTGCTGTGGGACTCTCGCTGTGATTCCAGCTGCTTGAGTTTCTCCTGAAGCTGACGCACCTCGATGTCCTTGTGCTCCAGTTCCGTGTGGATGGCCTGCTTTGTTTGGGCCAGGAGCAGCACATTCTCCTCCTCTTGCTTTCTGAGAGCTTCGTACTTCTCCGTTACTTGCTTAAGTTCCTCTTCCCGCTCCTTGAGTAAACGCTGGAGATCGGAAACGGGTTCAGCGGATCCCGAGCCATTTGCAGACGGCGGCGACGACTTCCCGGCCGACTCATCCAGGTCGATGAGCTGCTCCGTGTCCAGCAATTGACCGCTTCGCTCCAGAGCCGCAGTTATATTCTCCGGATTCTCGCCCAGCAGCTGGAGCTTGGTCTGATACGCCTGCATTTTGCAACTCATGTCGTCCATCTCGACGCGCAGCGCCTCCTCCAGATGCGCCTTGGCCTGCTGCTCCAGCGTGCACTGCTCCCGCAGCTCGCTTATCCGGCGCAGCGCCTTGTCTTGCGTCTCCACCAGCACGGACTGTAAAGGTGATTTTATCGTTAACATAAGTTACTACACAACGAGCTTATCAATTGCCCCGATAAGATAGATAGATAGATAGATACCCTCGCCTTGGAGCTGTCGCGCTCCAGTTCCTTGTACTTTTTGGCCAGATCCGTGTAGCGACAGCGGTACTTGTGATACCGATCCAGGGACTTCTTGTACGCATCGTACAGCTGGTCCTTGGTGATCACATCCAGCCGGGCGGTCGAGGCGGAGTCGTCGAACTCGCTGCTCGTCTCATCCAGATCGGATTGCAGATGGTAGACCTGGATTAAACCACAAAGAAAAAAAAAGAATGGTCAATTTGATATTTTTTAAGATCACTTTGATATTAATTTATTTGCTCAAAAAATACTAAAGTTGGTATTTTTTATGATATGATAAAATATCATGTTGATATGTTTGAATCTTAAATTTGACATAAATCATATCGGCTTTTTATTGATATGAAATAAGGTAGAAATGACCATATTTCATATCGGTTTTTTTCTGAGCAAGATCAAGTTATTCATATCATTTTGATATATCATATTCATATCATTTTGATATGAATAAAGATTATGTTGATCTTTTTTTATATTATTTTCTCAAAAAATACTAAACTTTGTAGTTAGTATGATATGATAAAATATCATGTTGACATGTTTGAATCTTAAATTTGACATAAATCAAATCGGCTTTTTATTGATATGAAATAAGGTAGAAATAACCATATTTTATATCGTTTTTTTTTCTGTGCATATAATTAATGTTATTTTGGAATACTTACAGCTGGCGCTTCGTAGGTGGGCAGGCGGAAGGACACATCGCTGGCCATGGACGAGTTGGACAGCTTGCGGCTCCTGGAGGTGGCTCCATTCAGGGATTGGGTCGAGCGTCCGCGCAGCGAAGATGCACTTGTGGCCGGCAGTTTTTGTATGCGATAAGGCGAGTTCTGAGGTGTGTCTAGAGGGAATTAAGGGGAATGTTAGGTATGATAAGGATAGGGAACACCCAGGTGACTCACCCTCCTCCGTGATGCTGAAGAAGTTCTCATTGTTGCTGGTGTTCGTTTCCGAATTGGGTGTTGTGCTTGACGATGAGCTCACGGCGGCCTAGAAAAAATCGAATAGAAAAAGTCATGAGCAGCTGTTCACTTGTCTTTCCCCCGAGAAATGGGTCACCAGTGCACTATTTCCGAACCCTTCGTTACCTACACATACATATGTGCAAATCCCATCTGTGTTTGTATGTTTTCCTTAATTTGCATTTTTCATCGGTACAATGCCCCACCCCCCGCTCCCATAAATACCTGTGCTGCATTCGCAAATTGCTGGAATTTCGACGGCGACGCCTTCACCTCCTCGATCAGCTTGTTTTTCAGGTTGGCAAACATTTCGCGGCCCTGCTGCGCTTCCTTTTGAATGGCTGCGCTACCTGGTTCGAGCACTATTCAATTTTTAATTAAAAAACATCTAAATAAATACGTGTCTGCAGATGTTGCTCCAACGGTCACACTGCCGATACACTCGGCGGTTATCGATAAGAGCCCGAATAACTGCTGGTGACGAATGCACTTCTAATACTTCTAATAATTTTGAATAGTGACGAATACAAAAAGAATATATTTATAAATAAATAAATTTTAGCTTCGTACGCTTTTAAAATCAACGAATATAAGAAAATTATTCCCTACTGTCATTTCGTTACTACGGCCATCTACAGCCACAAGCCGATTCCAGTAGGTGGCGCCAGCAAACCGTTAAAAGCTAAAATTCGTTTCATTTAAATTTAATTTATTCTGTTAACATAACCAGTTTGTCGCCCATTGAATTCTTTATACTTATTCCTGTTCATTAATAGAAAGTCTAAAAGCATGATTCAAGTTTTTTAACATCACTATTATAATGAACTGTTTACACGCTAAAAACTGAATGAAAGCTGAGCAAGTTTGCTAATTAAGAGATGATTTTTCATTTTTAGTACCCCATGGCTTGTGTTTGGGGAATTTATTTTTTGTGGGGATGCTTTAAACAACCTACTACTTGTTTACCATTTGGCGCTTTACAATCTTGTTTATACATAGTTCCCATTATATTGATCTTGAAGCTCAGATTGGTTGCGATTATAGTAAAAGGGGTTTTAAGGGGTTAATGATTCCCAAAGACGATTGCATTTAAATAATTTTCAATTAACTTAAGTCCTTAAAACATTTTCGTATGATCTACATAATTATTTAAGTTTTTAAATTATAGCTGTTTAAGCTAAAAAATTTGTTTGTAAATATATTCATTTACAATTCCCTAACTTACATAACAAGCAGGTATTATTTTTTTTAAAACGCATAAATTAATCTTTGAAAACTCATTTAATAATAATTGTGTAAGTTGCATTTCTTCATAACTTGGCGATAACGCTTAAATTATAACTGAAGAATTCAAAAAGAACTGTTGAAGAAATACATCATCAAACTTAATGGTTGAACTTACCCGTGCATAACATCTTACCCCCTAGAAAATAAACAGGTATTAAGCCACTGCCACATCTATTACCATTATTAACCTGTTGCAGCACGAGCCACAGATGAGCTTCCGAGATTTAATTACCGCCAGATTTATGTTCAATTAAAGCCATCAAAATATGGGTGTTTTATTGATGCGGTTTGCAAATACATTCAACATTTTTTGAGCTATGGGTAGTACAGTATAGTATATATCAGGGGTGCACTTGGGGAAATACAAAAGAGAGTGAAATGCATTTAAGTAAATGTCTCGAGTTAACGCATCAGCGTGGTCACTTTCTCCCTTCGGATCACCGCTCACTTGTGCAGGTTGTTGAGGAACTCCTTGTGGCGCTGAATGGCCTCCTCGTGCTCCTTGATTTGCTGATGATGGAACTCAGCCTGGTGGATCTGGTCGTTCTTCAGGCGATCCAGCTGCTCCCTTTGCTGTAAGAAAGGAAATTAAACAGAAATTCCCGATTAGCAGGGTATGAAATGCAATTAGAGATAGGTAGTTGTAAAAAACTAATTACGGGTTAGCTAAACCCGCCCATTCCTGAAGCTTCTCATCAATAATATGACTGTCATCATTAGCTGCCAGCCATATAAGAGGCTTTGTTCCCAAGCGTAAACAATTCCACCTTTGTCACAGTCCAAGAGCCAATATTTGGTTAACAATTTTTAGCACGAACGAGCCACTCAAAAAAAAAATGTTAATGTCGCGGGCAACATAAGACATTTAGTAAGTAAGCGAAAAAGACCGGGGGAAAACCACCTGCCAATGAACCTGAATCAGCATCTATATCCACATTGCCAGCCGTTCTGCCTGCTCATCTTCAACTTCTGACGCCCCGAAAAGCCTGTTTTCAGTTGATAGTTGGCTGCCGACGACGAAGAAAGTGTTTGTCCGAGGAGATCGGGGTCACCGTATTAAATTATTGCGCATTTAAGGCCGCATCTGGTTAAATATCAATAGAGTTTGGCACTCTTAATTGGTAGTCAATAAGTAGGAACACTCTACTCTCTTCAATCTCCGCCAGCGCCTCACTTATCAGGCTTCAAGCGACTTGGTTGATAAGCAGGCTACCCTTAGTTCAAGCAGAACATTTACCATCCAACCTTTGCGGCGGAATGGTGTCTCTGCGGATGATACTGTTGATCGGGCTCACGCTGACTTTGGCCCAGGGTTATGGCGCTGGAGGTGCTGGAAATCCTCGTCCCGTGCGCACTGTGGAAACGCTGACGCAGTGGCGCCAGCTGGAGTTCGGCTTTCCCACGGCCCAGGATCGGGAGAATGCCCAGACGGCTGGCAATCTGGTGCCCGAGAACGGCACTCCCATCGATGTGCAGGCGCAGTACTTGGCCAATGGCCAAACCAGGCTGTTCACCACCATTCCACGTTTCGTCACTGGTATTCCGTATACTTTGGCCACTGTCTCAGCGACGCAGGGCAGGAATGGCCCGCTGCTGCAGCCATATCCCAGCTACTCCTGGCACAATGGCAACGGCGAGGACTGCGATCGGATTACCTCCGCTTTCCGAGTGGCTGTAAGTTGGCATAGTAAATATTTAGAGGGTTGTTCTGAGGACTAAATCTTTTACAGATCACCGAGTGCAACCAGTTGTGGGTCATCGATTCGGGTGTAATTGGCACCACCCAGTTTTGTCCGCCGCAGTTGCTGCAGTTCGATCTGACCACCGATCGCCTGTTGCATCGCTACCGCTTTCCGAATAGCACCTACATCCCCAGTGGTTCCCTCTTCATCACTCCAAATGTTCTGGTGCAGGATCCTCCGCCGCGTGGAAGCTGCAGTCGCACCATGATCTATGTGGCCGATGTGAGTTATCATGGTTTGGTGGTCTACGATCATCAGGCGCAGACCTCCTGGAGGGCAGAGAATCGCTTCATGTATCCCGATCCGGATTATGGCAAGCATACCATTGCTGGCGAGAGCTTCTATCTGATGGATGGCATGTTTGCGCTGAACAATGACAAGCGCAATCTCTACTTCCATCCGTTGGCCAGTGCGAGTGAGTATTCGGTGCCATTGAGTGCACTGAATCGGCGGGAGAACTGGGCCAATGGGCCGGAGGCTTTGCCGGAGCAGTTCAGTTTGCTCGGCAGGCGGAGGAGCGAGTGCGCCGCATCCGCCATCGATGGCAGGAACAACGTCTACTGCGTCACCTTCAATCCCATCAAGCTCTTCGTGTGGAACGTAAATTCGCCATATAATTCAAGAAGCTTTGGCAATTTGCCAGCCAAATCCGATGATCTGCAGTTCGTCAGTGGAATGAAGGTGGTGCGGACTCCGGATGGGCAGGAGGAACTTTGGCTGCTCTCAAATCGCTACCAGGTGGGATTTCTTGAGGAGTATTTGTAGTTTAACTCATCTCCTTGGTTCTTTTAGAAAATCGCTGCAGGAACTTTAAATTCCAACGAGGTTAACTTCCGCATTCTGCGTCGCAAATTGGATGACGTCCAGGGAGGCGTCTTCTTTTCGAACGACGAAGATCTAACCAATCGCCTGGTGTTTAACTAGTGATTTACTAAACCAACTTAATTAATATATGTACATATTATTGTTGTTGCCGAGTTTATTGGGGTAGTGGCGGGAATTCCACGTGAGTGGTTAGAAAACCAAATAGTAAGGGAATTTTATTACAGCCAATCTTGCATTGTAAATTATGCAAATGAGAAGATTGTTTATCTTTTTGGAATTGCGAATTTCTATCCAACTTTTGAATTTACTTTTACATTTTTTAAAACCTTAGCCTAAATCATAAAGTAGCTCATATAAAAAAAAATGATAAGATGGATCTTTACATTTTCTTTTTAAAGCTTTAAAAGATTAAGGTTTCCTCGAAATTACTTGTTTTAACAAAGTGGAAAAAATGCAAATTATTTATTACAGACAATCTTGGATTGTAAATTATGGAAATGAGAAAAAGATTATTTATATTTTTGTAGAGCTAATTTTCGGGAATTGCAAATTTCTATTTAACTGTTGAATTTACTTGTTAATTTTTAAAACCTTTGCCTAAATCATAAAATACCTCATATACAAAAGATGACAAGATGGATAAAAGGCCAAGTGGCAAATTAAATGTAAATAATTATCTTTACATTTTCCTTTTAAAGCTTTATAAGATTAGGGTTTCCTCGAAATTACTTTATTAAACAAAGTGGAAGAAATTAAAATTCTAAGGAATTTTTACATTTTAACAACATATGAATTTCATAAAAAATCTTGATTAAAAGAAGGAGATAGTAGATGAACCTATAAATCTAAAACCAAAGCTTAGGAATCAGAATTGTTTGACAATTTGTTTTGGTTCTATCTTACATCATTTCAAGCTTAGAGTAAAGCTCATTATGTTGGCTTTCCAATCTCTTGCGGCACACAAATTGGGGCAGAGTTCAGGGTCAGCTGCTATCGCCCAGATGATTGGGCAAGTCTTTAGTGCCAAGCAACAATCTAGCCAGAGGTTTTAGAAGCTCCAACTGACCTTAACCGTTTCGGGAATCAACACAGCAACGTTTGAAACTTGATTGCGAACTAAACTGTATCGACTGGATAATTGATAACACTTAATGGGGCGATGAACCGAGCAAACGGACCAAATGGGTGGAGTGCATAATTAGCCAACACCACCAGCAACTTGTTTTCGAAGGTGGACACCAAGTAAACAAACTGCCACAGCTCGACCAGAATTTCAGTGCACACCGAGTGTTGAGTGTGCAATTAAACCAGTTACACAAAAGCTGCCTGGCTGGCTGGGATTAGAAAGACATGGGCCAGCGGCCCGTCGCGCATGCGCAGTATCCGCTTGGATTTTAAGTGGAGCAGTTGGCAGTTGGCGCGCGAAAGTGAAAGGATTACGGCATGCAGCGTTGGATTTTCTTAGCATCCTGCTGGTGGCTGGCAGCCTCTGTTCATTCCTTGGAAAGTGTTTTTGGTGCCTATAATCTGGAGTTTGAATTCCCTTCGCCGCAGGAAAGGCAGCGCGTGCTGAGGGAGGGCCTCTACGATCCCAGCAGCGTTATTCCCCTCGACGTGGATGCCTACTACAAGCGTGAGAGTTCCTTTTTATTATTAAACAGCTTGCTTAACTTCTTCTCCTTAGATGGCGATGCCACGCCCTCGATTTTCGTGACCATTCCGCGCTTCGCCAAGGGTGTTCCCTACTCCCTGGCCTATGTGACCAACGAAATGCGTCCAAATGGAACTCTACTGCAGGCCTATCCCAGCTACGAGTGGCACAAATCGCACGGAGCCGATTGCAATGGCCTGACCTCCGTTTACCGCACTCAGATAGACGAGTGTGGAAGGATGTGGATCCTGGACAGCGGCGAGATTGACTTCATCCAGCACTGTCCGCCGCAGCTGTATGCCATTGACTTGGAGAGCGGCAAGGTGGTGCACCAGTACAAGATGCCCAAGCGGCTGTACAAGGAGGGCGTGAGTCGCTTCGTGACGCCCACCGTGGAGCTGGATGCGCATAATTGCGACGTGGGCTTCGTTTACATGGCCGATTCCATTGGCGCCGGCATTGTGGTGTACGATGTGGCTGCCCAGCAGTCGTGGCGCATCGAGAACAAGTTCACCTATCCGCATCCGGACTTTGGCACCTTCACCGTCGCTGGTGAGAGCTTTCAGCTGTGGGATGGCACGGTGTCCACTAGTTTAACGCCTCATGGATTCAGTGGCCGGCGAATGATGTACTTCCACTCGCTCTCGAGCGACTGGCAGATGGCCATACCGCTGGATGTGGTCAACAATGGCAGTAATTGGCGGCTAAACGATGTGACCGCCGCTTTGAATCAATTCCAGCTGCTGGGCAAGCGCGGTGGCCAGTGCGTGGGTGCGGCCATGAGTGAGTCCGGTTTCCTGATCTGCGGCTTGGTTCAGCCCTCGAGTATTTTGGCCTGGAACATACGCAGCCAGTACAGCCATCAGAATCTAGTGATGCTGGTCGAAGATGCGGAGCGTCTGCAGTTCGCCAGCGGCGTGAAGATAGTGCGCAATCATGAGGGCAAGGAGGAGCTGTGGGTGCTCTCGAATCGGCTGCAGAAAGCCTTTGGAGCGGGTCTGGATTACAAGGAGATCAACTTTCGCATACAAAAGTGCGGGGTGGAGGAGCTGCTAGGCGGAAGGCCGTGTTAATCTAGTGGCTAAATGGATTCAATTAATTATTTAGAATTTTTTGTTTTATATAAATGAATTAATTAGAATTTTGAGTTTAATAGAATTGAATTAATTTGAATTTTGAGTTTAATAGAGTTAAATGAATTTGAATTTTGAGTTTAATAGAATTAAATGAATGAATGGCTTGAATTCCGAAATAATTCAAACGACAAATTTCTTTTCAAGAAGAAATGGCCATAATTTTGTGATTAAATCTGCCTGAATTTTATTTACTATCCTGCAGTTAACATTGATTTGTTACAAATTTTCCACTTTTTGTTCTCAAAAGAAAGCCCAAAAAAAAATCTGGCAAATTCAAAAAAATTCATAAAAATCAGGGACCGTAACTGTTAAATTTTTTTTTTAATCACACTTTAACACACTTTAAGTGACCGATGTAATAATTTATAAGACCTAGTCTTGTCGCATCGGGATAAATCAAATAAATAAATTAAATTATTATTTAACAGTTATTTTCTGATTTGTAAAGTAAAACTCAAAGAATATGTGTTATTTTTTGAGTTTTATTTTAATATCAAAAAATAAAAATCATTACAAATTTGTAAACTACAAGAGCTAATAAAAATAGTGGTGTTTTTAAGTTCTAAGTGTTCTAAGTGCGTGATTTTTTTGTAAGAAAAATATACAATAACAGTTATTTTCGGTCCCTGACAAAAAATTATTCATTCATTCATTCAATTCGAAATTAATTAGAAAAACATTCAATTCATTTCACATAGAAATTCTATGATAGAATTGAATTGAAATTGAAATCAGAAATTTCATGGCATACTATGATAAAACAAAAATTGAATAATTCACGCAGGGCTCTAGTTACTACTCAATAAAGTTTGTGGATGAAATTGATTAGTTTAGCGATTTAACTCACCTTCTTGTAGAAGTACTCCTCCTCGCGGGCAGCCTCCAGCTTGCCAAAGGCGCCTCCAGCCTCGCGGATGGAGCCACCGCCGCCGCCTCCCTTGCCGGCGCCACTGCCCAGGTCGCCCACCTGGCTGTTGCTCATCTTGGCCAGCCTGCGGAGTGGAATAAAGGGAAATTTTAGAATCTTCTGGTTAACATTTCGTGGGGTTTGTTACGCAACAGTGGAGTGAATTCAGCATGGAATTCACACACACACGCGCGCAGGCAAAGTGAAAGCGATTTGGAGGGGATCGAAATTGTTTATCTTATCGGGAATTGAGGAAAATGGAAGTGTCAGGGGGCATACATAACACTTTATGTGTTTAAAGTACTTTGTTAATTTGTGTAAGCCAATTAACAGGTTCGAAATGTGGTTAATATTCAAGTAACAACTTACTGGACTCCAGCGGGGTACAGGCGGGATGCACTACGACGTACGACGAACATTCTGGTTGTTATTTGGGTAGAAAAACTGAAAAGAAAGCATAAAAAACATAACTTATAGATTAAAAGAAAGAATCAAATTTTAAGTCAATTACAAAGCGGTCGCCTAAAAACCGGGTGCATTCAACTTTTTAAACCGCCGCGACGCAATAAGAGCACAGTTATTTATAGCCGGCTTCTTTGTTTACTGTTTGCATAAAATATACCCTGCAGTGGCGAGGAGTACCCGCCCTACATATACAATTTAATGCCGGAATATTGCGGCACGGCCGAACTTTACTCACCTTTTTTTTACGCAAAATGCAAAACTTTTTCCAGCAGTGTGACCGTAGGCGCACCGTTAAATAATACCTTCGCGGTAGAGCTGGTTCGCCATGGGCAATCGATGTATCGAAAGCTTGGGGCTACCGATATTTTTGGCTCGATAGCTATCGATTTAACGGACAATTTCAAACCGTGAATACACTGAAATCTCTTGCAACCAAGTTCGGTTAGTACTTTAAATTCTCCCAAATATTGTCAAATTTTGAATAAGTCATGGCAACCTCTAGAACTAAGAAATTAAATACGTTAACTGAACATTGTTCAGTGAACATACATATTTACTCGCATTCAATAGGATGCCTTGACTTATTTAAAATTTGACAACATTTAGGAGCAGATGAATAAATTAAAAAAGCGTTTTTATTCGTTTAATAAATAAATAAATAAAATGTCCTCATGAAAACGCTTTAATCCGAAATTAAAGCATACAGTGAACAATAGATTCAAGGAATAATTTAAAATAGTTCCATTTAAGATTTAATTCTCAGATTTCTTTTTTCATCATTTTATTTATTTATTTTTTTTTTAATTCAAACAGTGGCGTAGCCAGAATTTAGTTGAGGGTGGTTTTCAGTACACATTTTGTGTAGCATACTTTAGAAAACTTCCATAGGATTGCACCCGACAACGCCTATGGGTCTACGATTAGCCACACTTTATAAGTCCAAATAAGCAAGCGAAGAGCACTGTTAAAGGATCTCGGTTACATTGTACTGAACGATCTTGGTATCTTTGTACTGGAAGATCTTGGGGGCTGGGACTGGTACTTGATACCTTCGGCGGTTCTAAAAATGGATGTGAAATAGAAATAAAATAGAAAAAATTAATATGCAGTACATAAATAACTGTGAGAGGGGAATGTAAGGCTATGGTGAGGTAAAATGTGTACGATTTTTAGAATAATATGCGAGCGGGCAGTCCACCAGGAGTCGTATCCGGTTGGGAATTTAAATTTAACAATAAAGAAGGCTACAGTCGAATGTAACGACTATCGGATTCCTGTTATCCAGACAAAAGGATGTACATTAATTGCTCATAACTTGGTAACTTGTAATGGTTCGACTGAAAAAATGTTTTGCATTTAAAAAATATTAAAAGATGGGTTGATAGTCACATGAAGAATTGACATATATGGTTTTAGTTCTATATCTTAAAAAATGTGGGCGCCACAGCTTTAAATCGAATACATAGAGTTTAGTGTGTACTAACCTGTAGGCGGTCTTTCATGTTCACTGACTTTATTTACGATCCATTCCATATGGTAGCCGACATGTGTGTATACTTCAAATGTACCGAAAGGAATGCATCTACTAGATCCATAGCTAACCAAACCGTACTGGCATACCCTTGTTTGTCCCGAATAGTTGATTTTCGCGCTCAATGGGCCTCCCGAGTCGCCTACACATGTGTGACTGTAATGAGCCCCAGCACATATCTGGGATTCATCAGTATGTAAACCATACTTATCTCTACAATAATGCAGTGAAGAATTGTGTACTGTTGTTTCCTGTAGCGTCTTACTAAATATATCGTTTTCAGTGGCACCCCAGCCGGTGACCTTAAATTCTTGAACGTTTATCATATATTCATCGATGAGAAGGCATATAGGCCTGACATAATCTAAAGAACAAATTTCTTGGTAAGGACGTTGGGGTTGGTTATGCAATGTTTGTAGTTACCTGAGTACATCACCTCTCCTTCCATTCGAAGCAGCGCTATGTCAGATTTTGAATTTCCGTCACTATTGTACTTTTCGTGTCGAATTATCCTTTCAATATTATACCTATAGGCAATTGGTACGCAATTGTTCTCCGAGTCGCAAAGGGGTTCCGGATTTATGGTAAGATAATCCCCCAAGCGCACATATAAGTTAGGATGATATGTGCAATGCGCTGCTGTAAGAACAAACCCTAAGAAAACAACGACATAAGTAAATTAGAAAAAAAAAAAAAAAATTTTATTTCAGAATACATACGTGATGTGATGAGCGAACCGCCACCCGCTAAAATATCGCCTTCTCTGACCAAGACCTTTACCATCCATGGATTTTCGAATATATTTGTTGCCGTACCTCCAACAATATTCGAAAATAGCGGTTCAGACGTTGTTCCACAATCCCCATCAAGCAAACGAGCAGATCCTTTTTTAGTGTTAACTAACAAGCAGGCTAACACCAAGAATACCGATATGTCGAGCTTCATGTTTTTAGGAATACTGAATGATAGTCTCCCACGGGATCGACTTATATATGATTTTTGGTACGCTGTTTCTGAGTCACTGATTTCAGTTGAAAAACTTTTGATTATGAACTGCAGTTTATTTTATTTTATTGGACGAATATTATTATTCTAGCATAGGAGTATGTACATTGTACATACATGGACCCGCACATATTGTACACAGAGAAAATTATATTGGTAAATTGTCATTTCGGCGTGCTGGATCCAATCCCTAAATCGTTACAGAAATCCCAAAACTAAAACGATTTGTTTAACTTCTGCAGAACCTACGAATCCAAATTGAAAATAAATAAATAAGAAATTATCTAATTTTATCTAAAAATTGCCTTCTAAAACTTTCTGCATATATTTGAATATTTTTATTTTAATTAATAATTTAATAGAAAATCAAAGTTTTTCCTAATATAAAATTTCAGTGTTGTTCATTATCTATTATTTCCAGAAATTTTATGTACATAAGAGACAAGTTATGAGAAATGGCCATTCCAATAAATGAAATAAAATGTTTAAATTTAAATTCTTTGAAAAGACATAGCTTGGGCGTTTCCATACAATACCTAGTAATAGATTTTTTAAACAATTCTTCAGTAAAAATTCAAATGGTCTTGGGCGCGATAACGGTGGCCCCATAGGTCAAGTATTAAAGCCTCTTTAGCCGATTCTAGATTTTATATACATATTTTGACACTATAACCGTTGTAGCTCGCGTACAAGCATAACATAAAAACTTTTAGGTTTTGCCAAAAAAAATATGGATGAATATGCTCCATCTTACAGACCTCTCTTAGTAACGTAATTTTCTACATTATGGGAAGTAAATTTTCTTTTTTTTATAAAGAAAAAAAAACAGGGTACTTAATACTAATTATATTATTATATGTATATTAGGGGGATTCCCTAAACTGTTGAATTGCTGAATTGTTGAAAATTCAACAAAAAATTTCAGCAATTAAGGGAACGACCCAAAATGGTTCCTGTTGAATTTTCAAACAGCTGTTATTTGTTGAAAAATTTCACGGAACTTAAAGCATGTAAAATTTGATTTATTATTGCTAGTTACTGTCTAAAAGTGTTATTAAGGTAAAAAGAACCACAAATAGGCTTTCTAAGTTGATTTTAAAATAAATAATGCGTACTGGTTATACTAAAATGTTACAGAGTTGCCACGACTTTTAAAAAAAGGTGACAACTCTGGCTTTTCAGCAATTCAACAAAATTTTCAGCAGCCCCGAGGCTGTTGAATTGCTGAAATTTCTGAAAGTTGACTTTGTATGGAACAGCTGATTAACAGCTGACCAAAATTCAACAATTCAGCAATTCAACAGTTTAGGGAATCCCCCTATTATCATTGAACTGGCATTCCGCACACAGTTGAGTTCCCCTATTAAAAATCGATGTTGCAGCCGTTCGGAAAACATCGATAGTATCGTATAGTTATCGTTTTGGTTCCATCTCTGGCGACTACAAAAAATAAATAAAAACTAGATTAGATTTGAATTTATTGGTAAAATCACGCATTAAATCAGCAATTATGGCGGATGTGGACGATGGGAGCGAGCTGCTGTTCTTCGACACCTTTTCGCACGAGGAAGTGACGGTGAGTGGCCGCAGGGGCGTCTACGTGGAGCTGTCTCTGACCGCCGCTTCCCTTTTTTTTAGGACATCAACTTGGACCTGGTGCAGTTTCCCAAGCCGGTTTTCATCACACAGGTGCGCATCATTCCGCTGGGCGCCCGTGTGCAGGCGGATTTTCCCGGCGGCGTGCGCCTGGGGGCCACCAATCCGTCCAAATTCGATCTGGAGTTCTTTGTCAACGATTTGGGGATGCCTGCTGCGTCGGCATTCGAGAATCTCGGCCTGCTGCGGTACAACCAGAACGACTGCATCCACTTGGACTGCTCGCAGGAGAAGATCGTCACCGATGGCCTGGTGCTGCGCGGCTGGTACAGCACCATCACTTTGGCCATCTATGGGATCTTCACCAACTCGGTGACGGAGCCCATAGCCAGTCCCACGTTGCCCTGCGAGCCGGTTGGCCCGGAAATCAGCAACCTGAGTGGCGAGCAGGTGCTGCTCCAGGAGCAGGACGTCCTGAAGGACGAGTGGCAGGAGCCGATGCAGGCCGAGATGCTGGCCGCCCACAAGGGCAATGTGAGTGACTATGATCCTGAGGATATGGAGTACGGGATTTCGCGGGATCACTACCACCAGCATGCCGATCAGGATCAGGAGCAGCGGGAAATGCGCCGCCTGCGTCGCTCCACGCACTCCACGGATCACTCGCCGCCGCCACCGCCGAGAAGATCGCACACGCACTCGGAGAGCAACGACAGGGAGTACATCAGATGGTAAGTGGTGCTGCTCTTTTAAGGGAAGAGGGTATTGTCTTGTAGATTAACATCTTAAGAGTATACAAAAAAAGTTTCAAGTCAATCGGACAAAGACTTTAGAAGTTATGCTTAAACTAGTACAGTAACCTGTAAGACTTTAGGTACGTAAGTGCATCTTAAAGTGCGTATTTCTCGAAACCACGTTTTGAAAGCCCTTGTTCATCGGCATTTCTAAATTTGTCGCATATGAAGCATTTTCTTTTTTTTTTTGTTAACTTTAAACATTTTATTTTTAAGCCGAAAGTCAAATTCTTTAGGTAAAAAAGAGCTCGTAAATAACTGTCGACACTTTCAATATGTTCGACAAATAACACTTATTTAGTGACACATTGGGAAAATTGTCAGAACGAAACAGTTTAATTTCTGTTTTCAGTTTTTTCTGTCTTTGCTCAACAGAAAACAGTTTGTTTTGTGTCAAATGTGTTTCTGTTTTCCAGAGACAGTTATTCTGGGACAGTTATTCATATGTGTCTCAGTGTCAAACAGTAAAAGTTGAAAACAAAAATTTGGTGGCACAAGTAAATCATCTTCCTCTGAGATCGATTTCAATAAGCATCGTGAATTGCCGTCGACAAGTCACCCATGCGCTCTGAGGAATTTACCTTTTCTCTGAATTTTTAGATGGTGTCCAGTCATTATCACAAGCAAAGGAAGATGCTTCGCGGTAACCACTATCAAAAATGTATGCAGATGTGTAGAGTTTTGACATGACTTTCAGACGTTTACCATTGAACTCCAATATATTGCAGTTTTATGATGACCTGAAGATGCAATCGCCGTATTTAAGTGCTCTTGCCCGGGTAGTGCTGGCTACACCAGCCACACAGGTTACTATGGAAAGGGCATTTTCCGCACTGCATTATGTATTAAATGAGAAACGAAGCTCTCTTAGTGCGCAAAACATAAATTCGCTTTTAGTTGTGAAGTTAAACGCCGAATAAAGTTTATTCGATAAATTGGTCAAACATCAAATTTTCATATACACTCAGGAACAAATTTTTACAAAATAAATTATTATTCGGCAATACGAAGTTTACATATATACGCTAAAACCATATCATGCATAAAAAGTGTATTTATATAACTACATATATGGAAAAGACTTAAAATTTTTAAGTTAGAAATAAGCACACAATCCAAAAAGACACTTATTCTGAGACAGTTATAGGTTTTGATCATTCAAAAACACTTATTCTGTGAGGTGAAAGCAAAAGTCTCCCTTTTTTTCTGTTATTGAGAGACAGAAATAAAGTTTGTGTCAGCCGAAATCAGTCAACAGAAAACACTTTAAAAGAAAAAATAACTGTTTTCTGTCCGAGACTGACAGAAAATTTTAGATTTTTTCTGTTTTGTGAGTAACAAGACAGTTTCAGAAATAAGTGTTAACAGTTATTTACGCAATTTTGACTTTGGACTATCGAAAAAAATTCTTAAAAATAAAAAATGAATAAAAGGGCTTCATAGGGGGCTGGTTTTTTTATTCCTAAGCGAAATGTTAAAACAAAATGGAAATCCGATCATTTTTAGCGGAGGTACAGTGAACACCGCAAAACGCCTTTTTTTAATAGTGTTCCAGCAATCGCTTTGCCATATCAAAATTAGTGGATGTAAATTAAATGACTCTTAATAATATACAAAAGGTTTGAATTAAATCCATCCAACCAGTTTTTATAGAAAAAATCGCAAAGTTAGACGATTTTTTGGTGCCAAAGACCATACCCCCCTTAATAGATTTCAAATAACCTGGTTCATTTTAATTCCATAGCTCCCGCGACAAGGGCTCCAGGGATTGGTCACGTTCACCGGAATACCCCAGCCATCGGTCGCGTCGCAAGCGCTCGGAACGATCTCGTTCCGATGTGGACGAGCACAAGTGGCCCAGGACGCCGCCGGCATCGATTGACTCGCCCACGCGACCGCGCTCGCCCGACACCATGGACTACGAAGACGACGACTCGCGCTCCCACTACAAGATGCAGTCCTCCCACTACAGACACTCCTCGGAATCGCTGCACCGCGGAATCGCTGATCGAGATCGCGACGACGAGGAGCGATCATGCACGCCGCAGGAGCAGTTCGAGCCCATTCTCAGTGACGACGAGATCATCGGCGACGACGACGAGGAGGACGATGCAGTCGATGCGGCTGCCATTGCGGAGTACGAACGTGAATTGGAGGCCGCTGCTGCCTCTGCTCCTCCTGCCATCGATGCTTTTGAGCCCTGGCAGAAGCCACTGCTGGTCTACGAAGGCGACATGGCTTCGCACTTCAGCAAGGAGCTGGAAACTCTAAAGCTGCTCTTCAAGAAACTCATTCTTCAAACGCGTTGCGAAAATGTGGCTGCTTTCGGCGAGGAGCACGGCGCCAGTGTGGACGAAAGGGAGCAATTCGTGTACTTGGGAGAGCAACTGAACAACCAACTGGGCTACTTGGCCCAGCACTTCAAGCGCCGGAACTTTGTGCTGCAGCAGTTCTTCGGCAACGACGAGGTTCACCTGCGTCAGGCGGCCAATGTTCTGCAGATTGCCCTCAGTTTCCAGGCGGCCTGCATGCAGCCGCAGCCCGCTTTCAAGATTCGGCACATCAAGCTGGGCGCCCGCATGGCCGAGCTGCTGGGCTGCAGCGAGGATCTCTTCCAGCATTTGCTGAAAGAGCACCAGTTCGACATCTTCGAGGCCGTCTTCCGGCTGTACCACGAACCCTACATGGCGCTGTCCATCAAGCTGCAGCTGCTCAAGGCCGTTTACGCCCTGCTGGACACCAGGATGTGCATCGATCACTTTATGGCCTCGAAGGACAATGGCTACCAGATGATTGTGGAGGCCCTCAAGAGCGCAAAGTTGACGAGAACAAAATACGCATTGCAGGCGATCTTGAGGAAACTTCATCTGTGGGAAGGCCTGGAGAGTGTGCAGATCTGGTGCCGGCGACTCTTTGTGGACAGGATAATCATACCGGGCAATCGCGATCAAATGGAGGACACTGTGATAACGTGTCAGCAAATTGAGTTCGCCTTCGACATGCTAATGGATGCCCTGTTTTCCAGCCAACTTAGCTACTTGCAGCCGCGCCGCTTTCTGCCCGTTTCCAAGAAATTCGAGGTGGTCACCGATCCCACAGCGCAACGGAGTTTTGGCAATGCTTTGCAGTCGTATTTGGGACAGAATTCTGTGGCGGAATCTCTGCTGGTTTTGCTGGCAAACTGCAAGGAGCTGCCGGCCACCACATATTTGAGCATGCTTGATTTGATGCACACCCTGCTGCGGTCCCATGTGGGCATTGATTACTTTGTGGATGATGCCTTCCCTGTTACCCAGACAATTGTGGCTATATTGTTGGGCCTGGATGAGATTCCCAGGAGTCCAGAGGAGGAGGTGAAGCCGGAAAAGGCTGAGCAAGAGGGGGAGCTAAAGGAAGGCTCAAAAGATGCAGTTGGTGGCGAGAAACCAAGTGTACAAACAGCTGAAGAGGAGGTAAAGACTGCTCCTGCCTCGGTTCCTCCTACTGCAATTCCAGTTCCTCAACCTCAAGTGCGACCCAGGCCCATCCTTCGACCAGTGCTGCCTCGCCTGGCCAGATTAGGCATTGAAATGTCCTACAAAGTGCAGACACGTTACCACCTGGACGCCATTGTGTACGCAGCCGCTGCTCCCGACTACGATGCCGTCAAGTTGGCCACTCATATGCATGCCATCTACTCGCAAACCTGCGATCCCGCTGGAAGACAGCACACCATCGAGGTGCTCGGTCTGAATAACAACCTGAAGATCTTTATGGATCTGATCAAAAAGGAACAGCGCCTGCAGACGCAACGCCAACTGAGCTCGCCGGGCACCAAGTACAAGAGTCCGGTGTTGAGCTATGCCGTGGATATGGTGGACGCCTGCGTCCGCTATTGCGAGCAGTTGGATTACCTTATCGAACATGGAGGTGTGATTTTGGAGCTGGCCAAGAACCACGAGACCTTCGAGCCGTCGGTGTCGGCAGTGCTGCAGGAGATGTACGTGTATATGAAACCGCTGGAGGCCATCAACGTATTCGTTTACGACGACATCATGCCGCTGGTGGAGGTGATTGGGCGCTCCTTGGATTACCTGACCACTTTTCCGGGCGATTTGATCATGGCCCTGCGGATTTTGCGTTACCTCGCCATCAGCAAACCAACTGCAGGTCAAAAGGCTCCGCCTGTCACCGAGGAACTGAAGCATCGCTTTGTTGCACTGCAGCTCTATGCCGCCGATGGCGTTCAGTTGTGCATCCAGATTATGGAGCGTTTGTGTGCCTACTTTGAGCAGCCGGGTGCCCATGCTCCTGCTTTGATGACCATCCAAGGAGTGCACTGCTGCCAGATCATGCTGCCCACGCTGCAGATCCTCCGCGAGCTGCTCTCCTACGCCATTCTGTGCCGGGATGGCACCTACAAGGATCTCACCGCCATCGATCACCTGGTAAAGGTGTACTATCTGCTTTACTACTATCCCACGCGCTGCCAGGCGGGTCTCGAAGTCGAGCAGTGCAAGATGGAGGTGGTGCAGACCCTGCTGGCCTACACTCAGCCGAACGAACAGGATGAGGAATCGCTGCACAAGTCGCTCTGGACGCTGATGATCAGGGAGGTGCTCAAAAACGTCGATGGCCCCGCACACTTTATTCCAGGTAAAGGGAAACTCTGGGGAATTATATTTAACACCTAGAAGGAAGCGTTTCCGACCCCATAAATTATATATATTCTTGTCCGTCTGTCTGTCCGTCCGTATGAACGCTGAGATCTCGGAAACTACAAAAGCTAGGAGGTTAAGATTTCCCACGCATATTCTTGGGCTTCCTACGCAGCGCAAGTTTACTTCAGCCGAGCACCACGCCCCCAATCGCCCACTAACGATTTTAAAATGTGTCTGGCGCCCACATCTTTAAAGATTTCCGAAAAGTATAAATGCAATTTTGTTGTGTGTATTTATTCCTATCGAAATGTAGAAGACATTTTTCTAATCGGACCATTCATTAAAAAGTTATCCGTAATCAACATGTTTTATATCCATCTCCCTCGCACTCCCTTTAGCTGAGTGCAGGGTATTAGATAGTCGGGACACCAACTTTAGCGTTCTCTCTTGTTTTAGCTAAGATCTGTCATCTAATATATTTCTTATCTCCTTTAAAAACAGGACTTAAACTACTTGCGGAGCTGCTTCCCCTTCCGCTACCAATGCCCCAGCCGCTTTGCGACCAATTGCAGCAGCAGCACAAACAGCGTTTGATAACCGAGCGCAAACTGTGGTCCGCCCACTTGCATCCGCAGAGCGGACAGATTGCCAAGCTGGTGGAGGCACTGGCTCCGTCCAGTTTCCCACAGCTCTCCGAACTGCTGCAGCGAGTTTGCATGCAGCTGTCGGATCTGGCGCCCAATATGACTCTACTCATTGCCAAGACCATAACGGAGCTGCTGTGCACTGAGTACCAGACATCCAACTGCATTCCCACCACCAATCTGGAAAGGCTGCTCCGTTTCTCCACGCGCCTGTGCGCATTTGCTCCTCTGAAGAGTTCCATGTTGTCCATACTTTCGGGCAAGTTCTGGGAACTTTTCCAATCGCTACTGGCCCTCAACGAGTTCAACGACGTGGTCTCCAATTGCCAGGAGGCGGTGCATCGTATCCTGGACAGCTTCCTTGACTCTGGAATTTCGCTGATCTCGCACAAGTCCACGGCTTCGCCAGCTCTCAATCTTTCTGCGGCACTGCCACCCAAGGAACTCATTCCGCGTATAATCGATGCTGTCTTCAGTAACTTGACGAGTGTGGAGGTTACCCATGGCATATCGATTCTGGCGGTGCGCAATCTGGTCATTCTCACGGAGCACGAGTAAGTTTTGATTATAACTAGACCTCGGATTTTTCTAGGTAGGTGTCATATTTTTAAAATGTAATAAATTCGGATGCATATCGGAAGGAACCTTCAGTAAACAAGGCGAGCAATTTAAACAAGAAGTTTGGCCGATAGGGCCAAAAACTATTCTGCCCCTTTTACTATTTTTGCCCCCTTCTCGCCTACTCGTTGGAAATATAAATAGGGTTTTCTTAAATTTGGGAAAAATTAGATATCTCAGAAATGACGGAAAGAAACAAACAATTTTCTTCGGGTAAATTAGGTTGGCTGTGAAATGGTCAATCTTGAATAGTTCAGTTTATTTTATATTTTGCATATATTTTGCCATTAATTTTAAACTATATTTTTATTGAAACAAACTTTGGTGTTTTCGGAATTGATCTAAATTTATTCTATAAAAATATGCAAATATGCAAAATTCGAGGTCTAATTATAATAGAATTTAGGAAATATAATAACATTATTTTATCCCACCCGACAGCTTCACCTTTTACCACCTGGCGCAGTTGCTGAAGCAAAAGATCACCGAGTTTCAGGCCTGGATGGAGCGTGTAATCCTTCACAACGAAACGGTGGAGTACAACGCCAACATCGAATCTCTAATCCTGCTGCTGCGTTCACTCACCCAAATCGAACCGCCGCCCACTATGTCCGCCATGCCGCATCGCACTTTGAAACTGGGCGCCACGGAACTGGCGCAGCTGGTGGAATTCCAGGACATTGAGCTGGCCAAGCCGCCGGTTTTAAGTCGCATTCTCACCGTCATGGAGAAGTACAAGGCGGTGGCCAACGAGGCGGCGCTGAGCGACCTCAAGCAACTGATTCTGCTGCAGGCCTCCAAACAGGAGATTCTCGCCGGGATCAGCACTGAAACGCCACCTGAGGGAGGAGATGGTGAAGCCAATACCTCGGCCAGCAGCTGCAGTGGTTCGCTGACTGTGGAACCCTATCTTCCGCAGGCCGAGGGCATTGTCACGCAGTACGAGGCGCGTCCGATCTTCACGAGATTCTGCGCCACTGCCGAGAATGCCCAGCTCACGGCTCGCTACTGGCTGGATCCGCTGCCCATCGAACTGATCGAGGATATGAATGAGCCTATTTACGAGCGCATTGCCTGCGATCTCACGGATTTGGCAAATGTTTGTCTTAATCCGGATTTAAATGTGGCTGGAGATAGCAAGCGGGTAATGAACTTATCCGGCTCGCCGCAATCCAATCGCGAGATGACGCCGACGGCACCTTGTTTCCGCACACGCCGAGTGGAAGTGGAACCGGCCACTGGTCGTCCGGAGAAGAAGATGTTTGTTTCTTCGGTTAGGGGACGTGGCTTCGCTCGTCCTCCGCCATCTAGAGGCGATCTGTTTCGTTCCCGTCCACCCAACACCTCTAGACCGCCATCCCTACACGTCGATGACTTTCTGGCCCTGGAAACTTGTGGCGCCCAGCCCACAGGACCCACTGGCTACAACAAGATACCCTCCATGCTCAGGGGCTCCAGAGTGGGACGCAATCGTGGATCCCGCATTTCGGCAGCGGCTGCTTTTAGGTGGGTTCATTATAAATTATTTAAAGCATTTTATCTAAGAGATTTTACTATTTTAATAGACAAAAGAAGCTGATGCGCATTGGTTCACCCTCCAGCTGGGCAGACTCTTCGGGATCCTATCGTTCCGGCTCGGATTCACATTTTAATAGCAGCGATTCGCACTACTCGTCGCCTCACTACAGTGGAAGGCCGCGTGGCCGTGGCCTGCGCTCCAGACCATCCTACTTGAGATAGGAGGAAGTTCTCGATTCCACTTCCCATAAAAGGGCTAGAAATTAGGAGCCAGTTAATCGTTAGTTAAGCCGTTTAATTCCCTTACTTAATAACAAGTGCTGATTTTGCTGATTAGCTCACTGTATTTTGTATTTGTATTTTATTATTATTTTTTCCAATCTGTATTTAAGCTTAATGTTAATTTTCTGTAATTACACTGTGCAAACGGACATCGTGCGACTCCAAGGGTAGCTCCTCCTTGCTGACTATCTGCTCGTTGAGGGCCAGTGCCATCAGCGAGATCTTCTTGTGCGGATATTTGTCAGCGTGCTGCTTTAGGAACTTGTCGTAGTAGCCCATTCCATGGCCCATGCGAGCTCCGCAGCGGGTGAAGGCCACTCCGGGCACAATGAAGAGATCGATGCCGTGGCCTGCAGTGAAGGGAATCTCTGTTTAGAAGGATGTTTTAGGAGTAAATCCTAACAACCCACCATTGGTCATGGCATCTTCGCGGGCCTCCTTAAAGTCCGGCTGCTTGATGTTCCACTTGGTCAGCGGCAGACTCTCGTACTCTTCCATCCCGCGCAGTCGAACCATTTTCATCTTGCTGCCCTCGTAGGTCGGCACAAAGACCATCTTCTCCAGGCGGAACATCTCGCTGAGCAGCGCCGTAGTGTCCAATTCGGAGGTGGTGCTCAGGTAAATGCTCACCCGCTGAGCCTGCCGGAAAATCTCGCTCTGGAGCACCTGAAATCGAGGGGATTAGTGATAACCCTATGACCCCAGACACTTTGTTACCTTGGCCGTGACTGCTTGGGATTGCCGGGCAATGGTCTCCGCATCCAGGCACTTGAGGGCATCCTTCATGCGTCTCCTCAACGCCACTTTCAGACTATTCTGGATCGCAGCCGCCATTCCTGCTGGGGGATCTTCTACTGAACACTCGTGCGAACCGGTGAGAACTGTTTCCATCTGCCTGCCCAACCGGGGCATCTGTAGGTCTATCCTCTGGTGTTCTTATCAGCTTCAGTTACACTGCCCCACTGCTTATCAGTCGGTGGTTCTCTTTTAAAGCCGTGTTCGTAAACAAATGGAAGGGGAAACCAGAAGGTATACAAGATTTCCAGTGGCTAAACCAAAAGACGATCAGCTGATCAGAGATGGGAGTTACTCAGTTAATTATATAATTTAACATATACCTACTCATACAAAAATATTTAAAATGAACCAATAGAAAAATGTAATTTAACAAACTTAATGCATAAACTATAAAAATTTTGAGTACAACTTTAAGTAAAAACAATACAGACAATATAATCAAGTAAAAGTTCAGATCTTATTAAATTTTTAAATCTTTATATATTTAAAATAAAACAATAGAAAAATGTAATTTAACAAACTTAATGCATACAGTATATTTGGAGTAAAACTTTAAGTAAATACAATTCAGACAATATAATCAAGTAAATATTTAGATCTTATTAAATTTTAAAATCTTTATATCATTCACTTCTTAGGAGCCTCAGGTGCCTTGGGTTCCGTCTTGGTTTTTAGATTCTTTAGTTGCTCCTTTTGCTATAGAAAAATAAAAAGATGGGTATTTTTTTGTAATAATTTACTAAATCTTAAGGACTTACCTGCTTATAGAAGAACTCCTCCTCGCGAGCAGCCTCCATTTTGCCAAAAGATCCACCGGCCTCTCGAATCGAACCACCTCCACCGCCTCCCTTGCCGGCACCACTTCCGAGTTCACCGATCTGTGACATTTTCAAGTGTCTGCAATGCAATTATGTAGTTGGAAAATAGTTCTAGAATTCTTATGCAATTTTGCTCCAATTCGTGAAACTTACTGAATCTGCTGCGGATACAAACGCTGACTGAGACGGCGCAGTGTAAACATGTTTGTCTTTTATAGAAACGGTTTATATAGTATAGTTAAGCTATATATAAGGGGGTGATTTTGCCGCTGCGATTTCGCCGACTTGTGAAAACAAACTGCGGAAAATTGGACAAGAGCGTAGCTATAAATACTTAATGGGGGACGAAAATAAATGCTATTTGGGTTGAAACAATATTCTTGTATAGGGACGAAGACTTTTATTTCTTAAATAAGAGAAGTTATAAACATTTTTCATATTTAATTTATTTTATAATTTTTATATATTCTACGCCCCTGCATTCCAGTCACCAAGTGGCGCGGAAAAAACGACCATTTGAATTTGAATTTTGAACGCAAATGCAGGAATTTTATTTTTGAAAACCCTTTTGAACTTTGAAACTAACAATTTTATTGCGCAATGTGCCATTCAGAAAAGTTGGAATGATGATGAGGCGCCTTTGAAGTAACGAGTGAGTGTCGAATAATAATAAAACAATTAACTATTTTGTGTTTTGCGGATCTGAATTAAGATCCGATTCAGTAGCAGTGTTGTTAACGAGTTTTGGGTCTTCTTGAGCACGATCGTGTAATACTTTTATATCATCTGCGGTCTGAAAATGAAGATGGTGAATGAAAAATAAACCTTTTTGAAAAAGAATCCCTACCTCATTGAGGAAAAACGCCTCCTCGAGTACATTCTTGTGCTTGTTCATGAACGACGAGCTTCCGAGAGAGGCGTGATCCAGGGTCTTCTGGAACTCATCCCAATTGGGCAAGTAGTCGACATCGTCCTTCTTGTCCCGCATCTTGCACATGAGGTTCTGGGTAAGCGAAATGAAATACTCCTCCTCCTTCAGACCGCCCTGCAGTTTGCCTAGTCCACCGCCCCACAGGAAGACATTTGGAGGAGGTTTCTTCTCCTCGGAGTAGGGTTTCTTGGCCATCAAGCCGAGCCTTTGTGGATTTCAGCTGGAAAATTAGACGAACGACGCAGGATTAGAAGAGGGCACTCACGTTTGCTTTAGACCCAGGCTCAGTCTACGCTGCACAAATCCTGCACAAAACATTTTTGTACACGAAAGTAGGGAATACATAAGAAAAGGTTACGGATTTTTTACAAAGGGGTACACAAAATGGGACGATATCAACGGGCTGGGGCTACTAGACTTCAGAAAGATTTTGCCACGCTTGCTTTTTTTTCTTATTTTCGTCTAGAGATAATAACAACAAATTACTTAAAATGAAATTAGTTGTTTATATATTTTGTAAATAAACCATTTTTTAATTAACTTTATTTACAACAAAACGTAATTAATTTTAGAAGCTTTATTAAAGAAAATAAATTTTTTAATTCAAATGTCAATATCGACTGTCTTTCATCCTAACTAACGACTCCATCCTAAGTCTACGTCTCATACATGACAGTCGTCGCTACAGTACAGTACTTACTAACTTGTTAATTGAATATTTTTAATTATATTTGGTATTTTACAAGTCAAAAATATGAGAGAACCATAAAAAAACTACATTTTGTTATAAAAGCCCCTTTAACAAATCACTAAATTACATAATTCATAAAATTTTTTGTAAAACACTTTATTTATATTTTTCATGCTGTGAGAAAGTAAAGAATTTTTGAGTTTACATTATTTATACTTTTCAAAACCATTATACATTTTTCTCAATTTTTACTTCTGTCACATTTTCCAACATGTAAACACCGTCCTAATATTTCGTTATAGGATGAACAACGGCCGCATTGATGGTGAACTGGTGAACTTAGCATCCTTGCTAAGGAAAGGCCCGCCAGAGTTAAAAAAGTTATACAGAAAACGTTGATGTTCATTTTTAAAGTTAAAGTCGAAGACTTACCTAGCGCAGCTTAATATATAGTAAAGCTATGGACAACGGTAACTAATTGATTCTATAAGGTTAATTTAAGAAAAAATGTTAAATGAATTAATTATCCATTTATGTACATCTAATAAGGAAAACAACCATACAGTTCTATAATTAGCCGTAAGAATATAATACGATTTTTGTTGCTTTACCTGAACATAGTTTATTTTACACTGTACAATTTACCAGGGACCGTAAATAATCATTATTTGAGATTTTTATTTTAAAAAGACTACTGTGATATTTGTTTTAAACGTCAAAAATAACGTTCTTTTTACTCTTGTCCACAAAGTATATGCATTTCAACAAATCTGGAAAGCAAATTAACTGTTATTTGTTCATGTCTATAAAGTGCATAAAAACCAGTTAAATTGTTGATTAAAACTTGTAAAAACCTCAGTAGGCCTTTTAAAATAAAAATCTCAAATAATGATTATTTACGGTCCCTGCAATTTACAGTACTTATTAACTTGTAACGATAAAGCTTTAACATACAAAAGTTCTGATATCAACATTTGTGACGAAAATTATTACACTCGTCATTAAATAGACTTTCTAATATTTTCTCATTCGGCCCGCCCTAGCAGACTATTCCAGCCTTTTTCCCTTCACAGGAATTTTCTATTGCAGCGTGCCGAATGAAAAAATATTAGAAAGTCTATTTAATGACGAGTGTAATAATTTTTCGTCACAAATGTTGATATCAGAACTTTTGTATGTTAAAGGTGCGATCGTCACTAGTTTTTTACCTCGTTAAGAGGTGTTTTTATTTGATATCAGAAGTTTTTGTTTGTTTACATTTGTTCTCATAGGAGCTAATATATACATTTAAATTTAAATTTGTCAATCATAATTTGTAAGCCATTGTATTTAAACAAATTAAGTTAAAAAGGCGTTTAAGTATTTCAAAATACCTTTTAAACGAGGTATGGCACATGTCTGTACCTTTAGTAGTGTAGAACTTACAAACTAACGAAATTTAGCCATTTTCAGCTTTTTTCCCGCTAAAGTAGCGGCTTTTTCCAAAAGTCGTAGAACAAAAGATTCCTATATGGAACTCTTAAGTGCAAATTTACTGATTCCATGACCCTAAAATACAGTTCGGATACCCTCACACAAAATTCAATACTCAGGAAGCTTTAGTTGTTCGAGCTGGCAAAAGTGGCTATTTTCGTATAAAAATAACTTTTAAACGTGACTTTTTACAGTAATGTGTTATATACCAAAATTTAAGGAATCTCAAGGGCTATACAGTTTAAAGTTTTCAAGAAAATCGTTAGAGCCGTTTTTGAGAAAAATAAAAAAAAGCTAAAAAAAAGTTTTAAAAAATTGTCTTTTGTTCATATCTTTTTAATTATTACATTTACACAAATTGCATATAGAAGGCGTTTATAGCATTTAAAAATACCTTTCAAACAAGATGCAGCACAAGTCTGTAGCTTTAGTAGTATAGAAGCTACGGTTTTCCGAATTTTAGCTATTTATAGATGTTTTCCCGCTAAACTAGCGAGTTTTTCCAAAAGTGGTAGAACAAAAGTTTTTTATATCGATGTGATGAACGTCATATTACATTTTCAAAACTTAGGAAACATGTTTTGGACAAACTGACAAACTGACAAACAGAATTAAATTTTCATTTTGGGAAGAAGAAGGAAATCTTATTTTGGCTATAACTTTTGAACGGAGCGACGGATTTCGACAAATGACCCCTCATTCGACGGGTATTTTCAAAAGGAATACAACTAAAACATTGCGAGGGGGCATTTATCCCCACCGGCCCCAACAGCTCCAAATTTCGAAATTTTCACTTTTTCACTTTCACCGCTCTCTCTCCCAAGCCAATTGATTTTCTTAAAGTCTTGGTATGCAGTCCTTTAAGTTTTTGCAATACCTTTCGATTGGTGTATTACTCATTACGATCGGACTATCACAGCAGATTTTCAATTTTGCGGCTATATAATAGTAGTCGCCTTCGCACACTCTCCTGGTGCGCTTCGTCACTACATGGACTGCCGTCCATAGTGATTCATAAAATTTTTTGTAAAACGCTTTATTTATATTTTTCATGCTGTGAGAAAGTAAAGAATTTTAGAGTTTACATTATTTATATTTTTCAAAACCAAACGGATTATACATTTCTCTCAATTCTGGGACAGTTTCTATCATATATACACAGCCGTAATATTTCGTTATAGGATTGACAACGGCCGCAATAACGCTTTGGTGAACTTAGCATCCTTGCTAAGGAAAGGCCCGCCAGAGTTAAAAAAGTTATACAGAAAACGTTGATGTTCATTTTTAAAGTTGAAGTCGAAGACCATTATATTAGTGCAGCTTAATATATAGTAAAGCTATGGACAACGGTAACTAATTGATTCTATAAGGTTAATTTAAGAAAAAATGTTAAATGAATTAATTATCCATTTATGTACATCTAAAGAGGAAAACAACCATACAGTTCTATAATTAGCCGTAAGAATATAATACGATTTTTGTTGCTTTACCTGAACATAGTTTATTTATAGTAAAGCTATGGACATTACATTATTTACATTTACATTATTTGAGATTTTTATTTTAAAAAGACTACTGTGATATTTTGTTTTAAAATAACGTTCTTTTTACTCTTGTCCACAAAGTATATGCATTTCAACAAATCTGGAAAGCAAATTATCTGTTATTTGTTCATGTCTACAAAGTGCATAAAAACCAGTTAAATTGTTGATTAAAACTTGTAAAAACCTCAGTAGGCCTTTTAAAATAAAAATCTCAAATAATGATTATTTACGGTCCCTGCAATTTACAGTACTTATTAACTTGTAACGATAAAGCATGCAAAGTATGCGTCAAAAATGTTGTTCTAAACCCTATTATAAATCACTTCATTTATGTTTTCAAAAACAAAAAAGGATTACAAATTGGACTCATTATTTACTTCTATAACAGAGTTTATCAAATATACACCGTCTTAATCGTTCGTCCCAGACTTCACAACCGCTGCAATGCAATTCCAACCTCGCAAAGGAAAGGCCCGCCAGAGTCAAAAAAGTTATACAAAATTAATTGAAGTTAATTTTTTGATTAAATTCTGATATTACTATATTATATAGTAAAGCTATTGACAACAGTAACTAATTGATTTTAAAGGGTTAATTTAAGCAAAAATATTAAATTATTTAACGAAGATGTCAAAACTGATCAATTTAGTATGCACATCCACCCCCTCACCCTCGGATAAAAATTACAAGCAAATGTGATAGGGGAGAGTGGGGTAATTTCGTCAGCATTTTTTCAAAGCTATTTTTTTGTCCATCTTGAGACACGTTATCATGTTTCTATTTTTATTGTTGAATGCGGTTAGCACCAAGCTTTAAAATGTGACATTCCCCTATTTTTTTAATTACCTTGGTGATTTATAAAAAAATAAAAAGTAAAACCAATATACTGGGGCAATCTCGCCACACAGGTGGGTAAAATAACCACACCACCGGGGCAATTTCGTCAACTGAAAAGTGTAGGGAACTTTACGCCTGTAAGTATGCTACACTGATCAAGCGTACCATTTTTGTTGACGTCCTATATTTGTTGCTGCTGCTGGTAGTCTGTTCGTTAGCCAGCTCGTCAAATAAAAAAATATGTATCTAAAATAGGTGCTAATTTACCCTAAGCATAGGGTGACGAAATTAGGCGCGAAGTTAAAAATCACTAACGCAGAAATGCACATTATAGCACTGTGTATTATATAAAAAATCGTGTATCTTATTCCTTTTGAATTGTGGCATACAGAAAAAATTTCGTCGAGAACTAAATGTAGCTTTTGAACTGTTAAAACCCATTTAATATTATAGCTTAATTATCTTGGCCTTCTGTGCAAAAAAAATGCATTGGTTGTGTCATGCCGTCTTGAGGGACTAAAACAAAAAAAATTATATATTTTTTAGACTTATGGATTCCTAGATATTGCACTTGACGAAATTGCCCCTGTGACGAAATTACCCCACTTTCCCCTACTCAAAAAGTTTGCAGTATGAAATCCCCCCACATCCAATTCCTGGACCCGCCCCTGAATTAACCTTTAACTGAACCTTCAGTACCTACTAACTTGTTAACTTATGTATGGCTCATTCCACGTCACACGTGACAGGTAATTTGGGGCCAAAGCTCAGAAAAAATCTAAAATAAAAAGTCATGCTTTTGCGACTTTATTTACATTTTTCAAAAACAAAGAAATGCAAACATTACTCATAACACTTATATAATCCTTCGCTCAATTCCCTACAAGGACCTCTCTCTAAGGGACTCGCTACAGAAAGACCCATTAGACTCAAAAAAGTAAAGCAGCAAACTTTCAAGTTCATTTTTATAGTTGAAGTCGAAGACTGTTATAATAGAGCAGGTAAAATTGTTGCAAGGCTTTCAATGCAAGATAACTTGAAAACAGAAACTAATTGATATTGTATGGTTAATTTAAGATATAAAATAAGTTATTTAATGTAAATGTCAAAAGTGAATTTATTAGTGCCTAAAAATAATCGTCATCATATTGCTCTCTTCCTTTAAAATTAAGGTGATGAAAACGCGATGATTTTGTGAAAGAAATCCATTGTCAAAAAGACGATGAATGGTGCTGCAGAGTATGAACAGGAAAATAAACAGAAAAAATAAGAAATTCGAATTTTTGCTTACCCTAAAATGATTTATTTTTCAACATTTACTAACTTGTTCGTTCGACTGTCAAATAACCGGTACCAACAAACCAATTTCCCATTCTAACTCTCTAAAATATGTGGATTTTGGTCGAATCAATGCATATAACCTACTAAATTAAACGATGCATATAAACTCTTTATTTCCATTGCGTAAGAAAACAAGCAATTAACATTTTTGTAAAATAAAGAATTTACAAACTATACTGAATATTTACTTCTCCAACATCGTCTGTCGAATGCGCACCGTTTTAATTCTTCATTCCAGATGGTACAAACTCCATCGCAATATTTCTTGGGACGTTTCGCCAAGGAAAGTCCCATTAGAGTCAAAAAAGTAATGCAACACACTTTAAAGTTCATTTTTGAAGTTGCTGTCGAAGACTATTATATTAGAGGAGTTAAGTTTATCGTACGCTAAACAGTAACTAATTGATATTTAAAGGTTTATTTAAGTAAAAAATAATTATTTAACGCAAATGTCAAAGTTGAAAATCACAGAACACAAATACATCTAAAAAGAAAAACAAGCAGTCCATTTTATAATTAGCCGTAAATAAAAAGTTTCAATAAGAAAGAATTACAAATAATTTTACCTTTTTAATTCTTTTTTTTTGAAGCCCCCTTAGCAATATTCCTTGCTGAGTGTCAAAAAATAAATAAAGCAAACTTTTTATTTAAAATTTAATTTTAAATGTTTTTTAACTTTATTAGCATGGTAAAAATAGACACGTTTTAATACTCTCATCCCATCGGCGACAATGTCCTTTGCAAGTTTCTTTGGATTGGTTAGCCAAACAAACCCCTATCATAGTCAAAAAAGTTAGACAGCAAACTTTGAAGTTCATTGTTGGAGCTGAAGATCCAGACTCTGAAATATTATTGAAATAATTTTATAAAGCTTAAAGTGTCATGCGCCATATTTTAAACGATGATTGATTTTCTTTGGTCAATTTTAGCAGAAAAATTACTATAGTTTACTGTGATGCCTAAAATTCCAGTGTAACGAACATGAAAACAGGAGCAGACAAAATAAAAAAAAAATATTTTTGAAAATAGACATTTGAAAAATCGCCCCATTTGATTTTGGGCAAACATTTATACTACTTTATTTGTCCAGTTATGATCATGATTATAAATGGTGCACAATTTACGTTGACATAATCTCATCTTAAAAATATTTTATAAACTTGATTTGAAAAATAAAAACGAAATTTCCGAAAATCTTGATTGGTGGTATTTTTGGTGGTATATAAATACCGAAAAATCCCTGCGAAAACGATTGCCTTTTGGATTTTTGTTCGGTATTTTTATTTATCGCTGGCGCTATCGGTGGGGCAATCGGAAAATGTTGTGAAAAGAAAAACGCTGGATTTTGCATGATTTGCGGCCCAAATCGGATATGCTAACTGTGCGGGCGGACTAGTGATAATGCCGATCGAGTGAGGCCAAGACACTAAACGGGCGGAGCGACTGCGCCGCGATCGCCCCGCTTCAGCAATTGTGTGTGTGTATCATGGACAAGCTACGAAACAACAACAAGGAGAATGCACCCATTGAGTACCCCTACCCGCCGCAGCAGCAGCAGCCCCCCGCCCCGCGCACGACTCCTCCAGCACCACCACCCCCCTGGAAGCTGGCGAGGATGTGGAGAGCAACAAGAGCACCCCCTACTTCACGCCCCTCGAGTTCCTGCAGACCTCCTTTGAGTTTCCCTCGCCCACGGGGGAGGGTGGAGGGGGTGGTGTCCCGGGCATTCCCGAGCAGGAGGATCCCGAAGGGGAGGAGGAGGCCTTCACCCCGCGGCAGTTCACCATAGCCAGCCCCCATCCAGCGCCCCATGTCCACCAGTCTCCTACCCTAAACCGCAAGTTCAAGAGGTTCTCGCTGTACGACCGCCGATCCTGCTCTCCCCACATCACCAGTTCATCCGGCGAGCATCGTGGAGGCACCACCGACAAGGAGAACACCATGCCCAAGGGGGAGTTAGTCGACCACGACCAGCTGGAGAACAGCCTGTACTTGTCGCGCAGCGAGCACAACTCACCCACGATTCTCTTCAGGGATGAGTCCTCCACGACGCCGGGATTGGAGGCCAGCCGGCTCAGCTACTCCCCCAAGCTGCTGTCCTCCATCAACAACCTGAATGTCTCGGGTTCCCCCCTAAACATCATAAATTCAGCGGGCTACAAGAATGGAAACTTCTTTCGCTTTCCGGAGATCGATCATGTGGTGCAGGATGTGCCCATGGAAGCGGGCGGCCACCACCTGGATGAGGCTTCCCGTCGGGATAGGAGTCCTGCCTTGGCCGAACCGCCGGAGCAGCAGCAGCAACAGCAGAAGTCGGAGGGTCGAAAGAATCGCAAGAACAAGAACAATCTCACCATTCGCATCATGGACGTGCCCATGAAGAACTCGAGCCAGCCGTCGCCGCTGCCCAAGCCCAAGACGCCGACCATCAAGAGCACCAAGGAGAAGGCCCGCTCGCTGGACTCGGCGGCCAATGAGTCGGAGTTGTCGATAGTGGTGCACAACATAACCGAATCTCACGGCAGCTGCGATGACATGGATGCGGGGCAGAGCAAGCCCGCGACGAGTGTCATCCATCCGCATCATCATCTGCAACAGCCCGCTTCCGCCAGCCACTCGACGTCGCTCTCGCGACTGGATAGCCACCTAAGCCTGGCCAGCAATCAGAGGCGCACGCCGCGCAGGAAGTCACCGGGAATCAATACCACTGACTGGCTGATGTACCACCGCAAGCAGAACCCATATCAGCTGAGTAGCTCTACGGCTCAGAGTTCCCTGGATTCGGAGGCCAGTTTGACCCCCAGTTTGGGCGACTCGGAGCTAAAGTCCGCCTGCAGCGTGGACGGCGGCTCCAAGTTTGGAATGGGCGCTAGTTTGGCGCCCAGAAGCGCCCACAAGCACAATCAGCTGCTGCACTCGTCGAGCACGAATCTAAAGACGCTGCCCGAGTGCTTGACCCTAGTGGAGTTCTCCTCCTCCAGCGGAGTTAGCAGTGGTGCTGCCAAGGAATCGCCCTTCAAGCAAAAGTCCATGGATCTGCCGATGCCCGCGCTGCAGGCCAAGGCCACGGTGTCCACCTCCTCTATGAATCTCCTGCAGCGGCGCGGTTCGAATCACAGCTTGACGCTCAACCTGCACAGCTCCTGCGGCAACCTGATGAACAGCGGTCTAAGCCATTCCAACTACAGCCTGGGCTCCATACTCAACTCCAAGTCCAGCTGCAATTTGGATGCGGGCCAGCTAAAGTCGGATCAGCAGCCGCAGACGCATCTGTTGGGCAGCAGCAGCCAGGGAAGTCGGCAGGGGTTGTTTAGGAGGCGAGGATCCAACCACAGCATCACGCTGAAGACGGGACACACGACGACCTCTTGCGGGGATCTGAACTCCATGCAACAGCAGCAGCAGCAGGCAATGCTGAGCGCTGAAAAGTACAACCGACTCAACATGCGCACCAATTCCACGGGCTCGGGTTCGGGATCGGGTTCCAATGTACCCACGCCAAAGCGAGGATTGCTAGAAAGGCGGGGCTCCAATCAGAGCCTCACCCTCAACATGGGTAGCATACAGAGTACAGAGATTCAGGTGCAGGATCTGGGGCAGCCAAAGGTTACAATTTGCAGTTGTGCTGCCGCCAACCAAGCTCCGCATCAGCGTAAATTCTTCAGCACCGAGAATCTAAACAGCAGCAAGGTGAACAACCAAAAGTTCTTTGGACAAGTGTGCTTTGGTTCCGCCTCGGACTTGCAACCCAATCCGCAGCAGGAGTCGGCTAGCGAGGATCAGGGCGCCACTTGCACCTGCGCCGGAACCGTGCGCAACATTATGACCCGCCCGCTGTCACCGCAAACGACCAGCGAGGAGTTCAAGATCTATTTAGCCAGCATACAGATGCTGCAGAGCGCCTCCAATCCGCTCAATCAGTTCGATTTGATCCGTTTGAACTACGTTTTCGATCACAGCTACCAGACAAACAGGAACATCATCGAGCAGCCGCCTGTCCTGGGCTCAAATGCTCGGGATTTGGACACGCCCACTGATCTGGTGCCACCGAGCTCGGAGGACAGTGAACTACTTGCCTGCTACCAGACAGTCGTGAAGAGGATTGTGCAATCGCTACCCGAACTGGAGGAAACCGAGCAGAAGCGCATCTTTCGGGATCTGCACAAGGAGTTCTGGGATCTGCCGCTAAATCACCAGGAGAAGCCGATGGTCTTTGGCTCGCAGACGAAGAATCGCTACAAGACGATCCTGCCCAACGAGCACTCGCGCGTGCTGCTCGAAACAGAGTCCAGCGAGCTGATCAACCTGCAGGAGGAGGTGAAGCGGACCGCCAGCGAGGACATGCCCTACATAAACGCCAATTATATCAAGGTAAGAAAATAAGTCAGGGCTCGGAAAATAACACACTCTGTAAAAAACTTGTGTTATTAACATGTTAAATGTCAAAGTGTTAAGTTCAAAAAAGTTATTGACTTGTGTGTAAAAAATTGTAGCTTATGTTAGAAACATAAATAACACACACAGTTTATTTGTGTTTTTTACACGACGTGTTTTTTACACGACGTGTTTTTAACACAATGAGTTTTTGACATTAAAACGTCAGAAATATATGTTGAACTGTAGTTGAAAAAATTCATCTTTGCTTTGAAACGATTAAGAATAACAATTAAGATGTTCTGGCCCAATATTGATTCTTAATTTTCCCTTCGACTTGTTAATGGCCATAAAATGTAAAATTCATTTGTGTTAAAAACACAATGTGTAAAAAACACGTCGTGTTAATAACACATTTTATAAAAAACACAAGTGAGCTGTGTGTGCTAAAAATTATTTTTCACATTTTAACACTTTTGTTTTTGACACACATGTCAACAACTTTGCTCACACTGCAAAATACAATTTTACATGTTTTTAACATGTGTGTTAAATTCCGAAACCTGAAATAAACACTAAGTAAAAGCAAATGTTTTAATACAAATTTTTATTCCAGGGACCCGACTACGTGTCCAAGTGCTATGTGGCCACTCAGGGTCCGTTGCCCAATACCATTTTCGAGTTCTGGCTGATGATCTACCAGAATACCCAGCGCTACATTCGCCGCTGCGTGGATGGCGGGAGCAGCAGCAGTCCGCACATCGACCGGGCGCAGATCCTGCAGCAGTACTTCCAAAAGATCGTCATGCTCACCAACTTCACGGAGGCGAATCGGCAGAAGTGCGCCGTCTACTTTCCCATCGAGCTGAACGAGATCTTTGCGGTGGCCGCCAAGTGTGAGGTGTTTCAGCTGAGCGCGGCCGCGCGGGACTATTTCGATCGGTACTTGACGACGACGCCCACCTTTGTGCCGGACACTGCGGTGGTGGCTTCCGATGCGGAGGCGATCGACTGCGAGCTAAGTGGCCGGCACATTGGCGTGGAGTCGGTGAAGGTGACGCTGGAAGGCGATCTGCTGGAGGCTCTGCCCGCCCAGGGAAGCTTTTTCCTCATAAAGAACGTCGGCATTGTGCGCAGGAATGGTTATTCGGTGAGGAAGCTGGTGCTGCTCTACTGCATCCGTGTGCCGCAGAGTGGCAGCTATCATCTGCAGAAGATCTACTGCTACCACTATTGGTATCCCGACTGGCCGGATCACCATTCGCCGCGGGACATCAACACGCTGCTGGACACCTGCCTGCATGTTCTCAATCTGGGCAAGTGCGAGTCGGAGTTTGACAACTACGATGAGAGCAGGAGCGAAAGGAATGCCCATCTGGGCGCGCAGCGGCTGGAGATCTACCAGCAGGACATATTCAATGCGGTTCAGCCGCTGCCCGTCATTCACTGCTCGGCTGGGATCGGGCGCACTGGCTGCTTCACGGCCATCCTGAATGCTGTGCGTCAGTTGCGCCAATCGCTGGCCTACTCGCTGACGGGAATGCTCACCAAATCGCTAACCAGCAGCAGCTCGGCGGCGGAGGAGGAGTACCAGGAATGCCCAACGGACAGTGACAGCAGCTTCACCTGCAACACCCTGCGGCACATCAGGCACATTCTGGATAGCCAGGAGACGGAGGAGGCGGTTGAGACGCCCCCATCCTTCGACCGCCTGCCCAAGATGCCGGACATTTTCGTGGACGTGCTGGGCATTGTGTGTAATCTCCGCCTGCAGCGGGGCGGAATGGTTCAGAACTCGGAGCAGTACGAGCTAATCCATCGGGCTATTTGCCTCTACTTGAAGCGCACACTGGCGTTGAGGCGATTTTAACGGAGATCAACCCATTTTATGACGACGAAAGGAAGGATTTAGAAGATGAAGAACAAAACACCAATTTACTATTTGTAATCACAATTTTTGTGGCCCTTATTTTAAACGAAAAGCAACCACAACGGACAAGTAAGAAGTAGAACCAGAAACCATGGCTAAAAGAGTCTCGAAAAAGTTACATAAGGCGGCATTCTCCGAGATGCTCTCAATGTTTGCTAAATATTACTATTACCACATATTCTATATATATATATAAATGTTTATTAAGTGTTGGATGTATGTGTGTTAAATGTGTACATAAGTGTAAATGTTTCCGACTTTTTGTGTGAACTATGCTTAAACTAAAGTTAATTAACAATTATTATACCTTACCTTACTACTTACCTTACCGAAACCATACCTTATCATAACGACGCGCATCTATACAGAGCTCGAGACGTTCGGCCGCGTCCCTCGGTGAGTTGCGCATCCCGTTTTGGGGGCGGGGAAAGCTCAAACCTTTTTCAAGTCGGTCCCCTTCCCGGGGTCCTTCTGACTAAAACACCAATTTCCCCAATCCCAAACGGACAGCTCGACCGCCGGACACTGGCCATTTTACGGACAAGAGTTCATTTGAACACACAAGAGAAAATCTCGAAAAGAAAAATTGAAACCCATAAATGAACTTGTATTAACGTTTATGCAATGAAACTAGTCAAATAAAAATTAGAAACATTTTAAATGTAACTTTAATGTGCAAAATAAAAAGTGTTTTTTCTTTGAGGGGAATTAAAATATACATATATGAATGAATCTTGGGATCATTTGCTTAAAAGGTGCAATAAAATATGAATTAATTCGATTAGGATTTCTAAATAAACTTTCCTTTTAAAATAATGAGTAACATAACTATTTTCTTTTAAAATTCATGTACAACATTTAATTTCCTTCTAAATTGTCTTCTTATTTATATTTAAATCTATTTAAAATACAATTTTAATATGATTAGGGCCAATTTCTCAATATCAATTTAACTTGTATCATTAAGTTTCGGACCAATTGAATTGATATTGATATTGCGAAATCGATCTATTAACCTTTAAGTTCCTTTTTTTTTTAACAGATAAAACATTAAGAGATCGGACCTTAAAAGAAGAATAATAATTATTATAATTATATACAAATATTTAAATGAAAAATAACAACAAAAAAAGTTTTTATAATTTATTTATTTATTTTAAGAAGTGATATTTTAAAATCTTTTCTATTTAAATTTGCAATGTCTAATAGCACCCGCAGCACCAGCGAAGGGTTAACGCGTCAGCTGTTTTTGACGAGCAAAGTTCAGCGGTTTCAGGTTTTCTGATTGCCGAATAATTGCGGCTGATTAGATTGTTTATGAAATCTCGTCTGGCGGACAACTAATTTCGCCATGCTCCGCTCGGGGAGATTAATGTTCACCAGGTTCCACAGCAGCATGAAGGTGAGTAGATGCACTTTCAGTTCGTGATCAACTTTAAATTGCGAATTTTCCAGGTGAAAGTGCCAGTGAAGCAAGGTGTTGTGGTGGGAAACCAGAAGAAACTGGCCAATGGTCTGGAGTACAACAGTTTCCTGGGTGTTCCCTATGCAGAGCCTCCGCTGGGAGAGCTTCGTTTTCGGGTGAGCTGGTGTTAAACCACCTGATTATTAAGAATCCCTCATAATCTTTTACGATAAAACCACTATTTAGAGCCCCCGACCACTGGAGCGTTTCCAGGAGGAAGAACTGGACTGCAGCAAGGAGGGAAATATGTCCCACCAGCGAGATCCCTTCACCCTGCAGGTGGCTGGCTCAGAGAACTGCCTGTTCCTCAATGTCTATGCACCCAAAGTCAAGAATCCGGGGCATCCGCTGCCCGTCATGGTGTGGATTCATGGAGGAGGCTTCTTCTTCGGCAATGGCAACAGTGATTTGTGGGTTATATAAATTATTATATAATTTCCCTATCTAATCTTTTACAACCCTTATTTTTAGTCACTTTCCCGGCAAGCTGATGGAGCAGGAGGTCATTGTGGTGACCCTAAACTACCGACTGGGTGCCCTGGGCTTCCTCAGTTTGCCCGAAGAGGGAATCCACGGCAATATGGGGCTCAAAGATCAGCGTTTGGCCCTGCAATGGGTGCAGGAGAACATAGCCAGCTTCAATGGCGATCCCAGCAATGTAACCCTATTCGGCGAAAGTGCCGGCGGTGCTTCAGTGCATCTGCACACTTATGCCCGCCATGCCAACCGGTTGTTTCACAAGGCCATTATGCAGAGTGGCACGGGGAACATGGAGTGGGTGTACCAAAGCGAAGCCGCTACTAAAACCCGTCGCCTAGCGGAGCTTCTGGGAGGCGGTGATTTCGGTGGCGACACCAAAGCACTTTTGGCCTTCCTGCAGAAGGCGCCACCCACTGGCATTTTGGCCAACACCTTGAAGGTTCTAACGCCCGATGAGCGGCGACGTTGCCTGCCCTTCGCCTTCAAGCCAGTTGTAGAGGATAGCAGCAGTCCGGACAGCTTCCTGGACCAAAACATCCTGGAGCTGATGCACAAAAAGAACTCCCTGCGAGGAATGCCAGTGATCATGGGCTACAATTCCGCCGAAGGTCTCGCCATGGTGGTGAAGGCCAAGCAGAAAATCGAGGCCTACGAGGATGACTTGGCCAGGATGGTGCCGCGCAACTTGGTGCTGGATCCGCAGGCCGCAGAGGCCCAGGAAGCCGCCTCCGACATACGAGCCTTCTACTTCAACGGCCAGGCGTTGACCATGGAGAACCTGGACAACCTGGTGGATCTCTTTTCCGACTACCACTTCAGCATGGATCTGCAACTGGCCGCCGAGATCCACGCCAGCTGCCAGACGCAGTCTCCTCTGTACTTCTACCGTTTGGATTACGTCGGTGGTCGCAATATGTACAAGAAAATCTTCCAGAACGAGGATCTTCGTGGAGTGGCCCATGCCGATGATATTTGCTACGTGTTTCAGATGGCAGGTGACGAGACCGAGATGAGGCAGGATGACTTGCTGGTCACGGAGCAGATTTGTAAGATGTGGGCGAATTTCGCGCGCAATGGCAAACCATCGGACAGCTGGAGGCCTGTCCAGAAACCGCAGGATGGAAAGCCCTTCCAGCTGGACTGCCTGCTCATCGATCGGGAGCTCAAGATGTGCGCCAATCCGGATGGCGAGAGGATGGACTTTTGGAGAAGCATGTACAGGAGATATAGGAACAAGTGCTACGAAGCCCTGAGAGCTAAACTATAACTCATAATTACTAAGAAAACTATCTGAGCAATTACTAGTTTCTAGCAGACATGTGTTCCATTTTCAATCCTGAACAAAAACTTAAAAAGAAAATGTAAATAAATAATAACTCCTATTAAAAATGTTAACTTTTACTGTATATTGTAATCCTATAAAAATTGCAAATATCTTGATAGGGAAAAAAAACTTGTATTTAGCCAATTACATTTTTATTAGTTATATTTTCTTTAATATTTGTGTAGGTAAATATGTTTTTTTTTTTAATTTGTGTAATATTTACTTTATTACTAGATCATAAAAGAGGCTGTCTTTGGATGAGACCTTTTAGATTCGTGTGTGTTTTCTAAAATGTTAACTTTTACTGTAGGCTGATTATAATCCTAAAAAAATTGCAAATATCTTGATAAGGAATGTCACTCTATTTAAAACCATTTGCATTTTTATAACCTCATCTTGTAGAAGAAAAACTTCTGTTTAGCTAATTCACATTATTATTGGTTATATGTTCTTTAATATTTTTGAAGGTAATTTTGTTTTTAATATTTTTGTAATATTCACTTTATTACCAGATGATAAAAGAGGCTGTCTTTGGATAAGACCTTTCGCATATGTAGCGCCTTGTATAATTGCAGGGTCTGTCATTTAAGACGTTGTAATTGCTGGCATCTCCGCGGTCTCCCAACTCGTCACAATGCTCATTGTCATACTGATTATTTGGTTCGCCCGGATACCAAATATCTAAAGTTATTGGATCCCCAGTTGAGAACCAATCATGTTTTCCCTGATTCGCCAAATCCGCACCCGAGGTCCAGTAAATTTCATAAATATTATTGTTCAAAAGATACTGGTTAATAAGATCCCACTCTTCTTTGGTTTCAAAAGCTATTAGCTTGGCGTCCATCCTGTGACATGATTCTGCAGCATCAAACCAGTTCTTTTCCGCCTTGGTTTCAATGTAATAATAGCCATGACCGATCTTTACGAAGGGTCCTGTTGTAAAATTCAGATCATCCGGTATTCCTAAAAGGTAGTTTGATGAATTTGTAAAACCAATAATATATTTTTTTTTTTTTACTTTATTACCATCCTCAATAGTTGGAACTACTTGATAGGCTCCAACTAGGGAAAGTACGCCGACTACAGCACTGATCACTGTGTATTTGATGACCATTTTTTGATAACTGAATGATACACCACCGATTCGAAATATTTTATACTCACGGTCTGTGTAGCTTTCTAAGATAAACTATATTTATTTTTTGATAGGCTCACGAGATAAAAAGATATTTCTCTTTTGTCAACATTTACTTGAAACTATAGACGGCTAATTAAAATGGCAAGCCAATCAGTTTTGTCTATAATAATTAAAATAAATCCCATTATAATGCCTCTTTGTTATTCTAAATTATTTGTTTCATGTAATCCGACTCATATAAAAAATCCGAAAATATGAAAAACCGCCATCGTTAACTTTTACGACTAAAATGTGTTGTAACTGTCATAAAAATAGTCAGTTATTACCCATTTATTATGTGTAGTTCCTTAAGCTTCCGAGATCGCGACGGACGATTAGAGTGAAACATTGTAGAGGTTATAAGTTTACATGGGGTTACTACTTAGCTAGTTTCCCATCCTTATAAAAGTAGCTAGGTTGTAAGCCTATAAAGCGTATGAAAATAAAGAGTTTAGTTCCTACTATTATAATTTTAATTGTAAAAACCGTTACACGCATACATATTTTCGATACTTCGCCGCCAAACATCGATGTTACCGATGTTTTGAAATCATCGATGTTGGTATCGATGTTTGCCCACCTCTAGTGGACTGCCGCGAAAATCGCATTGTTTTTTTATGAACAATTTTCGGAATTTCCTGTGAAAATTAGTGAAATAGCTGGACGCCAGGATGATAATTGAGAAGGAGCATCCGCTGGACAATTGCCAGGTGTTTGTCCAGCTGAGAAAATGCTTCAATGACTACGGGCAAAACACCAAGAGCCTGAAAACCCTAATTTACTGGAGCGGTAAGATAAAATTGCAAGAGTTTGGCCGGGAATAAGGGTTTTATTTATTTTGTGGACAGGAAACGATGAGCACATTGAGCAGATCTGCGTCCAGGTGGCTGCCATACTGCTGGAGCACGAACTGATCCGCATGGAGCCACATGCCAAGCGCCTCGAGGAGCTGGTTGCCCGGCCAAATGGCCCAAATGCCATGAATCACCTGCGCGGACTGCTGGTCTACCTGGTTCTGAATACGAGCAGGGAATCGGACTGCCAGTGGAGCTCCCAGGTCATCCACTTGTGCCACCAGCTGCCGGCCATTCCACAATTCCTCACCATTGCCATTGCATTGAAATGTGGCCTTCAGGAGCCGCTGGAGGAGTTCCTCGCCTGCGGACCCCGCTGGCTGACCACCCAGTATTTCGAGGCATTCAGTGAGACTCTCTCGCACGTTCACCCAGATCATTTGGATGCCTTGCCCCTGGTTTTTGGCTCCCTAAAGGCAGCTGGCCGCGCCATTATCCATCATAATCTGCCCGAGGAGAACAAGCGACTGCTGCGTCAGATGGCCAGCATGCTGCAGCGTCATCTGCTGGACTCGCAGGATCGTCTGAAGACTCTGCCACGTGCAGCTATGAGAAAGCTTTACCTGGCCGAGGTGATGCAACAGCTGCTGGAGGTGCTCCTGGAGATTTTAACTCCTCGGCATGGCCAAAAGCCCAAATGCTTCAGCATCTACAGCCAAATGAGCTTGGACATCAGCGGCAGCTACTCAAAGGATCCCACTGCTGACTTGCGGCTGTATTCCCTAATTCTTCTAGACGCACTGCAGCGCATTTTGCAGCTCATCAGCGTGGACACCTTCATGTACTGGCTGGAGATTCCCTCGCAGCGATTGCTCTACAGCTACCAGGAGCTCATCTGCAGCCAGACGGCCGAGTTGCTTGGGTTAGTCCAGCCGGATGAGGAACTCGGGCAGCATTCGGTCTGCAAGCAGATGCAAAGCTTTGCGGATGCAGCCAAAAGCTTTGAAGATCGCCTTGCGGAGTTGACTTTGGGTGAACTGTTGACCTTTCTCGACGGCGATCTGGGTAATGTGAGCAATGATCAACTGCTCGCCGGTCTGGACAACCTCTTTGGCCGCTCCATTGCCTTTGGCAGCGATGAGTGCGTGGAGACGATGGGAAAACATCTCAAGCTGCTCGGCACCAAGCATTCCGGATTGATTTTACTGCACTTAAGTCAGGTGGTGGAGGCCAAGATGGTGACCAAAGATGAGGGCATCTCCATAACGGAAGTGAAGCAGGAAAGGATCGACGACGATGAGGAGGAAGATGAGGAGGAGGAGGAGGATGAGTATAGCAGCCTGCTAAAGTTAGTGCTGCGTCCTCTGTTTCAGCAACTCAGTTTGTCGGATAAAATTCAACTCCTACAAACTCGCGACGAGCTGAATGTGACGGAGGGCTTTAACTTCGAGGCTTCCGATCACCAGGAGCGTCGCATACGTTTCTTCAATCGCTTGGATATGCAGAAGAAGTTCCCTCAAGAGGAATTCCTCGAACTTTGCTATGAGAACGCCAAGCAAACGTGGCTGGATTTTGCCCGATTGGCGGTAACGCATCATCGCTTTATGCTCCTCTTTTGGCGACTGGCCTGTCATGGTTGTCCCAAGCATGCTGCTCGCCATATTCCCAGCTGCGCCGAGGAATTCTTGCTGGACGAGCAACTGCTGATGAAGCCGAACGCCCTGCGCTTTCTACTTTCCCTGTATGGCCATCGGCAGATCCTCAATGGATTGTACATGCAATCGAGTGTACTTTGTGTTGGCCTGAAAGACGGTGAGTGTCCTTATGAAAAGGAGGCACTGAAGCAGGCACAGGCGGGATTTCTGGAGGCCTGTGCCGCCGGCTTATGCAAATTCAGTGAGTCCTTGAACTACAGCTGCCTGCAGTTCATCCTGCGACTCCTGCTGGCAATCACAACTGCCGAGAAGCAGCTAAATGTGCAGGGCATTCGACAGCTACGTAAACTCAAGAGAGAGCACGGAAAATCGGAGGAAGGAGACGATGCACCGGCGGTTAAGAAGGCCAAGGAGTATATTGACATGCACGCCTTTTTGCTGGAGTGGCGCCAGGAGAACTGGCCGCTAATCTCTCAGATAATGCTAACCATAGATGCCTTGCGCTGGGATTTGACCACCTTTGAACAGGTGCGCGTGGATACTTTGGGCCTGGCTTTGCGTTACTGGCGACGCGGTCTTTCGCATTTAAAAATTCTAAGCGAGGGTGAGTTTAAATAGAGTCTAAGACAACTTGTACCCATCTAATCATAGTTTTTTTTATAGAATTTCGGCAGAGAATCTTCAATTTAGCCGGGAATTTAAAGCACAAGGACTTTTGGGTGGTCAATCTAGACGAAGAGAGCTCTGACTACAGCCGGCGGCTCATAAGATTGTTGACGCAGGCCAGTGCAATGGAGGCCACCATGATATTTGGCAAGGTGCTGATAAACCGCACCGATTGCTCCCTAATAAGCGAGCTTAGCGATGCAGTGGAGCAGGCAAAGTGCGAGTCCGCTTTGCAGGCCTTTCAGTTCCTTTTCCGAAGCTACATAGTAGCCTATCGGCACTTTGTCAGGCACATAAAACCAAGTCGGTGGAGCTACCATTGGGCTCATTTGATGAGTGTTGTGGAAAGAGCTCCCATGTCAGTCCACTCCGAAATCTTGACGGATCTTCATGTTGCGTTCGCATCGCGATTGGGCATGATTCCTGACGAGCAGATGAAGCAAAAGTCCTCTGACACCGAGGATATGCTATAAAACCATCATATTCATATTCGTATAATCAATGGACCGCCACTATTCTAACATTTAGAACAGCGTGAAGCGGTCTCGTACCTCATGAAATGTATTATATATGATTTTCTATCATATTTTGTTGAGGAACAGCAAAATAATGTAATATTTTTGTAATGCCTTAAAAAGGACGATCAGAATGAATCTTTATAAACTAAAACTCTTTATTTATTGTTTAAGTTCAGGCAAATGTTGATGAAATAAAATTTGCTATGGCCAACAGTTTCTTGAAACTAATATTTGGCTTTTATTTTAACTATTAAATGTACATTTTCCCTAATATTTTAAAGCTAATAAATTAAAAATATTTCTTTATTAATTACACAGGCCGACAGTGTTTTTGATGCAGCCCTATGGGCATTAAATTGTGTTAATATAGACGGGTATAAGCATATCTGCATACTTAGTTTTCGCGTTTTACGGGTGGTATTTGTGCAATCGCGGTTTGAAAAAAATAGCAACATTAATTGTTTTGATTTAAGATATCCTCGAGGGTCTGTGCTTAGTTGTAATAAAACCTATGCCAAAAAATTGCTTAGATGCCCTTCTAAATAATTGCATTTAAGGTTCCATCATAATTTGAGTCAATCAAAGCCTATGAGCCATTGAAGTAATTTGTTTACCTCTATTCCCAACCAACTTGATGCGGTGAACAGGCTTAAAAAAATACAAGGAAAATAATACCCTCTGCAAGGGTATAAATATGTGCCCTAAAATATTTGACAGGCATCTAGAGGCGTCTTTCACCGAATTTTTAAGATAAATAAGACCATTATACGTCGAAGGATGGAATTTATAGAATTTTTTTCATAGGAACGTAAAAAGTAACAAGTATTTTTGAGTAACTATTACGTAACGAGTTGGTCGTGACTTCACACAGTAGGTTTTTTAAAGATAACAGTGGCGTAGCCTTAAAATTGTGGGGGAGATATTTAACAGGCATACTAACCCCTTGAAAATACAAATTTTCGATGTTCGGCGCCTACTGCTAAACAAATTGAAAGGCAAATTTCTACGAATGTGTCAGATATTTATGTAAAATGGAATTATAAAATTCTTGTTACTTTTCCCGTTCTTACGGAAAAAATTCTATAAATTCCATCCTTTGAAGTACAATAGTGGGTTTTATCTCAAAAATTCGGGAAAAGTCGTGTCTAGATGCCTGTCAAATATTTTACGGCACATATTTTTCCTTGTATTTTTTTAAGACTGTTCACCGCATTAAGTTGGTTGTGAATAGAGGTGAACAAATTACTTCAATGGCTCATAGGCTTTAATTGACTCAAATAATAATGGAACCTTAAATGCAATTATGTAGAAATACAAATACCACCCGTTAAACGCGAAAACGAAGTATGCAGATATTCTTATATACGTCTATATTAACATATTTTAATGCCCATAGGCCTGCACCTTTTAATAAAGTCCATTTTGTTGACCTGTGTTATAGTTCTTCAGCCTGAAAGCAAAGTACAGAATTATATAGATTATAATTTTAATAATATTTATATATATTTATTTGCAAACAAAAACACCGTTACTCATTTCAAATTCAAAGGAAGAGCTGCCAACTTCCTTTTTACACCCCTTAGAGCCTGCCAACCGATTTTTCTTTGTAGCCCAGCTGAGGTCCCACTAAACAACCATTCACACAAATGCGCTGGCAAAACAAATAAATTGTTGTTGATTTCTTGTTAGATTTTAATTACAATTAAAATTAAAATAATAGCCAAAAATGCGCTTGACAAAGCTGTGGCAGAGTCGCTCGCCCGGCGACCGCCACCTGAGCACATATTTTTGCTTTGCGGCAGTGCGTCTGCTGCTCGTTTTTGTGCCCCAACTGGGTTATGTGCATCCGGATGAGTTTTTCCAGAGCGTGGAGGTGATGACAGGTGAGGATGTGGAGGAATCTCTTTAAGAGGCTTACTATATCTATATCCCATATTTTTTATAGGAGACCACTTTAGGCTGGAGCACACGCGCACCTGGGAGTTCAACAATTCGCTGCCCGTGAGGTCAATAGTTCTTCCATTTGCTCTGCTCCGGATTCCCTGGAGTTTCTACGAGTTTATTGCGGAGTGTGTGAAGGCGGGCTGGAAATTGGATCTGCTGGGCAGCTACACCTATGTGGTGTTTCCACGGCTGATTTACACTTTAATTTCCTTCACCAACGACTATTGTTTGTACCGCATCTGCCGGCTTTATGGATTGCGCTTCGAAATCCGCTTGTTGGCCATGGGAAGCTCTTGGATTCTGCTCGTCTTTGGCACCCGCACCTTCTCCAACAGCCTGGAAATGGCCATGTGCTCCTGGCTGCTCTGCCTGGTCTCCGAATGCATGCTGCGCACGAACACGGTGGTGTATAAAAAGGAGTTTCTGGAGGAGAAGTACGACAAGGCGGAGTCCATAAGCGAAAGAGTGCGCATTTGGAAGCTAAAGAACTCTCTGCCGGCTCACAATTTGCAGCATTTGCTCTACATGTCCACCATCTGCGTGGCTGGGGTGTTTAATAGACCCACCTTCCTGCTGTTTGGAGCACCCATGGTCTTCTTTTGGCTGCTGCGCGGGATGGGAACCAGGAGCGTTACCTTCAGGGACTTTAATCTTCGCATTGCGCTCTTCTGTTTGTGCGCCCTGCCTGCGCTGATCTTCTTCATCTTCTGCGACTCGCTGTACTATCAACATCTGACCCTTGGCGAGCTGCACATGATGCACTTGAGCATCGACAACTTTGTCTTCACGCCCTGGAACTTCATCAAGGCCAATTTGGATTCGGCTCAGACGGCGAGTCATGGAGTTCACCCTTGTTATGTCCATTTGATGGTCAACATGCCGATGCTTTTTAATGTCCTGGCTCTCGCCGCCTTGGGAGCCTTTGCCCAATTGCTGCTGAGATTCTTTCGAGCGGAATATCAAGTGCTGCCGCGTTTCCAGAGCATCGTTTCTTTGATGTCGGGTGCCATCTTTGTGCCCCTGTTCTTTCTCTCGCTGATCAACCACCAGGAACCGCGCTTTCTGCTGCCCGTGACCTTTCCACTGCTACTGCTGCATGCTCCCAAACTCATCACGGGATTCAGCGCCAAGTATCCGTTTCAGAAGGATCACCCACTGTTGCGCTATTTCTACGACAGACTGCTTTCGAGCAAAGCTTCGGGACCTTACCTGCTGCGGATTTGGTACGTGAGCAATGTGCTGCTTACGCTGTTCTTTGGCTTCATCCACCAGGCGGGCGTTTATCCTTTGGCGGCGGATATATCCCATGTGATGGCCACCAAACCGGCGGCCACGCATGTTCACCTGATCACATCGCACATCTACAGTTTGCCCCTGCATCTGATCAACATTCCCAGCTCGAGAGTGCTGCATTTCAATAGACAGACGCATCAGCGATATCGCCGCCCCAGGGATTTTTATTTGTACGAGTATGGAGGGCTTTCGTTGGACTCCCTGCTGCAGAAGGTGAAGCTGATAAGTGGAAACTGCGAGGTGAAGCGCTCGGGAGCGAGTCACTTGCGATACAAACTATATTTGGCCATTCCGGCCTCGTTGAGTGCGGATCTTCACGAGGCCCTGGTTCACTCGAATGCCAGCAGCTACCTGAACTTCGAGCTGCTCAATGTCTTCTATCCGCATCTCTCCACGGAGGCGTTTCCCCGTCTTCTGGGCCGGCATCCCTGCGATGTGGACGCTCCGCATTGGGCACATGACGATCTAAGGGGAACCTGTGCCGTGGAACAGCCGCCGGCGCTAAGTTTTGCTTACCTTAATAAGCAATTTAGTTCTTTTGTCCATCAACTGGGACTGGCGCTCTACGAGATCGATGTGAAGCGTAAAAAGCCGCGTTCTGTTTTACTTAAGAAAACTTTATTAACAGAAACTCCGGCGTAGGAATTTTTCTTTGGCCATTCCAAGTGCCTTAAGCTTAAACCAAAGATTAACTATTTATTGTAACTCAAGTCTTGTAAAGCACAACTTCCGTGAACTTCTGTAAACATTCCTAATTACCGCACAAACCAACTTAACTTTATAAATACGCCTAGTCATTACAAAATACCTTCTTAATCATAAAGTATCAATTAAGTTTTGACAAATACTCAAGGACAATACTACTGAGTGACCAAAGATAATCGAGCAGTTGAAGATAAGAATTTCTATTTAAGAGGTAAGTTAGAAAATCACTTAAAATTTGCTATCCAACAATCAGTAATCAGAATCGTAATTCCGTCCATTTCAGTTGTCGAAATGCTGGAAACGAGTAATCCATTTGACACGCCGTTGGCTGTTAATTCCCGACAAACATCTGAGGGCGTGGGGCGCGGCATCCGCGTTCATTGAACGTTATTACCCGGCAGAAATATCATTGCGGACGCAATTGTGTTCTGATTTAGATTTTTGTATAAGCCGTAAACCCGTTTTGGCCAATGCGGCGACAATTGGCCTATAAAATGCTGGAGAATTTTAGCCAAAAGCATCAGTCACTGACAAACCAACCAACCCAAACAATCAACATGAAGGTAGGTTACCTTTCTATTTATTCAGGATGTTCAGCTATTAAAGGATATTCGTTTGTTTCTTCCTTTAGTTCCTCATCTGCTTGGCTCTCTGCATCGCCGCCGCCCAGGCTGGCTTCATCGCCTCTCCGGTGGCCACTTACGCCGCTGCTCCCGCTTATGCCGCCACCTACGCAGCTGCTGCTCCCGTGGCCTACAGCGCACCGGTGACCACCTATGCCGCCGCAGCTCCTGCTTATTCCACCTATGCTGCTGCTGCTCCTGCCTACTCCACCTACGCCGCCGCTGCTCCTGCCTACACCGCTTCGGTCTACAGTGCTCCTGCCTACACCGCTCCCGTGGCCACCTATGCCGCTGGCGCCGCCTACGCAGCTCCCATCACCACCTACTCCGCTCCGGCCATCGTCAGCCCCTTCCTGAAGAAGAAGTAAACAGGACCATTCACTGACCCACATCCAAACGATTCGATAAACTAAATAAACCGCCAATCTATGCGAAATCTATGGACTTTTTCAAAACATTTAGCTCTATAAGTATGGCTTTCGAGGGACATTTAAAATTTATGGCTAAAATATTCATATTATGAAGAGAAATGCAGCATAAATCTTCAAGAATGGCTGATGAGTTTGTATGACTTTGAAGTGAAGATTAAAATTGATTCTGACAAATTCATAATTGATAGATTTGTTTGAGACCAAAACTGGACATTTTTAAAGTGTAACTACAACAGATTTGAATCGATTTTTGGTTAAGTTGGGTAGAGAGAAAGTTAGTCTAGAATATATACCCTTTCTCTCAGTTCCCACAAAAAGATTTGGTACTCTTGTCTCTGTTATGTGTACAAGATTAAAATCAAATCAATCAAAAAACAAACTCATTGGCAACAAAAAACGGTTAGTAATTGTTAGAACCTGTTTAAGCCGAGCTCTGAAAGATCATTATCATTATCAAAAGGTGTCAAAGAAATCTCAAACGAACCTAAGGTCGTTTTTGCTTTGCTGGCCTCTTGAAAACTCTATGGCTCAGTGGATCTGGCTATTATAATTCATTCATCATTATCTTCAGATCTCATTTCGTCATTGTTACAACTCAATTTCTTTTGTAGGTTGGTAATGTTATAAATAGCTTTTGAGATTTTGATATAATGGTTACCTTTGAAACTAATTAAACTAATCTGGGAATTGATATTTATTGCGAAAGTTTATTTGAATATATTCTGATAATAGTTTTAATTATATTTCGTAAAAATGACCGTTGCTTGTAATCACACGGTTGGTAAATTTATTAAATTTATTACTTAAATACTATTTCCACTTTATGTTGTTTGCAACTCCAGGTATGTTCCACTACGTCACATCACATGAATTAATGAAATTAAAAAACACGAAGCAAAACAACCAAATTCCGGATTTGTGTCACCTGTGTTTTTTCATCACGTGACTGCAAGGTAGTGGCCTATTCCCAGAATTTTTAAATTAAATGATGGTAACGTATAATAAATTCAATGAAAATTGTAAATATAATTTTCAACTAAAATTGAAGACATTTTTAAATCAAACTCAAAGTCGCCCGGTAAAAAAAAAATTGCCTAGAAAAAAAGAAGATTTATTTCCGATAATTTTAATAGTTTTAGCAGATGCAGCCGAACTTTTTAATCATATGCACTTTTATTCATATATTGAAATTAACTTGAATCACTTTATACATTTGTAAGTAATGTTTTGTTTATTTTTTAAAGTTAATCGATATTCTGATTAATTTTTTTTTTTTTATTTTTCTTTTTGAAATTTCAAAAATAATTCACAAGTTATCACTTTATTATTATTATTCACCCCATTTGATCCTTCAGTTTGAACTGGCGTATCCTTGATGATCACTTATATCAGGCCGATCTGTACCTGATCACGTTTGGCGAGCTACTGAAGTCCCTAGATGTCCAAAATGATGATGTTACCCCTAACGCCACATAAATCCGGAGATTCACATATTTATAATTCTATATCCAAATGGACGAGTCGAACTGTACATAAAATGTAATTAAATATATGACTGCTACAAATGCAAATAAGAAATCACGAATACAACTATAAACATTATGCAGGCAGTATTCGGGATTCGCGACAATGTTCTTCAGCCTTTCTGAGCGAATCGCTTTCAAATTTGCTGACTGGTCAAAAAGGGAGCTTAACCCATGATTGCAAACTCAAGTTGTTATCTTCTACAATATTTCGAACAAAAACAGTAAAATTTACTGATGTTTTTTTGAAAATATAAAATTAACTCATTAATAAATATAAAAAAAAAATATTAAAATAAATTTAAAATTGATTTTTATTAAAATAATATTTATTACACAAATTGTATTATTATTATTTTATTTATTATTTAACTTATTATTACATCCAATATTAAGTACCTAGATCATGATTTTATAATCCCTACTCAAATGGGTTAACTTGAACTACATAAAATAATAAAGTATTTACCAAGAAATCCAGACCCAAATCCAAATATACAAACATATGTAGATATGTTTTTCCATGCATGTGCCCATGGAACTTCAATGAAATTTTAGCTTTTTGTCCAAGCTGCCGGCAGCGAGCTGCAAAGTGCAATTCTCAGCAGAAAGTCTGTCATCAGAGCACATTTTGACAGTCACTGGCTGCAGTGCAGCCGTGTGAACCCCTGTGGTTATATAATGCCAGATAACTCCACTCTCTGGACACTTTTACAAACGCACTTTGTGCCGAAACATTTTTAAAAATACAAATTTTCTCACGCCGCTGCCGCTTCCTGTCCTCCGTCATTCTTTAGCATATAGTATACTTGTATATTATATAGTCCAGCACAAATCAAAGCAGGCCATGATATGGTAACCTAAAACCCAGACGTGGAATTTGCACAGGTTTGCAAGCGAAGCGTTCTCTGAATTCCCAGAACTTACATTTACAAATTTTCTGTCAATTTATCTGTTTTATTTTAGTGAAATAATAATCCTTGAAATAATGGGTAGGGGGAAATTAAAGACCCCCTAATCACCAACTTATTAATGGCTTTCTTAACATATTTACAGTGCTATATCATCTATAACTAATTCTAGTTTTTGCTTTGGGTGGGCGTAGCAGCCGTCGAAGTCGTTGTTGTCGACGTGGCCGTCACCTTGGGAACGGGCCCGATGTTGACCACTCGGCGCAGGGCTGCGGCTCCCGAAGATGTCGCTGCTGAAGATGAGACAACGGCTCCACCCGGTATTCGATTGCCCAGCATTTGCACTGGCAATTGCTTGAGTCCAATGGCGGACTTGAAGTAGATATTTCGCACGGGCGTCTTGCCGTCTCCAGAAACTGTTTTGGATGCTCCTGTAGTGCTATTAATCACCTGGAACTGCGAATAGCCCTTGCTGCCCACGGCACCCGCTTGTCGAAGAGTTCCTTGCGTTGGCTTGATGGTCTGCACATTGACGGTCTTGACACTGGTAACCAGAGATCCCGTTGCAGGATCTACCATGATAGGGCTGCTGGAAGCCGTGGTCGTCACTGCTCCTCCCGTCTTTGGACTGCTTACTATCCGTATGGGTACTCGATGAGTCCCAGTCACCACATTTCCCATTGGTTTTATTGTATTCCGGTTGAGATAGACCACTTTGTTCTGACTGGCAACCGTTCCGCCGGGCGCAGGGGTGAACAACTGCTGGAGGCCTTTGTTGAGCACTATATTTCCCGACTTGGTGGCGCCCGAAATGCCTCCACTGTTGGTTACCATGCCAGGTGGCTTATTAGCCTCCTTTATGATCTTCTGACTGATGATCAGAGGGCTCTTGTTGGCGCTACGAATGGGTGCTGTAAAATATTTGGAATTAAAATCATGAATACAAAAAAACACCATTTAACCAACCTGTTTTAATATCCTTGTCTGCCTGTTGATGCTCGGGAATGTTGCCTTCGTTGTCGGCAAAAACTATGGGCATATCGATAATGTTGGACAAATCCACACTCCCCGAAGGACTATTGGTTGCAGAAGTAGGTACACTCTTTGTAAGATGCAGCATGGTCATGCCGTTTGCGTTTTTAAACACCGTGTACTTCTGTTGTCCCGATCCTGTGGTTGCCGATGATCCAACTGCACCCGCCGATGTCCCAGCCGTTGCAAATTGCTGCGTTTGTCCAGTGGGCGTTTTCAAGGTAAAGATCTGCTGACCACCAACCGATGAGCTTGGCAGCGTCTTAACAATGCTGCCAATGGTGGCGGCGCTTGTGGTCGCACCACCTGGCTTGTTCAGCGTGTAGTTGATGAGTTTTCCCTGCGCCGGAAGATGCTTGATCTGGACAAACTGATTGGAGGGTATCATCTTGATCTTGGTGCCGGCTGCGAGGTTAACTGGCGGCAATTGTTTCCCCAAAACACCTGGAGTGATCACCTTGGGCACTCCCGCTGATCCTCCTGCCGTCGTCGATTGCGCATCTTCGTAGTCCAGGGCATCATCTAGTATGAATTCAATGGATTGGTTTAGTTCTTCGCTGCTCAACTTCGATTTCTCTGGATGAGGTGCACCTTTTTGGCCACCGACATTAGGAAGGGGTCGAGTTCGGGGTCTTCCAACTGAAGGGGGGGTAGAAATGTTAGTTGATGAAGAAGACCCGGAATGAATTTACCCTTTCGCTTGGCAGCAAACGGATCAATGAGACGCGGTGGCTTCGGCTTGTGGACGCGAGCTTTCGTCGATGGATGAGTTTGGTTTGGGAATGTTTCGGTTAGGTGGTTAGTGGGTTAACATGCGGGATGGATAGTGGGATGATACTAGTGCTGAATACAATACGAATGGAATACTCACTGTGAGGCACAAACTTTGATTTGGCCGGCTGACCCATTGGATCATCGAGACCGCCGTCCACTTTCCTCTTGCGCATCTGTTGGACAGCCTTATTTGCGTTTCCATCAGCCAGAATGTGAGTTGGCTGCTTCTGTTGGCGTTGATAACCCTGCTGGTGCATCAGGGAAGTGGGCATTCGAGGTCCAGGAGGATTACTCAATGTCCTGCTCACAAAGTCAAAGACTTCCTCCTGCAAAATAAAGAAAATATTTTAAAATATAATTCTTAATTTGATAGTTTTTTCCCTTTAAACTTACAACCACCATGTAGTCCACCATGGACTGGGTAACGCCCTCTATGCGCCGTTTGCTTTTTGGAACGCGCAGTGCATCATCGGCACTGCCTACGACAACCAGCGAAGATTCGGACTGCATTCGCTCGCGCAAGCCCTCCATTTCCTCCTGACTTGTGCGAGCTGAATTCTGACCGATGACAAACAGTATGGGCGCCTTGATGTCCAGCATGCGATCATCGGGCGTTCCTCGTGGACCACGCATCGTGTTGTAGGCAAATCCCATGCAAACCAAACAGGCCACACTCTCCGAAAGAGCAACCTGCAGAGCCAAGGCAGAACCAGCATTAAAGCCAACGAGAATGATGCCTCGACTGGGATTATCCGTGCGCAATTCGTGGATCTTGACGCGAGTGAGGGACACAATGGTCTCGGCCACCTGGTCCAGATTCTGATTGCCAATTCTGTTGTCTAAAATAGGGAATACATTTAATTTAGAAAATTATAGTTTGTAAATAATTCAATATTTGTTTTATCATAGTATGCCATGAAATTTCTGATTTGTTTAATTCAATTTTATGTGAAATAAATTGAATGTTTTTTTAATTCATTTCGAATTGAATGAATGAATGAATCATTTTTATGATTTTTTTGAATTTGCAGATTTTTTTTTGGGCTTTCTTTTTAACAAATCAATGTTAACTGCTTAGAAAATAAAATTCATGCAGATTTAATTACAAAATTATGGCCCTTTCTTCTTCAAAAGAAATTGTCGTTTGAATTATTTCGAAATTCATGCCATTCATTCATTCAATTTCTATTAAACTCAAAATTCTAATTAATTCATAATTCATTGAATCCATTCATGCAGGGCTCTAATATAAACCTACTCGTATTGGGCAGCGAGATCTGCACCACCTGGGTGATGGTGGCCAGTGCCTGGTACCACTTCTGCATGCGATCCGAGACGGGACCACTGGTGGGCATGGTGGGCAGCACCACCATGATGGCGTTGTGCGTGAGTTGGCGGCCCTTGGGCAGGATGTTCGGCTCCCAGCGCTTTTTCATCACCGGAGCCAGCAACTCCTGGCTGTTGTTCAGCGGCCGGCTGAACAGCATCTTGTCCACCAAAGTAGGCAGCTTGGTCTTTAGCGTCTGCAGAATATCCAGGTAAGAGGCCATGTACGAGGGCGACAGGTGATCCATGAGCAGGGCGTGAATCCACTGGGTGATGCGCGTCTCCCAGGCGACGCTGGCCAGAACTTTGCGCAGCCTGGAGGCGGACTTGTCGGCACTCACGCGACGATGGATGGCCTCGTGCTGCCGTTTATCGTTGGCCAGGCGAGCCAACTGATCCTGGTCCAAAATGGCACAGACCTTTTCGAATAGCGACTGCTGCAAGGGCGTCCAGCCAAATCTGTGGGGGAAATATTAAGTTAACTAAGGTTTTTCATTGAACTTAAGGCAATTACTAACTGATTAACGCGCGCCACCCAATCCTGTTCATCGGAATTGTTGTTCTTAACGTATTTTGCAATGCGAGCGCACTCATTCATCGCCTCCTTGGCGGCTATCTCGTCGTAGGGCGGCACATGGGCCTGCTGCATCTCGGAGAGCTCCTCCTGCTGCGGCGGATAGGTGTGACAGCTGGGACACTGCGGAGGATGGCGAACCAGGATGTTCCTGGCGGGCGCCAGGCCATTGTGGACATCGCTGCGAGCTGGCGTATCGCGCATATAGCTGTGCTCCATTTTCTCGCCAAAGGAGGATTCACTGGGCGCCGAAATGGTGCTGGACTAAAGGATAAAAGGGAGAATTATTAGTCAAGAACTTTCGTAAGGAGGTACATTAGTGGGATGAGTGATTTTAGGGCTCATGCAGTGCTGGTCTGGTTAATAGATGATCATAGTGATGCCTCTAGTTTAATATTACACTCTCGGTTGGCGTCGAGGGCGATGTGATGACCAAAGCGGGCGACCTAATCGCCGTTGGTGCCTTTGGCGGCGAGCTGACTTTGATGGATCCCGTCATGGAGGCTGCGCTGCCCAGGGAGCCGGCCTTGACCACATAGTAGGAGGCACTGGATCCGCCCACTGGCGCATTGTTTGTTTTTGTTGCCGCTACCGCCGCCGCTGCAGACGTCGCTGCTGTTGTTGTTGTGTGTGTGTGTGTGGTGTATGTGGTTTTCCCTGCGCCCACGCGAGTGAGAAACTTGCTGGGACTGTAGGTTATTATCGAGGACGAGGCCTCCGTGATTTTGGGCTGACTTCCTATCGGATTCGCCACTTCCTTCATGGTAAACTTTTAATTTCCCTTTTTACTGGCTGCGCTGCCCCAAGTTCTCTTCCTCTTCTACGTTGTTGTCGCATTTGCGGCGTTGGGAAACCACAGCTGAAATGGCCACAAACCCCTTGACCTTTGGCCCGAGCAATTATCACACGCGTTTCGCACCGATTTGAACCAATTTTACCAGCAATTCTTATTGATTTTCTGGTTTTTGCCCGTGCGCTACGCAAATTTTTCGTTCTTGCAAAATATGGCGTGCCTGAACGCAGGGTTGCCACATCGCTGATCTGGCAACTCCGCCATTTCCCCCGAACCGCAGGCCCCGCGAAAATATTTATTCTATTTCACAACAAACGGCCAGGGAAATGGGTAACTGATTACAAGGACCTTTAGAGGAACTGGCCCACTAGCCAGGACACTACTTACACTCTCGCTGGGCGTGGGCGTGCTGGGCGGCACTAGCTCTGTGTCGCCGTCCAGCGGCTGGGCCGCGATTTTCGGTTCCTCCTCCTGCGACACATTCTGCGCCACATTGCCGCCGCTCTGCAGGAAATTGTTGAAGCAATCGAAGAACGAGGACATTTTCCGATGTGCGTTCGATCAAAACAGAAATCTATTCACTTTTGACAACAAAAACGCGACAAAAATAAGCGGAGCGTCGAAAACCGAGTGATAGGGGCTAGCGTTGCCACCTCGATCGGTTGATGTGGCAACCCTGCGGCGTGTAAAAACAGCTGATTGCGTTTGTTTCGAGAGCCAAACTTTCTGAAATTTCCACAAATTGTGTATAAATAAGGTGAAATAGGAGTCTCTAAGCGGCATGGATGAGCTGCAGAAGTTGGAGTACCTGTCGCTGGTCTCGAAGATCTGCACCGAGCTGGACAACCACTTGGGCATCAACGACAAGGACCTGGCCGAGTTCATCATCGATTTGGAGAACAAGAATCGCACCTACGACTCGTTTCGCAAGGCTCTGCTGGAAAATGGCGCGGAATTTCCCGACTCCCTGGTCCAGAATCTGCAGCGCATCATCAATCTGATGCGTCCCAGTCGTCCGGGTGGCGCCAGCGAGGAGAAGATGGGCGGCAGCGGTGACCAGAAGGAGGACAAGAAGTCGCAGCTGATGAAATTGTTTCCCGGTTTGGCTTTGCCGAATGATAAGTACAGCAAAAAGGAGGAGGAGGAGCAGAAGGAGGAGCAGCAAAAGCAGGAGAAGGAGATGGATAGGAAGCCGGAAAAGGATCACAAGAAATCCGACATGAGCGATGTGGATGCAGCCATGTTGGAGCTGGAGGCACTGGCCCCGGGTGAGAACAAAACAGAGCTTAAACAGCCCAGGGAAGCAGCTAGTTCCAGGGAGCGACACAAGCGGAGGAGCAGGGATCGGGACACCAAGAGACGCAGCAGATCCCGAGAGGATAGAACCTCAGAGCGGCGCAGGAGCAGATCGCGGGACAGGGAACGTCGACGGCGAAGCAGATCCCGGGATAATCGGCGGAGAAGCAGGTCTCGCGAGGATCGAGATAAAGAGCGACGACGCAGGAGATCGAACTCTAGAGATCGCCACGATCGCCGCCGCCGCAGTCGCTCCCGCTCCACGGAAAAAAGAAACCACAGGGAACGCTCCAAGGATCGCAGCGAGAAGATGCCACCGCCCTCGGCCGCCGCCATGACCGATGATCCCGAGCCGGGCAAGATCTACTCGGGCAAAGTGGCCAATATAGTGCCCTTCGGCTGCTTCGTGCAGCTCTTCGGAGTGCGCAAACGCTGGGAGGGATTGGTGCACATCTCACAGCTGCGGGCAGAAGGACGGGTGACCGATGTTACCGAGGTGGTGAGTCGAAATCAGACAGTTAAAGTAAAGGTGATGTCCGTAACAGGACAAAAGGTGGCCCTCTCGATGAAAGAGGCGGATCAGGAGACTGGACGGGATCTCAATCCACTCTCACACGCCCCCGAAGACGACGAGTCTCTGAGGGATCGCAATCCAGATGGACCCTTCAGCAGCAGCACTTCGATGCTAAACCTGCAGGGAAATGGCCTAGACGGAGATGAGCACGAGTCCAGGAAGCGTGTGACCAGGATTTCCAGCCCCGAACGCTGGGAAATCAAGCAGATGATCAGTTCCGGTGTGCTGGACAGGAGTGAGATGCCGGATTTCGACGAGGAGACGGGACTGCTGCCCAAAGATGAAGACGACGAGGCGGACATTGAAATTGAGATTGTAGAAGAGGAACCGCCCTTCCTCTCGGGACACGGCAGAGCCTTGCATGACCTCTCGCCCGTGAGGATTGTAAAGAATCCCGATGGCTCGCTGGCCCAAGCTGCCATGATGCAGTCCGCTTTGTCCAAGGAGCGTCGCGAGCAGAAGATGCTGCAGCGCGAGCAAGAAATGGAGGCTCTGCCCACCAGCTTGAACAAGAACTGGATCGATCCGCTGCCCGAGGAGGAGAGCCGCAGCCTGGCGGCCAATATGCGGGGAATGGGAGCCGCTCCCGCTGAAGTTCCCGAGTGGAAAAAGCATGTCATTGGCGGCAAGAAGTCCTCCTTCGGTAAGAAAACAGATTTAACGCTAGTGGAGCAGCGCCAATCGTTGCCTATATACAAACTGCGCGATGATCTGATCAAGGCGGTTACAGACAACCAAATCCTCATTGTTATTGGCGAAACTGGTTCCGGAAAGACCACGCAAATCACTCAGTACTTGGGCGAATGTGGATTCACTGCCAGGGGAAAGATTGGCTGCACGCAGCCCAGGAGAGTGGCGGCCATGTCGGTGGCCAAGCGAGTCGCGGAGGAGTACGGTTGTCGGCTGGGCCAGGAGGTGGGCTACACCATTCGATTCGAGGACTGCACCAGTCCCGAGACCATAGTCAAGTACATGACGGACGGTATGCTGCTCCGAGAGTGCCTAATGGAGGCGGAGCTAAAGAGTTATTCGGTGATTATGTTGGACGAAGCTCACGAGCGTACGATTCACACGGATGTTCTCTTTGGTCTGCTTAAAACAGCCGTGCAAAAGCGTCCCGAACTTAAGCTAATTGTCACTTCGGCCACTTTGGATGCGGTGAAATTCTCGCAGTACTTCTTTAAGGCGCCCATTTTCACAATTCCCGGTAGAACCTTTCCTGTAGAAGTTCTTTACACCAAGGAACCGGAGACGGACTATCTGGACGCCTCGCTGATCACAGTGATGCAAATCCATCTGCGGGAGCCACCCGGTGACATTCTGCTCTTTCTCACGGGTCAGGAGGAGATCGACACGGCCTGCGAGATCTTGTACGAGCGAATGAAGAGTTTAGGACCAGATGTACCCGAGTTGATCATCCTGCCGGTGTATTCTGCCCTGCCATCCGAGATGCAGACGCGTATCTTTGATCCTGCGCCCGCTGGAAGCCGCAAGGTTGTGATAGCCACCAATATTGCCGAGACTTCCCTGACCATAGATGGCATATTCTATGTGGTAGATCCTGGTTTCGTAAAGCAGAAGGTGTACAACTCGAAAACGGGCATGGACTCCCTGGTGGTCACTCCAATTTCACAGGCGGCTGCCAAGCAGAGAGCAGGAAGAGCCGGGCGCACGGGTCCCGGAAAAACCTATCGTCTTTATACAGAGCGCGCGTATCGAGATGAAATGCTGCCCACTCCGGTGCCCGAAATTCAACGCACCAATTTGGCCACCACAGTGCTGCAGCTGAAAACGATGGGAATCAACGATCTGCTGCACTTTGATTTCATGGACGCGCCGCCAGTGGAATCCCTGGTCATGGCATTGGAGCAACTGCATTCCCTTTCAGCTTTGGATGACGAAGGACTGCTTACACGATTGGGCAGACGCATGGCCGAGTTTCCCCTCGAGCCGAATCTCTCCAAGATGCTGATTATGTCTGTGGCGCTTCAGTGCTCCGATGAGATTCTGACTATTGTCTCGATGCTCAGCGTGCAGAATGTGTTTTACAGGCCAAAGGACAAACAGGCGCTGGCGGACCAAAAGAAGGCCAAATTCAATCAGGCGGAAGGTAGGTGTATTCCTAACTAGAAAGGAAATTCGGCAAGCCGAAGCTATATACCCTTGCAGATCATTCTATTAATTTACAAATCGCAAAAAAATTCAATTTTCTATTATTTCGTATTAATTTTCCGAACGTTTCTATGGCAGCTATATGAAATAGTAGTTGTATCTTTTTAAATTAAAATCAAAAATCGGAAATATTTAAAAATAGTCATATCCCATATTTTTTTCCTATTAATTTGCATTTAATTTAACGACCGTTCCTATGACAGCTATATGATATAGTGTTCCGATTTTTTTTAAATTTTATTCGAAATTCATAAATATTTAAAAAATAATATTCCCAAGAGTAGAAGGTAATATTTGAAAGAACACCGAAGTTAGAATTTTTTTGAACGTTTTTTTTTTATCTTTCCTATAGGAGGTATAAGATATAGTCGTCTGATCCGGTCGGTTCCGACTTATATACTACCTGCATTTGAAAGAAGACTTTTGGGAAAGTTTCAAGCCGATAGCTTTAAAACTGAGAGACTAGTTTGCGTAGAAACGGACGGACAGACAGACGGACATGGCTAGATCGACTCGTCTAGTGATGCTGATCAAGAATATATATACTTTATGGGGTCGTAAACGCCTCCTTCACTGCGTTGCAAACTTCTGACTAAAATCATAATACCTTCTGCAAGGGTATAAAAATATAACCTTGAAAGATTACTAATTCTCCTCTTTACAGGTGACCACTTGACCCTGCTGGCCGTCTACAACAGTTGGAAGAACAACAAGTTCTCGAATGCCTGGTGCTACGAGAACTTTGTACAGATCCGCACCCTAAAGCGCAGCCAGGATGTGAGGAAGCAGCTGCTGGGCATCATGGACAGGCACAAATTGGATGTGGTATCCGCGGGAAAGAACTCTGTGCGAATTCAGAAGGCCATCTGCTCGGGATTCTTTCGCAACGCAGCCAAGAAGGACCCGCAGGAGGGCTATCGCACCCTGGTCGACTCCCAAGTGGTCTACATCCATCCGTCGAGTGCTTTGTTCAATCGCCAGCCGGAGTGGGTCATCTACCACGAGCTGGTGCAGACCACCAAGGAGTATATGCGCGAGGTGACCACCATCGATCCCAAATGGCTGGTGGAGTTTGCGCCGTCCTTCTTCCGATTCTCGGACCCCACGAAGCTCAGCAAATTCAAGAAGAACCAGCGCCTGGAGCCGCTGTACAACAAGTACGAGGAGCCCAATGCCTGGCGTATCTCTCGCGTCCGCCGGCGTCGCAATTAAAGGACTCAACACGATTGTGTGTGTGTAATTTGATGTATTTTAAGCGCCTAGAAATATAATTTAAGTTTAAACTTCAGTAGCCCTTGCGACCGCGAAAGCGCTGTCTGTTGTCCAACTGGAAGGTGGAGATATGTGTTAGCTTGGGGAAGGATTTAGGTATCATAGGGAACTTACCAGGGAGCGCTTGCACTCATAGAAGGTATTCCTTAGAACCTGGCACTCGGGTGGAACATTGTTATCCTGGAGGCACTGGCGCGGAGTCTTGCCCATTCGGCAGCACTCGCTCTCCAGCAGGCACATCTTCAGGTCCGCCCGCACTCCGGCACATGCCGTCTCATCGGCCAGCCTCTCGTTACCCTCGTAGCGCATCATCTTTGGTACTTTCCGAGTGTTTTTAATATATATTTTAAATATTTCGTGGACCAGTTACAAAACCAGCTGTCCACAGCGTTGCCAGAAGGGTCGATACAATTGGCCCCTACTGATATCGATTAACCTGAGCAGTATTGGTTAACGATAGACATTTGATCATGGGAGTTGAAAGAGGGATTAGATTGTGAGAAAGCAATCTTATAACGGTTATTATTTTTGATATTGGATATTCCATGTTCAGAAATAATACGATTTTGAAATCTTGATACTTTAACGGTTATTATTTTGGATATTGGATATTCCATGTTCAGAAATAATACGATTTTGAAATCTTGATACTTTACCCACAATCATTTTTGTCCAACATGCACTTTCTGATGAATATATGAATAACGATGGGGGCGACTTTGAAATTAAAATTTCCTTAAGTAATAAGGAATTTTCAGCTATTTTATCAGTAAGGTTGTTTTGAGTGTGTGAGTCACAAATAAATAATAAAATGTGAATAACAAATACTTTGTAGAAAAACTTTTTTGTACCCTTAAAAAATGTGGATGCCAAAGAAATACAAATTCCAATTCCAAATACAAATCTTTTCTAAACGAATCCTAGAATAAATTTCGATCCTTCGAAGATTTGAAATCCCTTCAGAAAGATCTTTTACTACGCCCATGAAACCTGCAAACGCAACGGTATTTTCCACCGTTATTGGCGCGGTCATACTGGCTGTCCTCCCGCACAAAAACATTGTTGCTTGAATTTATCTAAATGTAGCCCCCGGTACGAGCGATCAAAGGACTCGAAATGACCTACGACGAGCGCAGCAGTGATGGCAGCAGCTCCAGCGAAACGCAGGACTCCTACGCCCACCTGCTGGCCTCCAAACCGGGCCAATCCCAGACGCCGGCCGCCGCGATGCCGAAGCACATTCCCTTTCCGGAGCACGCAACCACATCCGAGTGGCTGAGCGAACTAATTATGTGCGCCTTCACCATGGGCTCGGCCATCGTTCAGTTCATCAATATCTACCGGACCAACTGGTGGCTGCCACAGGCGCACACCAGGCACATGGTGGTGGGTTTTTCCCTGGTTCTGAAATCCAAAAATATTCCAAAACTTAACCCACATCCTTGCCCGCAGAACATCGAGCTGATCGATCCATATCTGCGCTATCTCCTGTTCATACTCAACACGCGACGACTGGTCTACTGCTTGCTGCTGGTGAAGATCAGGAAGGGCAACGAGAAGAGCAGGCAGTTCATCCGGCTGGGCATTAAGTATGGATTTGGGGGATTGGTGCAGCTGGCCCTGGGCTACTGCGCCATGAAGCTGTACCAGCAGCACACTTACATCCTCCTCCTCTTCCTTTCGTATCCGTAAGTGGAAAGCATATAAAATTTCCATCAGATAATTGACCATCCCTTTTCCAGAGTCGTCATCTACCTGCTGATCTTTGGCTTCCAGCTGGAGCCCTTCCTGCGCACCAGATTCGAGCTGCCTGGCGTGTACATCAACGATCTCCCCGTTCACAGCTGCACCACCAATCCGGTGAACATCAGGGACGAGGTGGAGACACTGCGTCACGACTTTAACAAGCGCTTCAAGCAGCTCATCTTCACCTCCATGCTGAATGCCTACTACAGCGGCCTGGTGCCCTGTTGTCTGGCCATCAGCGTCCAGTATAATGTAATCCGGGCTGCCCAGCACTGCATTATCGTTTGTCTGGGCGCCTTTAGTCTATGTGCTGTATTCCTGTATCCCGCCAAGTACAGTGATACCCTGCATCGGGCTACTTTGCATTTAGGCTGCTGGCAGCGCATCGATAGGGAGCCGGCGCCTTCGCAGTTGATAGTGGCCGCCAGTGCGCTCGCCTGGTCGAAGTACTCCTCCTACAACCACGGCACCGTGGTTAAGCACAACGGGGGATTGTACAGAAGTCAGGGCGTGGTCACGGTGGCCACGCCAGGAAACGCCAGCCATGCAAGATTTTATGTAAGTATGATACAGAAAGTTAACTATATTTACAGGCGGATTTATATTTTCCTATATTTTTACAACTATATAAGAGAGCCCTGCATGAATGGATTCAATGAATTATTTTGAATTTTTTGTTTTATATGAATTAATTAATTAGAACTTCGAGTTTAATAGAATTGAATGAATTTTGAGTTTAATAGAATTGAATGAATTCCGAAATATTTCAAACTACAATTTCTTTTGAACAAAAAGGCCCATCATTTTGTGATTAAATCTGCCTAAATTTTATTTACTAAGCAGTAACATTTATTTGTTAAAAATTTTCCACTTTTTGTTCTCGAAAAAAAGCACAACAAAATCTGGCAAATTAAAAAAATGCATAAAAATTATTCATTCATTTATTCAATTCGAAATGAATTAGAAAAACGTTCAATTTAATAAACAAATCAGAAATCATTCAATTGAATTAAACAAATCAAAAATTTCATGGCATACAATGATAAAACAAAAATTAAATGATTCACGCAGGGCTCTAATTTATATTTTCCTGTATTTTTCCTATTTTATAAAACAAGTATTAATAATTTAACCTTTGCAGAAACTCTTCCACAATCCCACTATCATATACTCCACACTGGCCATCCTTCAGGCCGCCGTTCTGCTCGTGGAGATTGGATCTCTAAGCGCCGAAAGCGTCGAGTGGCACTTTGTGCTCTCCATCAGCTTCGTGGCCTTCACCAGCATGGGCGCCTTCTTCAAGTTGGTGCGAGACTACCTCATCACCAAGGACCTCTACAAAACGGAGCACGCGGTGGCCCCCGATCAACCCTTTCGACAACGCATGAGAGATGCATTTATGTAGTAACGATCCAAAGAATAATAAAGTTACATTTATTCGGCAGAGCTTTTGCTCTTGTCATCGGGTTTTTCACAGGACACGGCGAATACCCAGGAGCTGCCCTTCTTGTGGTCGCGCACTTGGATACCATGCTGCTGGAGCAGGCTTCTCAGCTCATCGCAGGCCGCCAGTAGCTGCGAGTTCTTCACATCCCCGGATGTGGCATTCTCCCGCATCCTTCCCCGAACGCTCAACACATCATCGACGAGGAGAGAGGAATCGATGCCACGATCCGCAGAGGAGATCTTTTTCTCCTGCAGGGATTCTCTTTCTATCAACTCGGAAACACCAAAAGAAACGATGGCCCGGTTAATGAAGTTACCAGCTGCCAAGAGGAGATCCATACAGTAGGCGGGTTCCTCGTGAGCATCGATTTGCTGCTCGTTGATGCAACGACTAATGCTGCTCATCTGATCCATCAGCACACCGATGGCGCGGGCCGTATCAAAGTCATCTCTTAGGCAGCTGTCGAACTCGGTAACTGTGTGTGCTAGCTGCGCCCTGAGCGCTCCCTCGTCCATCAGGTGGACGGGCTTTAGGAACTGTGTGTAGGCACTGAGATCCGCCTGGAAGTTTTTAAAACGCTGCAGGGTCTGTCGAGCGGTCTGCATTAACTGATCGCTGTAGGGCATGGCGTTGCGATAGTTGGACAGCAGGCAGGCCATCCGAAACTCGTCGGCTGTGTACTTCTTCAGCAGTTCCGACACCGAAATGGTGTTGCCCAGGGATTTTGACATCTTCTCCTGGTCGCCCACCATGTGCAGCTGACCGGTGTGCAGCCAGTAGTTCACCCACTGATCTGTTTTGTAGCGGGCGCAGCACTGGGCCTCCTCGTTTTCGTGGTGCGGAAAGCGCAGGTCCAGGCCGCCGGCATGGAAATCCAATTGGCGGCCAAAGAAGAGACCAGCAATGGCGCTGCATTCGATGTGCCAACCGGGACGCCCCTCGCCGCCCCAAGGAGCCGCCCAGGTGGGCTCGCTGCCGCTCTGCCGCGCCTTCCACAGCGCAAAGTCTGCGGTGTTTCTCTTCACGGGATCCTCCTTCTCCTCGCTGAAATCTAGCTTCAAAAGCTTCCCATAGTTCAGACTCTGGGAGACATCAAAGTAAACGGACTTGTCCGGCGTAACGTAGGCCTGCCCCTCATCGATTAGCTGCTGGATGAACTGTATAATCACAGGCATGGTGGTGGTCACATGGCTGCGCACATCCGGTGGCTGGACATTCAAACGCAGCATGTCCTGGCGAAATTCCGCCTCGTAGGCTCGCGCCATCTTCTGCCAGTCGAGCCCGGCGAGCTGGGCTCTCTTGATAATCTTGTCGTCCACGTCGGTGATGTTCATGGCGGTCACCAGGTTGATTTTGAAGTAGTCCCGAAGAATGCGCTGCAGGATGTCCACCTTGACATAGGTGCTGGCATGCCCCAAATGGGCGGAATCGTAGACGGTGGGTCCGCAGGTGTACCAGGTGACCATGTGGGGGTTGCGCAGGATTAGGGGCACCTTCTGGCGCATTCCGTGATTGTAAATGTTGATGCCTGTGTGCTGTCCAACGGGCTTGCGCCATTTGAAAGTCCTGTCCGTCGGAGGAGCCTCATCCGCGAAGTTGCGGCGCCAGAGGCGGATTGGTCGTTTCCGACTGCCAAAAGTCCGGATCGCCTCCTTGCTGTGGATTAAATAAGGTGATTGAGGTTAATAACTTCTCCTCGGTAAGTACTCACAGGCCAAACATTCTTCAGTCTCTTCAATTTTGATTAAAATCTAAAGTAAAATACAAAAGTTTAATTTCATAAAATAACAATAACACCTGATTGTTAAACGGGAGGTTGCCAGACCATAGAATTTCGGCTTATTTGGGTAGGGTAGGGTGACTCGATTTATGGCATTTTAAATTCATTAACAAAATACACTTAACTAAAAGTTTAGTCTTAAACTTTATGTTTTAGATTAATTTTACTAAATATATTTATTACATACGCTCTGCAAATATTTTATTTTCCTTTAAATAGAACCACCCTCCTGCACAGTGCTGCCACCTGGTCACAGAAAAGCGAAGCCGGTAGAATGCAGTGGCTTAAAATGAAGCTCCGCTTTGTAAACTTAATTTTACTATTAATAAGCTCAGCATGGGCCCAATCAGGAGCCGATCCCAACGGCTACCTCACCTACTGTCCCTGCATGGGTAAGTCCGACTTAGAAATTACCTTGAAAGCCAACTTAACCGAGCTTTTTAAAGGACGCTTTGGCAACCAGGCCGACCACTTCCTGGGATCGTTGACCTTCGCCAAGGCCTTGAATCGAACCCTCATCCTGCCGCCGTGGGTGGAGTACCGCAGGGGCGAGCTGCGCTCCCGCCAGGTGCCATTCAACACATACTTTGAAGTGGAGCCGCTTAAGGAGTACCACCGCGTCATCACCATGGCGGACTTCATGTGGCACCTGGCGGACGACCTGTGGCCGGAATCGCAGCGCGTTTCCTTCTGCTACAAGGAGCGCTACAGCCTGCAGCAGGAGAAGAACGATCCGGAGAAGCCCAATTGTCATGCCAAGGACGGCAATCCGTTTGGTCCCTTCTGGGACACCTTCCACATCGATTTTGTGCGGTCTGAGTTCTATGCGCCGCTGCATTTCGATGTCCATCACAGTAACGAGGCTGCCAAGTGGCAGGCCAAATATCCTGCGGAATCCTGGCCTGTACTCGCCTTCACCGGAGCCCCTGCCAGTTTTCCCGTTCAGCTGGAGAACTGCAAGCTGCAACGCTACATGCAATGGAGCCAGAGGTACAGGGACGCCTCCAAGGAGTTCATCCGGGCGCAGCTGCCGCGCGGCGCCTTTGTGGGCATTCACCTGCGCAACGGTATCGATTGGGTGAGAGCCTGTGAGCACGTCAAGGATAGCCAGCATTTGTTTGCCTCGCCGCAGTGTTTGGGCTACAAAAATGAGCGAGGAGCTCTCTATCCGGAACTCTGCATGCCCTCCAAGGAGGCCATAGTTCGCCAGCTGAAGAGAACCATTAAGAATGTGCGGCAGACGCAGCCGGACAACGAAATCAAGTCGGTTTTCGTGGCCTCCGACTCGAACCACATGATTGGCGAACTCAGTTCGGCTCTCAGTCGCATGGGCATCAGTGTGCACAAGCTGCCCGAGGACGATCCCTACCTGGATTTGGCCATTCTTGGACAGTCTAACCACTTTATCGGCAACTGCATCTCTTCGTACTCGGCTTTTGTGAAACGCGAACGCGACTCGCACGGTTTTCCGTCATATTTCTGGGGATTCCCCAAGGAGAAGGACCGCAAGCATTCCAATGTGCACGAGGAGCTCTAATTGACCAACAGGAAACAGTACTTAAATACTCTAACAGGCTATTTTTTCGGTTTTCATTTCAAGTTATCAGTGGTTATTTGTACATCACTTTTTTACAAATTTTAGTATGTCAATGGTTAAGATCAAAGTTCCAATTTACAATGCAACGTAATGACATTTTTTACAAACAAATAATATTTTCTAGATATTTAATATTTAATTTTGTGTTAAGTTAAAAATTGTATTCATTAAAAACGCTAGCGTTAGTTCTTTTATTCTTTTAATTTTGTGTTAATTAAAAATTGTATTCATCATAAGCGCTAGCGTTAATTCTTTTATCTTTAAATCGTAAATTGTATTTTGTGAAAACCGTTAAATGCCTTTAATATCACTATAAAATAGACCTAAGATATTAAGTATTCCTCGCATTTATCGAGCCATGGTTCTACAAACGATTTTACTTATAAATTTATTCAAGTTATCCAAACCACGCACTCTTGAAAATAATTTAGGTCGTAATTCCATTGCCCCGAGGCTAGCATTTGTTCATCATCATCATCATTGCAGTTTTGGGGAGTGGCGTGCCTAGTGTATCAGCTTCTGAGTGCGAGCCAGGTCCAGTTGCGCCGACGAGACGCTCGTCAGGCCCTCGCGCACTGTGCTGAGGTTCTCCTTCCAGGCCTGCAGCAGATCGCGCAGCTGCTCCCACTGCGGCGCTCCGAAGGTTCGGTGCATCGTGGACGAGATGTGAACTTTGTGGTTGGCCTGATCCAGGCGGGCGCGTACCAACTTCGTTTTCAGCACCTCGATGACGAAGGGCTCAACCTCGTCCTCGTTGATCTGCAGCTCCTTGGTCAGCGTCTCGAAGGTCATCTCGGGGCTGCTCTCGGCCAGCTGCATGAAGGTCAACAGGCGCATCTTCTTCATGTTCTGCTCGTGGTTCAAACCCTGCGAATTGACGAACTCCCGGTGGTCCTCGTAGAACTGCACATACGCCGGCAGCTTCTCCGACACGAAGATGGACAGCAGGTCGTGGATGAGGTCGCCCTCCAAGAAGCGCACTGGTTTCAGTGCCAGCAGAGGATCCAGCAGGAATGTATTGGGGTCGGCCAAAGCGGTCACAATGCACTTCATGGCATCCTCGCGGGCCACACACGCGTTGTCCGCCGTGTACGTGCCCAGCAGCTCAATCATCACCTTGGAGGACAGCTCCAGATTGGTGTCCTTGGTCACGTCGTGCAGCAGGCGGTACAACTTCTGCATCTGTTCCGACGACGGCGGGCAGTTGGCGAACTGGGACTTGAGCTGGTCCACTCCGGTGAAGACCTCCAGCACCTGTTCGCACTGTTTGGCCACCTGGACGAGGTGGTAGTAGACGTGGTAGCGCAAGGGAGAGGCGGTGTCCAGGTTGTTGAACAGGCGCCACAGCGATTGGAGGCACACCTTGCCGAGTGGGTGGTTGGGAGCCTTGGTCATCTTCTCGCAGTAGGCGAGCACAATGTTCTCGCCGCGATCGAGGGGGATCTAGAATATAAAAAACGTTTATTTCCTGTTTAATTGGATATATTTTTATTCTATTCACCGTGATCATAATAGACACAATGCTGTTCAGGATGCCGTCAATCTGCGAGGGCTCCCCATCCTTGAAGCAAACATCACAGACGCCGATGATCTTGTGCAAATCATCCTCCACTCCTTTGTTGGACTTCTCCGATGAGATTTCGGCTCCCAGCTTCTTGAAATACTTGCGCAGCTCTTGCACCTTTTTTTGATAAATTATTGAAAATATTAGTTTTTGTTTTGCAGCAAGAGGAAGACATAACCTCAATTCTGGCCAGGGGCGGCCCAAAAACATGGTTTATGTCGCTAACTTATACTCTACCTGCTCGTCCAGGGAGAGGTCTATGAAAACCGGATGCGAAGTCATGGTTTTATTAAATGTTATTCCACTTTTTTAAACAAATGCAGTCGAAAATAACACGCACACACGTCTTCGGCGCTTTGACAGCTCGAAAGGAAAGAGAGCGACGGGAGGTGCCAGCCTGGCGCTTTTCTAGCTAACTAGAGATGCTCTGAAAAGAGGAAATAATATAAATGTGGTTTTTAAGCAAAATTACCTTATTTAAAAATTAACTAAAGCTACGTAAGAATTAGTTCAATTAAATACAACTTTTTACATGTTGTTTAACAGCTTTATTTAGTTTATAACAAGCTTCAATTGGTTTAATATTTTGGCGGGTTTATAGCTCAAAACAATCCATGAAGGGAGAGAGTGGCCAGATCTCGTAAAATGCATAAGTCACAGTGACTGTGACTAGGATTACCGTTATAAAACCCCTTCTCAGAAGTTATAAGACTACTATTTTACCCTATTTCTGTAAAGTTTTTAGATTTTTTCTTTAATATTTAAACCAAAAAAAAAGGTAAGCGAAATGTTTTAAATTTTCGCGACCGTCTGGCAGCCTTGTGTGCGGCCACACCGGAATTAAGTTATATTACTTACTCGCCAAATTTCTATTATATTTGTGTAACGGACGAGGGGAACACAGTCGTGCCTGCTAATCGCGGCGGGGAATTATGAAATACACGGCAGATACATTTACGTAGCGGCTTCTTAGGGCCACAGATTCCGCAGCAGGCGGCACAACAGTTTCTAGTCAACTACTGTCCTCGAGTCAATCCCGTGATTACATGGCCACCTCCGATTTTGTGCTGGGAGGACTGGCCTCTGTGGGCGCCACCTTCTTCACCAATCCCATCGAGGTGATCAAGACCCGGATCCAGCTGCAGGGGGAGTTGGCGGCCCGGGGCACCTACGTTGAACCCTACAAGGGCATCGTGCATGCCTTCGTCACGGTGGCCAAAAACGATGGCATTCTGGGCCTCCAAAAGGGTCTGGCTCCCGCGCTGTACTTCCAGTTCATCATCAATTCCTTCCGGTATGGAATAACCCATCTATCAGTATTTGCTTTGAACTAATCTCTAATGATTAACTATCTCCAATCCACAGACTCAGCATTTATTCGGAGGCAATGGAGCGCAAGTGGATGCACAACCGAAAAGGCGAGGTGTCCTACGGAATGGGTCTGATGTGGGGCGCCATCGGCGGCGTCGTGGGCTCCTACTGCTCCAGTCCATTTTTCCTGGTACGCCAAAACAAGCGAATATTACGGGAGGTTACATAAACAAACAGCTTATCTAAATGAACCTTGTGCTCATCAGCATTTTGGACCTTCCACAGATAAGAACCTCTATTGACAACTGCCTATCAGTATCTAAATATTACTATTTCAAGATATTCAGAAAGGAGGTATCAAGCTAGAATAATATTATAACGATTTTATACGACTAATTCTGGTTTTTACCAGTAATTTCCAGGGATATACATACTTGCATATTACTGAATGACATAATGTATTCATAAGACCTTCACTCAATGGTTTACTTTAGCAGTGAACTTAGAATCAATGATTTTCTTTACCGAGCCACAATTACTTTACACAGTTTTATTGGATAAACACTGTTTTGTTATCTCATTTATAAGACAATAGAGACATTTTCTCTATTTATAAATGTAACCTACTCTTATTGTTAGCCAAAATCTTAGTCAATATTCATGTTATTATGTAGATTATAATCATCTTCCCTTTTTAAAAAAATATTCTTACGATTATATACGACATATTCTGGTTTGTACCAGTAACTTCCAGAGATATATATATGTATATTTGCATATTACTGAATGACATAATGTATTCATAAGACCTTCAGTCAATGGTTTACTTTCGTTAAGGTTTCCGATCCACCAATACTTCACACCGTTTAATTGGATAAACACGGTTTTATTATCTAATTTATAAGTCAATAAAGGCATAGTGTCTATATATTTTTAAATGTAACCTACTCTTATTCAATATTTATGATATTATTGTACTAATTATAATCATCTTCCCTTTCTAGATCAAAACGCAGTTGCAATCGCAAGCCGCCAAGCAAATTGCAGTGGGCTACCAGCATGCCCACACTTCCATGAGCGATGCCCTGCGACAGATCTACGCGAAAAATGGAGTGCGAGGACTCTGGCGAGGATCGGTGGCTGCGCTGCCCAGAGCAGCCCTAGGATCGGGTGCCCAGATAGCCACCTTTGGCAAGACCAAAGCACTGCTGGTGGAGTACGATCTGGTGACCGAACCCACGTTAAACTCATTCACGGCCGGCTTGATAGCGGGCTCCATTATGTCGGTGGCCATAACGCCGCCGGATGTGATCACCACCCGTCTGTACAACCAGGGCGTGGACGCCGAGGGACGTGGTCTGCTCTATCGCGGTTGGCTGGACTGCTTCGTCAAGATCCTGCGCTCCGAGGGAGTCTACGGTATGTACAAGGGCTTCTGGGCCAACTACCTGCGCATTGCCCCCCACTCAACGTTGGTGCTGCTCTTCTTTGACGAGCTGATCGCCCTGCGCACAAAGTATAGTCGTCAATGATCCCAAAGATCAGTAGATAGGTAGCATTACTTTAAGTACAAAATTGTTCAACTCGTTTGTAATATCCATATATATTGTTTACTTTGTTAAGCCAAGTTAAGACAGGCAAAATGATAATATTTTGTGTGTCTGAACTCGGCTTTAGTCTGTAGTGAGTAGCTAAACAAGAACCTAGTTCCAATCTCTTAGCTTAGCATAGCCCCAGAACCAATTTGTGCCTTCAGTAAGCTAAACTTAACGCCTGTTCCTGTAGCCATTAACTGTGCAATACTTTGGTGAAATAAACCAGTTAGTTTGTTACTTTTTAACACACATTGTTTGCCGGTGGCAGATTGCCGCTTATCGCAATTGGAGTGTTAGTGATGACTAGATTGTGACGCTGAACGGACGTCGCATCGATGGCTACGTCTGATTTTGTGCTGGGCGGCGTGGCTGCCATGGGAGCAGGTGTATTCACCAATCCCGTGGAGGTGATAAAGACTCGCATCCAGCTGCAGGGAGAGCTGGCCGCCCGGGGATCCCATGCTCAGCCCTATAAGAGTGTCTTCCAGGCTTTCGTAACCGTGGCCAAAAATGATGGTATTCTCGGCCTGCAGAAGGGATTGGCGCCAGCTTTATGCTTCCAGTTTGTCATAAACTCCTTTCGGTGAGTAGTAACTGTGATATTTATACAAGAAATTTTATAAATATTTATTAATTTATCCACAGTTTAAGCATTTACACCCATGCCGTGGAGAAGGGTTGGGTGCACAACAAGAAGGGCGAGATTTCCTTTGCGAAGGGCATGTTTTGGGGAGCTTTGGGCGGCGTCGTGGGTTCCTATTGCGCCAGTCCCTTCTTCCTGGTAAGCGATTATGTAAATCACTCAGTTGAGGTGTCTGCTTCGGCCGACATTTGACAATGTCTAGCCCAGATAAGATAAGACCCCTAATCGCTAATCGCTACTTTTCCATTCAAGATCAAAACTCAACTTCAGGCGCAGGCAGCCAAACAAATCGCCGTTGGTTATCAGCATCAGCATGCCTCGATGAGCGACGCGATAAGGCAGATATACCGGAAGAACGGCATCTTTGGACTCTGGCGGGGATCCATGGCCAATGTGAGCCGGGCTACGGTAGCCTCAGCCGTACAAATCGCCACTTTTGGCCAGGCCAAGTCCTTTCTGAAGGAAAATGGATTGGTTACCCATCCCACGCTCCTTTCTTTTTGCTCTGGTTTATCTGCTGGGTCATTTGTATCGGTGGCTATAACTCCTTTGGATGTGATTACCACTCGTCTCTATAATCAGGGAGTGGATGCCCAAGGTCGTGGGCTTTACTACAAGGGCTGGTTGGATTGCGTGCTCAAGATTCTGAGATCTGAGGGAGTTTATGGCTTGTACAAGGGATTCTTTCCGATTTATCTGAGGAGTGCTCCCTACTCCACTTTGGTGCTTTTGTTCTTCGATGAGCTGATTGCACTGCGAGAGAAGTACAATCTTCATTACTGATATGGTTTATGCTCTGAAGAGCAAGTTGTAAAGTTAAGATTTGATTGTTCACTAGATTATATTTTATTTAAAATAATCAACTTTAGTTACTTACATTCAGGGACCGTAAATAATCGTTATTTGAGATTTTTATTTTAAAAGACCTACTGAGATTTGTTTATGTTTTAATCAACAATTTAATTGGTTTTTACGCGCTTTATAGACATGAACAAATAACAGTTAATTTGCTTTTCAGATTTGTGAACAAGAGTAAAAAGACCGTTATTTTTGACGTTTAAAATAAAATAACACAGTAGTCTTTTTAAAATAAAATGTAACTTACATTTTAAGAAACAAAATAATGGATGTAGAAATTTATATCTACTTTGGTGATATAACAAATAAGTTTCTTGATTACTTATTTATTAATCCCCAGATTGAGCATCTACACCCATGCCGTGGAGGAGGGTTGGGATTGTAACAAAAAGGGCGAGACTTCCTTTGCGAGGGGCCTGTTTTGGGGCGGTTTAGGTGGTGTTGTGGGATCCTACTTATCCAGCCCCTTTTTCATGGTAAGCGATTATGTAAAACACACAACAGAAGTGTCTGCTTAGACACAATTCACAAGTTCTGGCCCAGATAAGATAAGACTACTGAGTTATTTTTCCATTCAAGATCAAGACGCAACTTCAGTCCCAGGCTGCCAAGCAGATTGCCGTTGGTTATCAGCATCAACATGCCTCGATGAGCGATGCGATTAGGCAGATTTACCGGAAGAACGGCGTCTTTGGACTCTGGCGGGGATCAATGGCAAATGTGAGCCGGGCTACGGTAGCCTCAGCCGTACAAATCGGCACTTTTGGCAAGGCCAAGTCTCTTTTGAAGGAAAACGGCGTGGTTACTCACCCCACGATCCTTTCGTTCTGCTCTGGCTTAGCTGCAGGCTCATTTATGTCGGTTGCAATCACTCCATTGGATGTGATAACCACTCGTCTCTACAATCAGGGAGTGGATGCCCAAGGACGTGGGCTTTACTACAAGGGCTGGCTGGACTGCGTTCTTAAGATTCTACGATCTGAAGGAGTTCATGGCTTGTACAAGGGATTCTTTCCAATTTATCTGAGAAGTACTCCGTACTCCATTTTGGTGCTTTTGTTCTTTGATGAGCTGATTGCCCTGCGGGAAAAATACGATCTTCACTACTGAAGAATTAGTTCGTTAGAAGAAAAAGCTCTATTCTCATATCAGAAATAGAATGCTTTACTAAAGATTAGGCTTTGATTGTTCACTAGATTATGTTGTTTCGTTTTCATGAATTAACTTTACAATGTTTAATTTTAAGAAGCATAAACATTTATGTGTTATTATTTTAAACTAAACAAGGTGAGTAAAACAATAAAGAGGCTTTTATTCAAATCTGAAAACAAAAAATATTTTGAATATAATAAAAACAACATGATTACGTAATTTTGGAAAAATCCCATCGGAGTGTTATACAATATTATTGGTTTCAATATTTTTTACCAATAAAAAAAATTAATTACAGCTCATTAACTTTAAAACTAAACTTACGAAACTATCGATACTATCGATAATAATATTTTATTTTATAAAAAAATAAAGTTCTTAATTTATTGTATGGTTCTCCATAAAATATTAATGTTTTTGTACTTCAAACTAAATTCCTATTTTAGATCAAACATAAAGAGTGCGGCAATAAATACAGGCATTTAAAGGTTTATTCTTAATTTAAAATAAAGTCTTAAAAATCAATCAATTGAGACTCCAAATAATAACCCCTTCTACTTTTTTCTAAGCCGCATTTCAAGCGAATGGGAAGCAATTTTTAGTTAGGTAATTATTCGATATAATTGCCGATGGTTTAACAACTCTGTCGACTGCTGGCGAGACCCACAGTCAACAAAATGATAACGTAACATCAACTAAAACTAAAATTAAGGTGAAAAGATGACCAAGTCCGATTTTGTGCTGGGCGGCTTTGCTGCAATGAGTGCGGTGATGTTCACCAATCCCATTGATGTGGTGAAGACACGGATGCAACTGCAGGGAGAGTTGGCGTCCCGGGGAACCTACGTAAAGCCCTACAAGAATCTTCCCCAGGCTATGGTGCAGATAGTCCGGAACGACGGGCTCCTTGCTTTGGAAAAGGGTCTGGCTCCGGCGCTGTGTTACCAGTTTGTCCTCAACTCGGTCAGGCAAGTATTTGGGAATCTCTTTGAGTTGTATTTCACATTAACTATTCGGACTCGGTCATATGGTTGTGTCATAGAGAGGAGGAACTTGTTTGCAACCCTAGAAACCAGTGGCGGGTCTAAGCAATAGTTTTGAAGGGTCAAGAAATTTCAAAAAGTAAATATTAGAAAAACATGTTTAGGGAGCTCTCTTAAATAAATATTTTTAGATTATGTAATACGGAATTATTAAGATAAGTTATTTCTTTGTAAGCCTTATGTACTTTGATAATTTATTTTCTGGAAAGATAATGTCAAGGAATTTGATGAGCAGAATTATCTTATCTATCACTATGTCGAAAAATTTAAATGCTGTAATGAGGAAAAATTTACAACAGGGAATACTTTAGTACTGAGTTTACAATTTATTTTCTCGTTACTTTTGGTAGATTAAGCACTTACTCGAACGCCTTGGAGCTCGGATTCCTACATAACTCAGATGGCTCCATATCCTTTTATCGGGGCATGTTTTTCGGAGCCCTGGGCGGCTGTACCGGCACCTTCCTCGGTAGTCCCTTCTATATGGTAAGTGGTAGGAATCCCCTCAACCAGACCTTGAAATCCGATTTCCCCCGCACTTCAGATAAAGGCGCAACAGCACGCCCAGGCAGTTCAGTCGATAGCCGTGGGCTTCCAGCATAAACACACCTCTATGCTGAATGCCTTCCTGCAAATTTACCGGACCAATGGCATTCCGGGATTCTGGCGTGGAGCTGTTTCCAGCATGAGTCGATCACTTGTCGGCTCCAGTGTCCAGATCGGAAGCTTTCCCAAGGCCAAGGCCCTGCTGAGGGACAACGGATGGGTCACCCATCCGGTTCTGCTTTCGTTCTGTGCCGGCTTAACCGCGGGAAGCCTTATCTCCTTGGCCAACTCGCCCCTCGACGTAGTCACCACTCGGATGTACAACCAACCTGTGGATGAGAAGGGAAGAGGTCTCGTGTACCGGGGTTTAGTGGACTGCTTCACCAAGATCCTGAAAAAGGAAGGTCTCCACGGGATGTACAAGGGCTTTTGGCCCATCTACCTGCGAAGTGCCCCTCACACTACCTTGATATTTGTGTTTTTCGATAAGTTCATTTACTTACGCGATCGCTATGTTTTTCCCCAGCAAAAGCATTGAAAACTTATTTGTTTAGGTTTAAAAGTGAAATATTTGGAAGTGCATTTGATTATATGTTTTAATAATAAAGAGGCTGAGTCGAAATCGTCTCCTTAACTGCGTAGCAAACCTTTGACTAAAAGCGTAGTAACTTCTGGTATCTTCAGATAGAGTTCAAAACTATTTTAAGCCTTCAATCCTAGGAAAACCCAGTAACACATTTCGAAAAATGCAGGGTCTTGAATTCAATCGTGCCAAAGCTTGGCACTAGTATTTTTCTGGCGATGAAAACTAATCTTTGGTTTTCAAATCACCACCCAAGGTTTACTTACCCCTTGATTTGAAAGAACTTCGAAAATAAACTATAACCTATAATATTGAAAAACCGCCAGTATTGCCATTTAAGTATGCCCAGTTGTCATGGCTTTGAGCTTCTCCGGTATTCTCTGCTGCGGCGGTCACACTATTCTATAAGTGTTGGGAAAGTCGGCGGCGTCGCATATTTTTGATTGACAACTTGGCTTTTATATTTTCGAATATTATCGGTGCAAAATGGCCTCCCAGGTGACTCAGGTGCAGCAGTTCTTCAACGGCTACAAACAGAACGTGAGCAAGGCTCTGCGGGATGCGTCGAAGCCCTGGACCAAGGCCTTCGATACTGTGGAGGAGAAGACCGGTGTGGATAGGGTCAATATTTTCCTCGGTGAGTTATTATGTTATCCTGGCGACGTCATCGCGACGTCCTTCTGTCAGCCACCGCCCCATGAAAAAGCCACCTCTGACCTCCTGGTAATCGACTGCGTAACCAGTGACATTCTCATCGAGATGCAGTGGAATTTTTCGGGATGCTTATAAATAGCAACCTGTTATATATAGCGATGCTATGGGGCGGAATCAGGAGTCGGGGGACTTAATCACCGCCTGGTGACCAATTAGGGAATTAATCACTCGACTTAAACGCCAAAGCCCAATTAAATAGAGTTTTTGTTTTATCACCAAGCGCTAAACCAATACTAGCAAACTACCTCGGTTGCCATGTGATGTGTGCGTGTAAGCGGCTACGTAGGCAGCTACCGATGTGTGCGTCTCTGTTATCCACCAAAAGTTTCATGTTTTGTGCTTTCCTTTGTTTACTTCAACGAAAGTACATTTTCTCAGTACGCGCGGTGAGCAATACATTTTGCAGTCGATTTTTCCAACCGATCCGGTGAAAAGTCCAGCTGTCCAGCGGGGTCAAAAGGTCTGAGAATTGAGACGTGGCGACATTGGCACACGTGGAGAAAGTCCACACACCTGTGTGCGTAAATCCAGAGAGCTTTAAGTTCCAGTAATTCCCATTCCGGGGCTCTCCGGAGTAACCGATGTGGCTCTGGGAGTATATTATGCTAATCAGACAGCGACGGGAGACGCGGCGCAAGGTCAGAGTTCCCCTGGTTTACCTGGGCACAGGTGAGAAAAGGAAATATGTCTGTGTAAACACTTGAAATAGTGATAGACATTGATTCATCACTTAATCATTTAGCCTCATTAGTTCGGTATGTGATACATTTTTGGCAGATGTTAGTACTCAAAACGATTCTAAAACAATAATATTTTCCTTGGGTATAAGATTATTATAATAATAATAATAATTTTGGGATATTTAAAAATGACTTCAGACTTCCAATTCCGGATAATATATGTATTGTTTGAACTGGTAAAAAAATTATTTAGACAGATATATAGAAAAGGTTATCAAATAAAGTGAAAGTCTGTAGCGTATGATGCTGAACAAGAATGTATCTAATTTATAGGGTATAAAATAATTATAATTATAATAATTTGAGAATACTTTAAGATGACTTCAGGCATCCAATTCCGGCTAAGATACTACATATGCACTGGTAAAAAAAGATTTTAACATATATTTGTAAAAGGTTATCATATAAACTTGCCTGTAGCCTGTGATGCTGAACAAGAATGTATCCAATTTACAGGGTATATTTAGTCGCATTAGCAAACTTACAATAATATTACCGTCTGCCAGGGTATAAATATAATTAGCCGTCGTCTAACATGAATGACATCATACATTTATGGCCAAACAACAGGCCGTAGTCCGATCAACCGGGCGGGCAAATTGCAACTGGCCGGGATCAGAGGCAGGTCGAGACATCCACTGACAACAGCTAAGGGTTTATAATTAGCCAGAGGCATGGGGCGGTTTAGGAACCCCAGGGATCCGCGGAGGGGCGCCCTTAAAAGGGGTACAGGTATCTGGCTAAATGCCCTGCGACTAGTTAGTCTGGCAGCCAAAGTATGTCAGTTCAGAGTCCCTTTGAGCACCCTGCGCCCTGTAGAACCGCTCCTGGCTTGGACCTGGTTATAGCCAAAGGGAAAATGCGCCACTAGGGCAACTGCAGTTGACCAACTAGACGGCAAACATGGCAGTCGAGGGATTGGAGAGCAAAATAGTCGAGTTGTTCGTAGAGAATGCCCTCCTGCGCTTCGGTAGAGCTCTAAAAGCCTTATAAAGCTTCTAATTGATAAGGTAACATTAACTATTTCCAGGTGCTGCTGGTTTCTGCGCCCTCTACCTGATCTTCGGCTATGGCGCCCAGCTGCTGTGCAACATCATTGGCGTGCTGTATCCCGCTTACATCTCCATCCATGCCATCGAGTCCAGCACAAAGCAGGACGACACCAAGTGGCTGATCTACTGGGTCACCTTTGGCATCTTCACGGTGATTGAGTTCTTCTCCGGACTGCTGACTTCGGTGATTCCCTTCTACTGGCTGCTGAAGGTGGGTTTTCTTTTCTTTTTTTAAGAGGCTCTTGAAATTTAATGGCTTATCTTCTTTTTGCAGTGTGCTCTGCTCATCTGGTGCATGCTGCCCACCGAGCAGAACGGTTCCACCATCATCTACGCCAAGCTGGTGCGACCCTACTTCCTGAAACATCACGAATGTGAGTGTTTATAATAGATCTGTGAAAATTTACACTTTGCTAATTGAGGATCTTTTCAGCCGTTGACAGGATCATCGACGATGGCATGAAGAAGGCCGCCGGAGTGCTGAAGCACGACTAGGATGCGGATTTCCCGTAGCTGCGCCCGCTGCTCGCTTACCCATGCATTTGGTTTAGGGCCTGGTCACCAACCTCACCTCGTATTGGTTACGTTTTGCAATAAATTTTAAATCTGTATTCACTTTGTTGTTAATAAGAGCACCCAGAGGTCGCTGCTGACCAAGAAGAAATGTCTCCGCTTGTTAAACGTAAAAACGAAAACGAAAACGAGCTTTTTATTGAAGAATTAAGTTTGTGCGATCTTCAGGCGGTTGATTCCGCCTTCTCTGCCGTCGCCTCCGCCTCGGCAGCTGCCCTCCGGTTCCGCCAGGCGGACATGTAGGTACGTGGATGGACAGGCAGTAGACCAGCGATCCCCAGGAGCTCGGCCGCCGGCGTGGACAAATGGGCGCCCTTTCCCAGCCAAAAACGAATCCTCTCCGTGTTCAGGGACACCAAACGTTCGTTGAAATCGTTGGGCAGGGGATCAAAGGAGCCAACCTGCTCGATGACAGGCTGGTGCTGGTTTTTGCGTCTCTAAAAATGGAAATTATTATAAATAATTAGAAAATAAATGGGTTAAAAATACCCACCTCCATTACGACGATGTGGTAAAAAGGCCGGTTGGTGCAGCCCAGGCGCACGAATCGTATGATCTTGGCCGACTTGGCGTAGAAGCGGCCAATGCCACTGGCTGGCGATAGAGACATCTTTATGTTTTATAGATATAATACAAATTTTAAAATAAATTAAAAAATCTAATCAGAAAATGTGAATTGTTATGCAAAGCGTGACCGTTGAGGGAACTTTGAAAAATACCCCAGCGACAAGGTCACACTGGTCAATCGCGTCTAGCGTTGCCAGACTACCAGAGGTCCATAGTGTCGCAAGCCCTGACAACCCTGGCCCGCGCACACACAAGATGGCGTCAGAGAACGAGAAGCACGAACACTAAGGAATTTGTTCAGTGGTGTCTGTGTCTGTGAATTATATTGAAGGAAAAAGAGTGTTTTGTTTATAAATTTAATTGCAAAAACTGCACATAGTCACACGGGGCGCGTGCACACACATCGACGCACACGCACACCCACCCGCAAACGTCGCAAAAGCCAAAAACCCCGAGTGTGTTATCAATGAAGTGTGTTGCCCCAAACGCCAAGTGAATTTTTTTAGAGACCGAGGGACGGAAAAAAATGGCGCCCGCAGCCAGAGCAACTTGACTTTCTTTTCGGTCTATATAGTAGTTCGCCCCCGTCTCGTCGTCGGCGAACGAATGCGGTGATTTTTTCGACTTCGTCGCAGTGCGATATCCCCCCAAAAAAATAAAAAGAAATAGAAAAAGTGCTTGAAAGAACCCGAAAACGATTTGAATTTGTTGTGAACACACAGCCGCAAAAAAAATACCATTACCAATTTCCACTTACTACTACTAGAAAGGAGGCTAGTATTTTGTACGTGCTTTAGAATACATACATACATACCTACATATACCACAAGCAAGCGAGAAGTGCAATTACATTTGCGTTTGGAAATTTTGCGCTTTTTTCTCTTCCGTTCCGTTCCGTCCCCCCCGCAATTCCCCCGTTCCGTTTTCCCCTCTCTCTCTCTCACTCTGATCTGCTAAATAATGTGCGCCGCCCAGAATCCGCCGCCCTTCGGCTATACCTGGGGTTTTGCTGACAACGGCAGCCGAGCCGCCGAATCGGTACTGGAGATATCGCCCAACATCAACTACACGGTCAGCGGGGAGTCGGTGAGTTTGAAAACTAAACTATATTATAAGAATCCTTTAAAAGCTGCCAGGATATCCCATGCCCCCCACCCCCTCCCAGGTGCGTGTGTAGGTGTGTTGCTGTTGCTTTCCCACACCGAATCGTGTTGTGGCCACCAACGCATACATACAAACGCACACACGCACTGCGTTACACTCGCTCACTAACTCACTCACTCGCTCGCCCGCCTCACCAACACTCGCTGCTTTCGGCAACGAACTGTGTATGTATACGGCCCGACTGGCATTCACGTATACGGTATTAATACGTGGAAAACGAGCGACTGCGACATACAAACGTACATATCTACATGTACGATGTATATATGCATACGCCACACTTTATGTAACTGCGTTGTCATGCGAATATACGAATATGTATATACACAAGGGGGAATGGAGCGAGTGTGTTAGAATTCTTTTACCATACATCCATACGGGTTTTTTTCGTTTCCATTTCATTCGTAAACATTCATAATTTGGTATTTGTAATTCGGAATGCGTACACAAAACACACACTTGGGATGTGTGTGCGGAGAAATGCCAGTCCCAAAATAAAAACACGCGCACCTGGCGAAAAGAGTAAATAAATAAAAACCCAGCTAGAGTAGATAACCCCTCCCCCTTCACCACCCCCTCGCTCAAAATCCAACCAATTAATTAGCAGGAAGGTCGTGAAATTTTCAAAAGTCTGGCAGCTGGCAAAGGCAATCGATGCTAATCGATATTTTTCTAGACTATGTATCGCTAACCCAATTTTAGTTCTATTAATAATTATTGCTTCCCCCCTTGATTCGTTTGTTGTTGCTGTCGAGTTTATTTTGTATTTCTTTTTGGAGAGCAACAATTTTTGTTGTGCAATTGGCAGGACAAATTGCATTGTTGTTGTTGTTCTTGTTTTTGGTTGCTGGCACTTACACAATTGCAGACGCGGCGAATTCGCCGCACTTGCGCGCCCGATTTCTCCGCGTGTGTGCGTCAGTGGCGAATTCGCCGCAGTTACTTTTCTGCTTGTGTTAGTGTTGTATACGCACGCACACACGCACAGAAATGACGTGTGTGCGTTTTGTCGTGCGTGTGTTTTGATTACTTTTTGCCGTGCCGTTTTGGCGCCCAACACGCATACTCACACGCCACGATGTCCAATTGCACTCACACCCGCAAAGTGGGAAAAAGGCGCGCTTTTTGCAAACATCCCCTCGCGCCATCACAACACCCCCAACCCCTTTTTCCTCTCTGTTTATCATCTGTTGCCGCACCGCTGGCTGCGCAGGTGTAGCGTGGCTATTGGTTATCAATCAGAGCGAAGAACAAATGAGAAAAACAAAAGCATTAACCGCTAACTTGCAGCGCAGCTTGCAGATCGTAGCATAGCGAGTGGCGACTGTACTAGCTGTTAAAGCTCCAAAAAAAAAACAACAACTTTACCAAGGTGCTCTTCATTCAGTAAAAAAGCGTCACTATACAAAAACCACATGGGTATTCAAATCGAATTTTAAAGAATTATGTTTTGCATTATATTTTAATCATTAATATTCTTCTGAAATATAAAGCTATAAAGATTTCTGTTTTTAGAAATCGATATTGATAAATTAAACATTATTTCAGTAAAAACAATGGAAAATGTATTAAAAACTTTTTTATTAACATGTCTGTTTATTCATATTATAGGGAGTATATTAAATTTCTAACCTTAGAACTACCCCATTCGGCAAATCGGTATAAAATGTTTTTTATTTTTTAGATGCCCTATTTGTTATCGACGGACGGATCATTGGCTGTTCAAAAAGAAGTTAAAGGCCTCACAGCTGGTGGAAAAAATAATGTCGTTCGTCGCATGTTTGTTGTAAACGATCCATCATTTCCGCCGGGAACACAAAGGTGCGTTGGATCAGCGACTGTTTAAAAACTATATATTATTATTATATTATCTCCTATTATTACAGAGTAATCACAGCCGGAGGAGCATCGACGGTGGTCAAGAAACAGGACCCCAATCAGCAGGTCCTCAGCTTGGACAAGAACTGTAAGTGAATCGATTTGTGAGCGAATCAAAACCCTTCGAATCGAATCAGTGTTGCACGCATTGCTGTTACTGTGTTGTGATTATCAATATATTTTGGGTTTTCTGTTAATCGATTGTTTTTCTCTCTCTACTCCCGTTTATTTATTTTATTTATATTTTTTTAATTCTCGCTCGATCTCGCTCGCCCTTGAATTCGAACCCGAAAAACCGAACCCGAAACCGAACCCCAAAAAATCCACCATCTCCTCCAAAAAAAAACTCCCACTGTGCTTGTGTGTTTGCCCGTATTGCTATTGCACCTGATCCACCACCGACCCACCGATCATCTCGCTAACTGCACCGCACAACACACAACATCACCATTAAAACACAACACACACCTCATCACTTGGCGGGCGGCGGGCGCGGGCTGATCGAACATCGAAACGAAACACAACAACAGATCTGCTGGTGGATCCGGCCACAGCCGCCGCAGCTGCAGCCGCTGCTGGTGGGGATCCGGGGCTCGCCCATCACCACCAGCTGACCAACGGCAGCATCGTTGATGCCAAAACAGGACAGACAGTGCTAACCGCCGGATCGGCGGCGGCCAAGTCGCACTTCAGCTCGATCGGAGCGCTGCATCTCACGCAAGAGGAGTGCAACGAGATCCTGATCAAGCGCGCCATCGCTGCCGGCCACCATCAGACGCACACGATCACCGCTGCCGACGGATCCCATCACCATGCGTCCGGCGGGACACCAAGTAAGCATCTCAAATCTGTGTTTGTTACTGCACTCCAGTTCCTCCTACTCCTACCACCCACTCTCCTCCACAACAAACACACAGAAGTAATCCTCAATCCTCCCCTTATAAGTAAACTACCCGGCATATTGGCACATATTCTCGGTTCCGGTTGCTTTTAACCCGGTTGCGTGGGCATAATTATTACGTTTTATCATATTGTTAAGTTTGCCTAACAACCCTAACATTAATTTAAGTTTGATTAACCCCAAAATATTTAATTTGCACATTCAGTTTGTTCGGATCTTTGATTTTTTTCCTTTTGTTTCTTCTCTATTTTTTTGTATCTTCCTTTGAATTCCATTTGGCTTTTGTTCCGTTGGCGGTGCAACAACACTCTTAGGTGACATACTTCCTGGTATTTCAGTTCAAGTACAGAAAGTAATACAAGGACTGGAGGATAACGAGGACTCGCAGGGCGAAGCACCCAACTTAAAGTTGGAGCCAGGCACATTAGAGTTGTCCCCGAAGACCGAACTACAGGAATCAATGCATTTCAGCGAAGTAAGTTAATCAAATTTGTTACATACTTGATAACAACGATTTTTATTTCTACTTAGACGGACGCCACCATCAAGAAGGAACGCCCGTACAGTTGCGACGAGTGCGGCAAGTCCTTTCTGCTCAAGCATCATCTGACAACCCACGCCCGCGTGCACACAGGTGGTTGTTCTTGTTCCTGGCAGCATACCCTTAACCATCGAACAGGCCTAATCATTACGTTTACCCCACAGGTGAACGCCCCCACATCTGCACCCACTGCGGCAAGAGCTTTGCGCACAAGCACTGTCTCAACACTCACCTGCTTCTGCACTCCACGGAGCGACCTTATCAGTGCCAGGAGTGCAAGAAGAGCTTCACCCTCAAGCACCATCTGCTGACCCATTCGCGGGTCCACAGCCGCGAGCGACCCTTTGTCTGCCAGGAGTGCGGACGCGCCTTTCCGCTGAAGCGACACCTCGTCACGCACAGCAAGTTTCACGCCGGTGAGCGGCCGTATGTCTGCGAGGAATGCGGTGAGAGCTTTGCCCAGGAGAATCACCTGATTATGCACTCGCGGTGAGTTGTCATCTAAATAGAGTGGATGATTTAAAGGTCTAACCCCTTGCTTTCCCTCACAGCTTCCATGGCTCATTGAATCCATTTGTTTGTGCCGAATGCGGAGCTTCGTTTCCACGCAAGTTCCAATTGGTT